CTCTAGAAGTTGCAATGGATGTATGTATATTGTATATATATGTTTGACGAACATGCAAGTATGATTCTGGAAGTGTGCTTGTGTGTTGGTAATGTGTATTTTTCCTCATTGTTTGGCGGGCTATTGGAAGAGGAAAAGGGCTATTGATCTACAGCCATTTTCGGTCATCTCTATCTCTTGAAGGATGGAAATAACTGACCACTTTGATTGGTCAGTGCGGCGCAAGTGCCAATGCTCCGCGCATGCAAAGGTGTAAATGGCCATTGTAGTGGCTGGGTGCAATATCTTTGGAGAAAGACATAGAATGACTAACCAATTTGGTTTGGTTAATGTTTTCAAATACTTTTGTTTAGTATTTGAGATGAAACGAACTCATAATTCATATTATTAGAAGAGTTTAAGAAAATTCAACTTTGTATGAATTTGGAAGAATTCACGTGGAATTCTTGGATTAAATTTTGTCAACGAAATTTGTATATGTTTCAATATCAAGTACTTGAGAAAAAAAATACAACACGTTGATTCATGTAATCAAATTGTTTGTATTGTGACCTTGTACTGATTTGAAACAAAATGGTGCGAAGATGGAATACTCTTCTATGATTGGTACTCAACGGGACCTAATGTGGATGATTTGGGCACCCATGTGGACTCAATGGAGAGTATGGGGGAAGAAGAGGAAGTTGAGGAATCGGAGAACGAGGAGGAGTACTCCGACATAGAGACCGATGAATGTCTCTCTGATCCTGACTTCGACCCCAAGAATCCTTAGGATTCTTGTATATGTATTATAATCTCCTTTGAGGAGTAGATATATGTATGTGTGTATATATACATATGGTATTAATATGTGTGTACCTATGTAAATCGTGTATTTACATGATGAATAAAGGACAAATGTTCTTATCTCCCAAGTGGAAAATTAGTTGGATAAAACCTTACGAGTTTGTTTGGTTACAAAATTGTTCAAAGTAAGTTGAACATAGTTATGAAAGAGTATACATCCAATGTGTTGGAGAGAAAGTTTGGTTAATGCACGTTTAAAGGTTTGCATTACGAGTAAGCCATAAGTGATAAGGAATTCTAATTCCTAAGATGCTTGTGATGACATAATAATTTGTTTATTATGTATGTGGTTTAGGACTTGATGTTTCCTATGCCACGAGGGCAAGGAAAATGAAGCTATGATTGATCCTCATAGGGATTTAATAAGCTTACCAAATGATGGTGGTCATCAAGATAAGCATTAGGTCAGAATTGTTTATGGTATAAGTACACTATACCATTGGAAAACAATTTGACTATGATTAACAACGTGGAGCTAGTTGCCAGAACTGTTTATGGTATATATAGATATATATCATTGGAAAACAATTTGGCATGAGTGCTCAATTGAGATTATCTTATTGAACTTAAAGTCTGGATTACTTATGGTATATTTATGAAGTTTATACCATTGGAAAGTAATTAGACAATTGGATAAGAAATTCGTTTGAATTACTTGTGGTACATCATGTTACACAAATGAAATGTCATTGGTAAGTAATTAGATGGGATTTCCATTACTGGAATGCATCTGAATTACTTATGACGTCTCAAGTTGCCTTGATCAATACCATTGGTAAGTAATTAGATGATATTTCTAATAAAATCTGAATTGTTTGTGGTATGCTAATTGAGTGAGATCATACCATTGGTAAACAATTAGATACATATAGTGGTTGACAAGTTCAAAAAGTAAAACCATGGAAAATAAATGGGATTATTCCATGATGTTTGGCAAAGGGTAGAATTGTGGGGGAGAAAAGCAAGCCATTGTTTCGGCTACTATCTCAAGACCCTACAATGGGACACAAACCTATCCACAGAAGACAAAAGTGGAAAGGTAAATGAATTCATACTTGAAGGTGTCCAATGAGAAAGGGAGAGTCCTTAAACCTTGTGGAGTTAACCTAGTCCAAGGGTATAACTTATGAGTAAACTCTCGCATATATTGACGTTATGTCAGAGAGCTAGAATATTTATTGATGTTGATCCACTCTTCCCAAAGAGATGATTTTGACCATATACATGTATGCATATGAACAACATTCCCCAAACCGGAAACGTTGGTTTCAACAACTATGGCGAAATAGTTGAAATGTGGGGGATAAATTGGGGAGAAAAGAAGTGACGTGGAATGTCGCTTGGATGATTCCAAAGTGAAGTGATGTGAATACTTAGGAGTTTTACGTAAACCCTAAGCTAAGTCATAAATGTCACTACATTTAAAGAGATACTTGTGAAGTTCAAGTACTCTAAGGTTAATGAAGTGGAGAGACTTCAACACCGTTGGCATGTGTTATGATTATTGCAAGGCAATAAAATCAAGGCAAACACACATGATGTGTAGTGAATCGAAAAGAGATGAGTCTTTGGTGAATTTTACCCAAAGGAACTCACTGGGTGAACCAAAATCCATAGTCCATTAATGGATAGACATTTATGGTTAACGAAGAGCAGTATCTTGGAAAACGTCCAAGTTAAACTCTAAGACCGATGAAGTTGAGTAGTTTGGCCCGCAAAGACTGGCGTTAATAAAACGCATTTGTGCACAAAATGGTTATTGCAAGGGCTAGAAGTGTTATGTGAAAATCTCATCGTAGAAACATAACATTATTGATTGGTTAATTTCTAGCGAAGTTATCGGAGATGATCAGTTTAGATCAAGTGATAACAAACGTGGGGCCCACCTAGAAATTTATTAAAGCATCGAAGGGAATGGACTCGTGGCCTAGGACAAATCATCATGGCGGTAACTCTACCTAAGCAGGATTGGCAGATCCAACCTCTATTGTTGGGATTTTTATTGGTGTGAATGGAAATAAAAGGGGAAAGTTTCAAGAGAGTCTCTTGAAGTACCATGTTGGTAAGATGTGGGAAGGCACGACCTCGAATTCGATCGATTTGATGTAATATGTGGTTAATCGGTTAAATTGCTTTGTGTACCAAACGGACCAAACCAAACCGAGTTGAACCAAATCGAACCGAACCGATGTGGCGGTTGGAATAACCAAACTGGTCCAACTACCATGGGCCGAACCGATGCAATGGTTCATTATTTCAAACATGAACCAATGTGTTGGTTGGGGTGTAACCACCCATATGAAGAGTCGCCTCCCTTCGTACGCACCCCTTCATTTTCTATAAATAGCACCTTACCCCCTCTAGTTTTAACTAAGAGAAAAACATCGGGGTCGTTTGGATGGATCAATCTAGAAATGAGTCAATTTGATCAATTGTCTCGTTTTATAAACGAGGCAATTAAAACGAGTCTATTCGAATTACCTGCCCCCATCCCAGCTAATTGAAATTGACTCAAAACAGATCAATTCAAAATACCTCATGCGGATTGATCCATCCATTTTTTTGCTGGCAAACGAGGCAATTTGGTACAATTGTCTCAAAACGAGACAATTGTGTCAAATTAATCCGTTACAATTCCTCATCCAAACGACACATTCTTCGGGGGCTGCTGGCCCATCAAGCTCAAACCCTGGCCTTCGGTTGGACATTGATAGTTTTTCCCGGTACCAAAATTCTGTCAAAATCCAAACCTAGTTTTCTGCATTCTTTTCAAAGAGAAAATCGAGTCAAGTGTGGTTCTCGCCGGTTCGCTGCGTTCGATGGGTTCCGGGGTTTGAGGTACCGCTACGCCGAAAAAGGTACGTCCTTTCTATCCTGGGAGGAATCATTCCATAACCTTGGGTACTTGAGGGGAATAAGATTCTTTAAGGAGAGATAGTGAATTCTATCGGCTAGGACGTTTGCATGTGTCTTGCATGATTTTTTGTGATCTTACATGTTGCTTGTGTTGCAAGAAAAATAGTATTCGTGAACAATTTCCCAACATTTCTTACAATATCTCTCTGATTGTGTTTGGCCTTGAAAATTTACATCTTTGTGTGCTTATATGATGTTGTTGTGTGTGGGTTTGATAAATAATATATGTAAGAATGGGTCAATGATCATAAACAAAAATGTGGAGTTACGTTGCAGGTGTGCAGAGATCGGAGATGGGGGCGGTGCTACGAGAGATGGCGATCAAACGGTCGCCGTGAAAATGCTGGCATCGGGGAGCAGGGAGGGCGAGAGCCACCACCGGCCGTGGGATTATATTTTTTTTTAATTTATAATAATTAGTTGGAAAATAAAAAAATAATTATATTTTCTTATTTTTTAATTGCCACATCACTCAATTTACAGTCAACGGTAAAAGTTAACCGTCACATCAATAAAAGTTAACGAAAACTAACGGTGAGTGACCAAACTTGAATTGTTAACCTAATTTAAGTGACTACAGGTGAAATAAATTAATTTTAATGACAAACGTAAACTTATTAACTAATTCTAGTGACCAAACTTGTAATTTAGCCTTAGCGAAAGCCAAAATGATTGGGTCGAGCCTCGGGTGTGCCTGCCCAGCAAGCACAAATCTCATTGAAAAAGGCCTCTACGGACTACGGTCAAAATAGACCGACAAATCATCCATCCAGTCCGTTCCAGCAAGCAGCGGCTCCATGATTGCCAGACAGAAACGCGGCTTCTCATTTCTCACCGCCCTTGGTTCTCTGTTTCTCCTCCGAATGAGTAAAGAAAAGATCGATGATGGTTCCATGAAGAATCCCCACAAATTTATGCAAAGAAAGAGGTAGCATGTGACGATGATGATGGCAGATTTATGCAAAGGACGACAAAATCAGAATTTTGGCAGCTTCTGGTTAAAAAAATCCTCCTCCTCTGCCTCCTGCCAACAAACTTAATCAAGGATCTGAACATATTCCCCTTTTCTGTTTTGTTACCGCAGCAGCAAAGCCAGGCTGCTAAACGCCACGTGTCCCAATTCGTCATCAGTTTTTAAATAATTCCTAATCCTTAATCACTGCCCACTTGATAAACCTTCCCAAATCAGTGTACTTTCTGCAGACGCGTATAAAACTAATCTAATCCGATCAATAATGATGTATGTTAATCATGTGTGTATGCCTAGCCCACCTGGGTTAATCATTCATGTCAACCCCAGAAAACAGGTTTAGGCCAAAAAGCAATCAGAAAGCAGAGCAAGATAATAGAAAGAAAGCAACCAAAGGGGAAAAGATTAGCTCGAAACAGTCCCAAATAGGCCATCAAAGGCTTCTTCTTTTTCTTCCAGCCGCTTCCCCATCTCGGCCTTTATATCGAAGAGAAGACCCAGCTGGCTTTCCTTGGATTTTTCTATCTTTCACGCTCCTTGCCATCCCCACCAAATTTCTTAGCAGAGCCCTGAATTTCTTCCCTTCCGAAATGGGTTTCCCTTTCTCCAAACAACCCATCACTCCCTTCTCCTTCTTCTGCTGTGTTTCAGCTGCTCTTTGTTTGGGGTTCTTCGTTTCGCCATCATCAGCAGCAGATGTGACCAGTTTGATCTTCAAGGGCTGCTCCGACCAGAAATTCCAGGACCCATCTGGGATCTCGGCTCAAAACCTCAAGGACCTCTTCCAATCCCTGGTGTCGCAGTCCGCACAGAAGCCTTACTCCACTGCCTCGTCCGGCGCCGGGGCCGCCGCCATCAACGGGCTCTACCAATGCAGGGGAGACCTCTCCACGGCCCAGTGCTACGACTGCGTCGGCCGGATTCCGGACAAGTTCGACAGGCTCTGCGGCGGCGGGGCGCCGTCGGTGGCGGCTAGGGTCCAGCTCGCCGGCTGCTACCTCAAGTACGAGGTGGCCGGGTTCAAGCAGACACCGGAGACCCAGCTCCTGTTCAAGGTGTGCGGGTCGACGACGGCCGCCGGAGATGGGTTCCAGCAGAGGAGGGACGCCGCGCTGGATGCGATGGCGAACGGGCTGAAGTCCGGAGGCGGGAATGGGGTTTTCGCGACGGGGAGTTATCAGTCGGTGTTCTACTTGGCGCAGTGCGAGGGGGATTTGGCCGGGGGAGGAGGAGAGTGCGGGAACTGCGTGAAGAGCGCGGTGGAGGCGGTGAAGACGCAGTGCGGCGGGTCAATCGGCGGGCAGGCGTATCTGAACAAGTGCTACGTTAGCTACACTTACTACCCCAACGGTGTACCGATCATCGATAACACCTCAGGTGAGCTACAGAGAAAAGGTTAAGAGAAAGCAATGTGGTGAATTTTTTTTTTCTCCCTGAGCCGGTTATAGAAGAAATTGGGGTTTTTCTTGTTTTTTTAGGTGGAGGAGGAGGGAAGCCGCACACGGCGAGGACGGTGGCGATAGTGGTGGGGGGAGTGGCGGCGGTGGGGTTTCTGGTGGCGTGCTTGTTGTGCGTGAAGTCGGCATTGAAGAGGAATCGTGGCGGCGGCGGTGGTGGTAAGCATGGACACGGCGGCGGCGGAGGAGGGTGGAACTGACAGTGTTGGAGAAATTTTTCTTTCACACTGCCCTTTTTCTTCCCACATAAAATTGTTTAGTTAATTAATGATTAACCAAGCATATTTTTCTGATGTTTTGTTACATAGTTTGATGATGAAAAAGCCTACATCTGTTTATAGACCATGAATGAAATTAATTTTAGAGATGGTAGTTACGGTGAGAAGGAGGAATGACATTATTGACATCCGTCTTCAACTTAATCATCCTCCTTCAACTCAATCACGATTTGTCTATGGCAGAGGTTATCCATGGACATCAGAAACCCTAGATCATCCTCCTTCAACTTAATCACATTAGTTTTAAGTTGAATTTGGTACTAATTTGTCTATGACAGAAATTATTTACGGATATCAGAAACCCGAGAAGCGGCAAAGGTAAAAAAACCCTTTTATGAATGTCGAGAAACTTGAGTTTACAAATTGAAAATGACAATAGATTTAACCAAACTCGCATTATTGTCATCTCTGTTCAGAAGTGAAATCGATGAAATGGTTGCCACAAATTACATGGATGAATTAGTTCCGTTCAACTTCATTTTCTCCCTTATTTTTATGGGAGTCAAACATGAGAATCAAAAGTTTGAAAATGAGGGAATTGCTTGTTTAAACGATTCATTAATAGGGAGAGGGAGCCACGTCCCATCTCGCTCGCTTGCATATTCCAAAATAGGAACAACAAATCAATCGTCCCACCATTTTTTGGGGCCACGACTCGACCGCTGCAGCACAAGGACCGTTCATAGACTGACACAGGAAGCAAGTTGGGAGCTGAAACGGTGAACTTTAGAAAAAATGTAAAACCATTAGCGCAGGAAAAAAAAAAGAGTTACTTCCTGTGGTAGATAAGATAACATCAGCATCCATTCTCCTTAATGGCTAAGGAAAACAAATGGGCCATGACCATTTTGAAGCTTTCACCCACGAACCACTGAATCATTTTGCATAAAGCAACTACTCAAATTGCAGACAACGTTTTGAGTCAAAAGAGCCCCTCTTTGCACTGAAACACAGGCCAAGTCATAAATAAATAAATTAAAAGCAGCCAAAGCATGTCTGTAGAATGGAAAGCACATCACTGATTTCTCTAGAGACAAAACAAAGCAAAGCAAAACACTTGTTGGTGGTGTAACAATGAGCTGCAACTTGCAAGTGCTTGCTTCCTCCTCCTGATTGCGACGGGCACCATCAGACAACAATCTGATCAAAATACCGCCTTTATTAGGTAAAAAAGGGGGGATCACCATTCACTATAACTGCAGCAAATGGATCAAAGCAAGTCCACTACGATTCCTAACAGAGAAAAGGATATACCCACAAACATGCAAAACCATCCTACCAAGCATCGCTAAAGAGTGTCGAGTTTTGACTGGTTACTACTTAGAATCATCAACAAGGCAAACATAGCAGCTAGCAGTTCATCCAAGCAGTGAAGCAAACCTCATACTGATCAGACTTAACTTAATTGGTGAATCGAACAGCATAAACCTTCCAGCAAACACAATAAGACCGACGAGGCACCCTGTAATACTTGATCCGGTTGTTCAAGGACTACTCAGAAGTGAAACCACTTCGTCTAGATTTCAGATTATCCTCCTAATTTAAGAACCTTGGAGGAGTAAAACACAATCCAATGTCTATGATTACTAACCTCTTGCGCTCACATGCAAAAAGTGCAAAAAAGGAAGCATCTTGGGTGGGTTGAACAACAAAATGGAAGGCAGTAGAGACTCTTTCATAATCAAGACATGTTTTCTACACGGACAGATCTCTACTTGCAACCTAGTACGAAGGCCTTCTCACCAAACTATGGATAACCGTACCACTCTTACAAGAAAGGAAACATATGTTCAGAAGCACTTCTTACAGTCTGTCCAGTCTTCACTAAATATATTCATTCATTCGTAGCAATATGATCAATAGAATTTTACATGCAAAAACAATATCCAGATGCAACTCGAGTACTATGCATAGTGGATATTCACACCAACATTTGATTCAGAAGGATCTGATATGCAATCACTAGCATAGAGGAACAAGGCAATCATGACCAGAAGCTGCTATGCCCTGATAAAACCGGCTTGTTACACTAATGCTAACTTCAAGGCCTCCATACTAAAACTCTTTCCTAGGCTCTTACAAATGTCAAGTTCGTAACTTAATTGGAGAGGTTTGTAACATCCTCCCTTAACCTAAACAATATCCAATTTCAGCTCAAGTACTGGGGATAATGGACGTTCTAAGTTCAAACCAACAGAGATACATAAGGATCTGAATACCCTATAGTCGAGAGGAAACAAACGACAATCATGATCATTTTCAAAACCATCAAATGACGGAGGATCAAGAAGAGCTTTAACTAGTACAACAGTGAGTTACTACAACACAAAGACTAACACAATAAATTATTCAGCTCAAAATTCCCAATTTTCCTACCATAACACGATGAACAGAGTCTCTAACCTGACCCAGAAACTCAAATGAAAGGCGCCACCGCCGCAACCACTACTTCTGAGGCGCACCAATCGGTGGCGCTCCGAGTAAACTCTGCTGCTGGAGCTCGAGCTCGGTCAGCTGCTGGTCCCTATCCATCTCGATGATCAACGGCACCACCAAGATCAAGAAGGTGGTTCCGGCGATCCAAGCCGCCTTCCCGGTGCTGCGGAGGAGCCTCTTGGTGACGTAGGCGGTGTCGCAGGCGGCTCGCTTGCCCTTGGAGACGATTTCGGAGTTCGTTAGCTTCGCGAGGATGGTGTCGGAATCCGGCTGCTGACGCTTCGCAGGACGCCTCTCCGGGAGCGAAACGCCGCCTCTGGCTGCCTGAGAGGCCATGTAATCGGCGATTGTGAAATTTAGGCGGTGGGGCTAGGGATTTCGCGAAAGCTGAGTTCGAGGAGGAAGGGTTTTGGTCAAGCTGATCTATCAGTGATTTATTGGAAGCATGAGGGTTTTAGGTAGAATAGAATCTTCAGGAAAACGGCACCGTTTCGAAGTTGAGCCGTTTCGTTGGAGAAACAGGAGCTAGACTCTCGCTGCAGAGTAGTCTGAAATCACATTTTCTTTACTCCCAGTTTTTAGGCTAGCTGAAGGTCTTTGATGGTAGCTTTTGAGTTCTTCGTATTCGTATCGAACGAGTTATGCTCAATTCATCACGAACTACAACATGGATGAACTGGACAAATCCATCTCGGCGTTGATCGATTTGTTGCACATGACATTGCAAAGCCATTGATAGCCAAGCCCTACTATGGTGGTAGAAAGTTGATGGGGGAAAAGGGAAGGAGAAGGCTGGTAAGAGAAGCAAAGTTCTTTGACAGCTCTGAATCTGAAGGAAAGATAACATACACGACGAGGGAAGGTCCATTTTCATTTCCCTCTCTTATACCATTCTACACTTATCATCCAAATAGTCTGACCGTCATGGATTACATCCTCTCAGGCTCCTATATACATACTACAGTTGCGTTCTGGTTTTCACAGGTCCTGAAACATTACCAACTAAGCAGCGCGGCTCCCTTAAGCTCCTGCAGAAGCCATGGAACCCTGGTGAAATCGTTGAGGCGCTGCGATTGCATCCATTTCTTGAGCAACACCACATTCATCCTCATCATCCTCGGCTTCCCACAGAAAGCTCGCATATGCAGCATGAACATGGCTGCAAAAAAGAAAAGAAAAAAAAAACATGGTTAGGAAACAATGGATCGCCGCAAGTAAACTTCAAACTGTAACACTTCAATGGCTCTCTCTCGGGAAGGGTTTCATGATAAAAGTCAATAATCTAATATGAGTAGGCTGTCAAACAAACTAGTTCAATTGGTTTTTCTGTACAAGTCTATTCAAAGATCGATTCTATAGTCCACGTCCAATGGTATATGAGACTATATGTACCTATCTTGAGGGGAAGCTTGAACTGAACGTTCAAAGTAGGTAGAGGCTCTGTCTTCATCACGGTGAAGCCCCCATATCAATTTTGCATACTGAGACAGAATCTCCCCATCGTTTGGATCGGCCAAGATTGCTCGCGAGTAGTACTCTTCTGCTCCCTTCATATCTTTCTTAGTCTGCAGCAGAATCATTAAGCAGCCATTATTTTCCTTTTTCTGTATGTCTAAGCGTTCAAGGCATGGTTTAGCCGGCAACTCGAACTTTAAGTTTTACCTGATGCAAGAACTGAGCATAGTTCCTCAAGAACAAAGGGTTGCCAGGGTTGTCCTCCACCATTCTCTTGTAGTAATCCTCTGTCCCTCGCATGTCTCCACCATCTCCACCCGCCGGAGTATATCCTCCTCCACCGCCACCAATGCCACCACGGCCGCTTCCACCACCACCATCACCACCTCCGCCACCAGGGTAAGTGGGGAGCAGCTCAATGCCAAGGCCTCTCGCAATATGCATCTCATCCCTATAGTAACCAACTTCCATAACATTCACCTTCCCATCACTCAAACCCATCTTCCCCATCTGCTCACTCAATCCCAATCCAGCAGAAATCCCCTCGTCGTAGGGTTCCTCCTCATCTTCCACATCCTCGCTGTCTTCCTCCTCTTCCTCATCTTCCTCGTAATGGTACCTCGAGTTGTAAAACGAGAAGGAAGGAATCGTCTCCAACATGAAACACCTGGCGGGCTTCCCCACTGGGAACCGCGGGGGAAGAGGGCTGATGTGGGCTTCCTCATCTGCGGACTTGCTGCTGTTGCCGCCGCCGCAATCATACGCCGCCAGCGCTTCCAAGTTGCCGTCGGAACGAGAGCGGCGAAACCCACCTAGGGAAGGGTCAGGGGACATACTGGGAGAGGAATGGTAGCTGGGGAACTTGGAAAAGCCGGGCTGATGCTTGAACAGGCCAGGACTGCAGCTGCTGCTCTCATGGTGGTTAATAACATTCGGGCCGCCGTCGTTGATTGACGAAACAAGGGATCCTAGAACTGGGGTTGAAGAGCTTCGCAGCAGCATTGTTTCGATTCAGCTTCTTTCTACAGATTTGTGACAACAATCGACAAAAATCAAAATTCAGAGATGCAAAAGCAGTAACAGAAGAGAGCGGCATCAAATCCGACATTGCAGATTTGTGAATCTCATAAAAATTGGAAACTGGGAGTTGAATGAAACGCCATGGGAGGACTGCGGTAGTTTGTGTGGCGGGGAAATGCGGGTGGGATCTGGAAAGTAGAAAGTCAGAAATATCTTTTTTCTGCTCGTATTTATTTCTCGGGGCAGGTTGTGAGTAGAAAAATATTTATGAAACGAACGGCGGACGGCTGTCATTGAAAGGAGAAGGGTTGTTGGCGCGACGGCCCCAGGAAGGGTCGTAGAGATGATGAACTTTTCCCCATGATCACGCACGTGCCATTTATTTGAGGTCAGTTACATAAATAGTCATGCAACTTTGGGAATGGTCATTAACTTTTCTTCTTCGGGTAAAAAAGCCATTACATCGGGCTATTTGGTCCCGGACTGTTTGGTTTTACCCGAAACCGGACCGTATAATCCGGACTGGGACCGGATAGCAAACAATACAATCTCATATTCGGGCTTAGATTTGAGGTAAAAAAACCGGTTAAAGACCGGAAAAGAGATCCCCAACACCTAAAATCCGGGTCAGATCAGGTCCTTAACCCCCTTTCTTAAGGAGGATCTTAAACCTATTCCAGCCAATAGGAGAAGGAGAGAGAAAAACATTAGTAATCATTAGCTAACTACCTACAAGGGTAAGACTGGAATATAATAAAAATTTAATGATATTAATGATTAAAATTAAAAAGGTAGAAACCCTCACTTTCAAAAATTAATTTCCGTAATTTTGTACTCCTCCCAACCCTATAACAGTTTCCATCGAAGCCACGTCTGCGATCCCGGCGTCAGCTTCCCGTCGCTTCCCGTATGCAATCCCGTTGTCGGCGTCCCGTCGTCACGTCGCCATCTCGCCGTTGATGTCAATTCCCCTTGCCATCACGCCGTCGATTCCATCGATTCCTCCCGTCGTCAAGTCTCCATTACGCCGTCGATTCCTCTCGCCGTCGCGTTGTTGATTCCTCTCGTCGGCTTCCCGTCCTCACAGCGCCATCTCGTCGTGTTCCAGTAAGCAACCTGGCCACCGACATCTCGACGACAAAGTGGACTATATAACCGGCATATGGAATCGTCGAAAGCTTTTTGTGTGTATTTCATTTGGTTATTATATATTGGGTTATGTTGGTATTAAAGTGTTCCATTGAAAATGTTAATAACGTAATGGAAAATGATAATAACGTAGGTGAAAATATAGATAATCCATTATGCTGCAATTTGTAGATTCGTGGTGTGTTAATAATTAAATGGAATATAATTAATAATAATTTTATGGTTTGTTAATAATCTATTAATCATCCATGAAATACCTTGGTTTGTTAATAACTGAATTGGGTGATGATGTTACTAACTTTGCTTATAATGATAATAACGTAAGTAAATATGTTAATAACGTAGGTGAAAATATGTTAATAACCATTGAAAATAGTAATAACGTAGTAATAACGTAAGCAAATATGTTAATAACATAGGTGAAAATATGGATAACGTAGTTTGTTGACATTATCACTTGTACAAAGCTTTAACCTCGTGGTCTATTAATAATTCGAGAAGGTTTAATTAATAATAACGTCATTGTTTGTTAATAATTGACAAAGAAATATATTTGCATGTGGATAAGTGTATAGGTGAAATGATAATAACGTAGGTTAAAATGATAACGACGTAGCTGAAAATATTGATAACGTAAGTAAATATGTTAATAATGTAGGTTAAAATATAGATAACATAGTTTGTTGACATAATACTGATGCAAAGCTTCAACCTCATGGTGTCTTAATAATTTGAAATGGTATAATTATTAATAGCGTCACTGTGTATTAATAATTGACAAAGAAATACATTTGCGTGTGGATAAGTGTACAAGTGAAAATATTAATAACAGAGATTAAAATGATAATGACGTAGATGAAAATGTTGATAACGTATTGCGTTAATAATTCGACAAGATATAGTTAATAATAATGCGTAGTGAAAAGATTAATAATTAATAATAACGTCATTATTTGTCATCAACTCTGGGTGCAACTGCCTTCTTCTCCATCCTCTTACTAAGCAATGCAGGCGTACACGCTGTATTATTTGTACGCAGCATATTGTGGATCACTGCCAAAAATGACAAATTGCATATAAATATATTAATAACCCGTGTTTGAACAACGAAAAATACAAACGGAAAATGTTAATAACATAAAACGAAAAATTAATAATGCCATTCACAAAGTCACAAACAAAACCTAAAATTGTTGAAAATGTATCACTATTTTGTATGGTTGTATACTGGGGGGTAAGAAAAAAAAACCCTGAATAACATACATGTTATTTGATAATGCGGGATGAGAAATGTACAGATAATTTTAGGTTAGTTACGAAACCATTATTAACTATACCTCGTCAATTTTTAACGTAAATCAAGAACGATTCTAAATGCTAGAAATTAAATGATCAACGATTTATAAGCAATTATTAACAATATAATGTTATATTATCATCGTTATATAGGTGATCGTGCTATTACTTTATGACATCATTGGTAACATTTATGATACTCTTATTAACGAGATCTCGTCATTATTCAACAAAACCCAAAAACGTTAATACATGTTTATATAAACAAGATAACAACTTTTCTTAGCTATATATCACAAACTCCCACTGGAGTATCCATCTTCATGAAAGGACAAATAAAGTTGGGAATAGAGAAAAACCTCGTAGTCGACTCCTGTCAAGCTTTGTGACCCATATCCATGGATGGCAGTTGGGAATAGGGTGGAGGCTGGAAGACAGAGACAGCCGGGCCGCTTGGAGCTCTCGCCGATCCAAACCATTAGGCGTTGTGTGAAGACTTGGAGCGGGCTGTTGGAGAGCTGGGGAGTTAAGATTTGGTGGAAACGGGAACTTGGTGGACACAGAAGCTGGGAGTCAATGGCGGAGACAAGCTGGCGGGAGTAGAAGGGACGGCCGGCGGCTGCAGTGGACACGATCGCGGGAGAACGTCCTTTGACGAGAAGAGAAAAGGTTCGGCCGTGGGTGAGGGAAAAAAATGCCGAGGGTTTATAGACAGTTAGGGTTATGTTTTTTAATTATTTACAATTCCTTAAATATCCTTAACAACTAATTAACTAATAACTCCATACTAACTACCTAAAATTAAATCAGCCAATCACAACGCTTTAAGATCTTCCTTAAAAAATGGGTTTAAGGACCCGAACTTAGGCCCCTAAAATCAAGATAAAATTGGGACCGGACCGGATCAAGACCGGACTGTATCCAATTCAATCTTTGGTCCTTATATTCCCGAAAAGACCGGACTGGGACCGAATCAATTTGGTCCAATTTAACCGGACCGGACCGTATAGCCACCCCTATTACATTTAGTGGAATGGTACGGGTGGAAATTTCATGACAAGAGGTGTTTGGTCAAATGAAAAATTGTTTATAAACCTTAGGTAAAGTGTTAGTAGAATAAAAAAGTAGTCTCAATGAAAGTGGAAAATGAATCTCTCAACATCTCCAAAAAGCTCTGAACGGGAAATCCTCCCTTCCGACTGTCGCTTTTGGAGCTCAATCTTCAAACTACCATCTCACAGAAAGCATTAATTGAAAGCACTAATGGATTCTACAGATACAACCAAAAAGATGCATTTGAAAAAATTAGACTCTGAGCAATATCAACTACTCCTATTCCTTCCTATATTTACTTAAATGCAAGGTGGTCAACCTGCGGGTCGATCCGGACCCACCCTAAAAAATAGGCCATAGTAACCCTTATGACTATCAGATGGAACTAGTCAAACCCAACGAAATACGGTCAACCCCGGTAAAACCCGGGCGGTTAGCCTGTTAGAGCAGGTCGCTTCTCCTGAGGCGTCGTTTTTGGCTGTGCGGCGTCGTTTTCTGTTAGGAGAAGGCGAGAAGCATAGCAGGGTATGGAAAACGAAAACCCTACCTCTATCGTCATCTCGACTCATCCTTCCATTTCCCGCAACTCTGTCTCCCGCTCCGCAGCCGCTCGATCTCCATCGCTAGGCCAAGGTGTTCTTCCTTCATTGGCGGCACGCTCCAGGTTGCCGGAGAGAGTCTTCTCCCTTTGGCCTTCACTGCTCGGCCGCCATCTCCCTCTGCCTCCATCGCTCAGTCTCTCCCGCCTCGAGCTCGGTCGCCCCTGCCTGGATAGTCGATCGCTCGAGCTTCCTCTATCAACTCGGCCTTCCATCTTCAATTGGCAGCTCGGCCTTCTAGCCTTCTCCTTGCTGATCGACGTTTCCTCCCTTGGTCTGGCGTTCAAACTCATTTGATATTCGGTAAGGGTTCGTTGGATTTGGGACTTGGTTCCAATAAATGGGAACAAACACGAATTGTGATGTTTTAGATGAATTTGGTTCCAATTGTTTGATGTTTTAGATGTTAGGAAGAAGTTGATGTTATGTGATGGATTTAAGTGTTGTTGAATTTTTACTATGTTGAATTTAAGTTGATACTATTTAACTATGTTGGAGTTTAAGAAGTTTTGCGTTTTTTCTATGTCACATTCAGGATAAGTACAATATAATGACTCTTTTCATATTTTCGGGCTAAACCAGGCTAACTCGGGCCAAAACGGGTGACCCATTAACTCTTGACCCACTAGCTCGACCGGACCAACAGGCTAAACCGGGTTGACAACCTTGCTTAAATGCAATAGCTCATATCTATATGAGGAAACCTCCGGTCATTAAAGAGCGTGATCTAGCCAGAGCATGGAAACCACCCCCATATCCTAATTTTGAAGAGCATTTACTCCGATCACCAACAACAAAGGAAGCCATCAGAAAACAAGTATAAGTACACACCCCATTTACTTACATAGAGCCTGTACAAGAGGGTAAAAGTTATGAAATGGGATACTCATCCATCGAGCCTCAAAACTTAACAAAAGAGATCGTAAGAGGCAGAGACAGTTCAAATAGATTTAAAATTTGAAGAGATGGGAAACCCTCACACCACCTTTAACATCGCTTTTCAAAGAGGGTTTATAAAAGGAGAGGAAGGGGAAGAACAAATACTCACACTTACCCATATCAACACGGCAACAGAAAAACACTCTCACACCCATAAATCAAACTCATTTTAGAAAAAAAGTCACCACTAGAAAAATAGAACGCAATACAAACCCAAACGCAACCACTATAACCTTACCCACTTTGTACTCAACCTTCAGCCTCAAGTTGTGAGAATTCCAGGAAGTGGCATGGGCATGCTGATAGGAAAATGGATGACTCATGCCACAATTGCCCCAATCAAAGATAGAAGTGTTGCTCAAAACAAGTGGAAGAACTATGGGGAGATCCAAATGAAGGGGGAGGGGGAACATCTACATTTACTCTTTCCCTTCAGAGGCTAGGAGAGATGCAATGTGGATTCTAGGTCGTGGAACCTCTAAAATACTCTTATTGCCTTGAATAACCAGGATGAGAATGCGAAGCTAAAAGAAGTGGATCTCTCCAAAATCACAATATGGGTACAACTTCACAATCTTCCTCGATGCTAATGGATGAGCTCACCATTTAAGTCATTACAGCTTACGTATCTCCACAGTTTCACAAGATTGATCGAGCAAGTTTCAAATCCATGGATGGAAATGATTGGGTGGAATCCTATTAGAAGTGGACCTAAATGAGCTTGTTCCCAGCGAATTTGAGTACCCCAATGGAAACCAAGCGATCTTGGTTAGATTCAAGTATGAAAGGGTGTTGGGTTTATGTTATTTTTGTAACAAAATAGGGCACCTTCTCCATAACTGTTCAAGTTGAGAGGAAAATTGAAGAAGAGGGTTGCCCGCTGATCCCGTTGAGATCTATTCGATGATGCTTAGACCGGGCCATGATTCACCAGAAAGCACTTCACCACTGTTGTTCTTCCGCCCATCGCAGAAAGAGAGAAACAACCTCATGATTGCTATCCAACCCCAACACATTTCTCCATACGAACATGGGGAACACACCTCAATGACTACTACGATGGTAAGAAACAACCTACAACCCATATGCCCACCTGATTTCGAATGAAGGATTATGGGAAACCAACAATCAATCACTAAAATATTCCCACTAGAGCACCTAGGATACACTAGCTCCACAGTCACACCCCGAAGGCTAGAAGATGACCTCGATGATGCAGTTGAGGTGCTCAGGCGGTCACTTTACCTAAACATGGGGCTGGTAAGGAACAATGGCTCAGAGACTAGGCTGAGGATGAGTCAAGAATTTGCTTCCACAAGCCCAACAAAAACCCTTGAAATAATGGGCCTATAAGATGGCCCGAGCAACTCTCCTGATGACAACTCTCTCTCCTTGTACAAGAGGCCCAACTTAACTACGCAAAACTGGTGGGTAGAACTGAGTAAAAAAGGAAACCAGCCTACGTGCACTATTTGAGGCCAGATCTTTGGATCCCATCAGTCGACTAATCTGGTCCATGATTTTCTGAGTTTTTCTCTTGGTTCAGTGGTAGGTGAAAAATAGAAAAAAAAACTCAATACAAGAAGGAGATCAATGGAGGCTGGAATGTCGAGTGGTAGCAACTCAAGAGCATAGGGCTGACAGTCACCATAGGCAGCAGGGGATCGCCTTGAGCCACCACACCTAGAAATGACATTCTTAAGCTGGAATTGTAGGGGATACAACCAATACCTTACAAGAAGCTATTGCGACATGGTGTACTTGTTTCGTCAATTCGGCCTGTCTATCTTTTTCTGTGTGGGAATAAAGAATGATAATCTTTTCATGGAGGAGGAAAGGAGGAAGATGTTTTTCACAAAATTAGACTATGTAGAACCTCATGAGGGTTGTAGCAGTCTAACTATTTGGTGGAAGGTAGGAGTCCATTTTCAATTGCTCGATTCCAACGATTACTATCTATATGAAAAAAATTAGCTATGGTTCTGAATTTTTCCGTATTATTTTCCATGCTCTTATCACCACTATAAGTCGAAGGAGATTCTTGGAACATCTTAGAACTATTCAAAGTAATGTAGATAATAGGTGGCTGATCATAGGGGATATGAATGTAGACATGTTCGACCATGAAAAAGAATGACGATGTCCTCTTCGTAATGAGAACGTGCATTGGCGTAGCCAGAAATATTGTTAAGGTGGGTCAAAAATAAAAGGCAAAGTACACTTGTATAATCTCAACTTTCAGGTTTTTACCAATAATATGTAGTTTTTTATAGGCAATATTCATCTGTGTAGCCAAAACTTTGACGTTTGTGACAATAATAGCCACTTTTGAGGAAATACCAATAATATCCAAAATTTTGAAAGTTTGATGACATACATAGCCATTTCCGTTACATAATTTGACAGCGTCAGTGACACTGTTAGTCAAATTAACAGAACGCTTACAAGGCTGCCAACTCACCGGACAACTCAACAACACTTGCCACGTAGATGCCATGTCATATTTTAATTTAATGGTCAAGAAGATGCAGGGCTTTGGTTGTATGCAGCTGAGCGGTGTTTCAAGAACCATCCGATTCCGGAGGAGAGAAAAGCATACTTAGCATCATTCTACCTAGAGGGCAACGCGCTTCAGTGGTGGGAGTGGATGGAGAGATAGTACGCAGCAGCAACAACCTTGATCACCTGGCCGATGTTCCAGGAGGAATTCCGTTACTAGTTTGGGAAATCGGAGGGGTGGGCACCGGAGCAGCTCGCGAAGTTGAAGCAGACCGGCATTGTGGTCGATTACCGTGCAAAATTATTTAAGTTGGGAAACCAGTGCAGAGGAGTACCCGAGGACACACTGGTTGGGCTATGCATGGCGGGCCTCAAGCCCGAGATAGCAGCGGCGGTCAGAGTATTCGAGCCGGATTCTCTGAAGCCTGCTTTTCGTCTTGCAGGTCATAAGGAGGAAGAACTCGCAAGCTGGAGGAGCACCATTGGCCGTTACACACGGCCAAGTGGAGGAGGAGGAAACAACGGGGCAGGTGGCAGCGGGGGAGGATCGGCGGCGGGCAGTGCATCAGGAGCTAACACCGGGAGTGGAAGCACCGCGCTAGTGACCAGAGTAGGGTCGCGACCAATACCGAAAGGGTTTGTGCGGCTCTCTCCGGCTGAGATCGAGCAAAAGAGGCGAGAGGGCAAGTGCTTCAATTGTGATGGTCGGTTCACCATTGGGTATCAATGCGCGAAGCCGGGCCTGATGATGCTCGTAGGACGATGGGAAGACGAGGCAGAGGATGCGACTGAGGACACCAGAATCGGTGAGGAGGAGACCCAGTGAGCTAGAGGAACACCCTTGGGGACAAAGTTGCTTTTTGAAGAAAGCGGGGATGATGAAAACTTGCACTTTAGTATTTTGATTATTTGGAATTATTGTCGGTTTATTGCCATTACAGATTATTGGGACTATTTTGGGGAGATTGTGGGGGATTAATTATTTGGGGTGTCATTCGGAAATTCTGCATTTATATAAAATATTGTTGTACGTGGGATTTACCACTAAGCAAGATTAAATCTAAACCTAATTGCCTAATCCCTCTCTCACTCTATCTGCCGACCCCCTTCCTTTCCCCTCTCAAATCGACTGCCGAGCAGCCCACTTCCCCTTCCTCTTCCTCTTTTTCTTCCTCGTCCAACCCCAATCCCCTCTTCCCCTCCTTTTCGATTACCTTGATGATCAATCCTACTTGATCCTTTCTAATCCCAATCCCTAGATAGAACCCAATTCTCCGGGTTCTATCACGATCCTTTGTTAGGCTTTTTTTCCTTCTCTCTTCGTGGTTCCCATTTCCCCCTTGTGAATTCCCGTCGATTCACTCTATGGGTTCATCTTTTGTCCTCTGTAATGATCTATCAGAGTTGGAGATGTTGTTTTCAATCTAAGTAGCAAAGAAGGTAAGATTTGTCAAAAGTTCAACTTGTCTTCTCCTCATTTGTCCCTTTATTTACATCCTGGGTTCACTTTGCTGTTTTTGGTGTTTCAGGGATGTTAGCCTTGTGGATTGGACTTGAATCAATGTTCTTGAAGACGATTTGGTGTTGGTGGTGCACCCCCTCTGACTTGTGAGGATCCGTTGGTGGTGCACCCCTTTGCGACCGCTGCTGGTTCTCCATCTAGGTTTGGATGTCTTGCTTTGGTTGGTGGTGATGTTGGTGATCAACATTCCGTCAGCCATGATCGAAACATCCAACGACAGTGGTGTTTTCTATTAGGAGCATTATGCGGCTATGCTTTGGGGAGATAAATCCATATGTTTGAGCTATTTTGTCTAGAGCCTATTGGTTTTATGAGCCTTTGTTTTGGACTATTGGGTTCTTTTTCTCCTTTTTAACTCTAATAATGTGTAATGCTTGATTTTTTTTCCATTGGGCTTGCCCATTTGTTATTTAATGAACTGACGGTTAAAAAAAAAATATTAATTAACAAATACTACTATTACTATTCTCTTGTATTCTTTTTACACAAGCGATGAGAAAAATGTTATTGTCCTATTTTTTGTGATTTATTCTTACAATCATTTGGCGAGTGACCTTTCTTTTTTGGACTCATGTGATATTTGAATTTCACGCATTTTGCCGCGTAAATCTATATAATGTATTATGAACGAAACTTAACACATTAACCATAGACTATCATCCAAATTTATAATAACAACGTACTGTTTCAACAACAATTCAAATAACTGATCTTACAAATGTACAACAAGTTATTTGGCAAAGATAATCCAAACAACCTTATGTGAGATCTGTTCCTCAAAATGGGTTAATATAGCTCAATTAACTCATTATAGTTGGGCCAAATTAATCCATCAAAATGATCATCCAAAGCAGCCCTTAATCTTCAGCTCTGGCGCTCGCTCTCCCCTCCTTTTTTTACTCTTCCATTTGCTTCCGTCGTGTGACTGTGTGAGCAAGACAATCACTCAGCTTGGGACTTGCGCTCCTAACTCTCACTCACACTCTCTCTCTCTCTGTTCCACTGTAAGTTCGTGTTACCATTTTCCAGATTTTGCAGCTTCATTTGCTTCGGTTCCTCCTCGCCGTGCCGACTGTTTGCATTTTTCCGCTTCTCTCCTTGATCAGTTTTAGGGTTTCTGTGTTGTTGATTCCCGACCCACATTGCTGTTTTCTCTTCTCTGCAAAAGGGAAAATTGGAGCTGAACCCAGAGGCCTCCACTTAAGTTACCTGCATGTGATTTTTCATGGGTGGGGAATGGGATCTTTTTCCAATTTGAATTTACCTCTGGGTTGCAGTAGTGTTGCATGGGCAAGTTCTTTACTTTTCATGTTTATCGAACTTGGGTCTCTGATTGTTTTTCAGTTGGTTCCCCTCCCAATTTTAACATCGAAGGTTCAACTTGGACTGAGTGAACACCGAGGTTAAGTTTTCGTTTTTCTTCATTACTGGTGGTGCTAGGGAGGCAGTGAGGGATCTCTCTTTGGACAATCAACCATGCCGCCGAATCCCAGAGTGGTTGAGGTCTTCCGGACAATGAGAGAGATCGGATTCAAGGATGAAGTAGTGAAGCCTGTATTGAAAAGGCTTCTGAAGCTGTACGATAAGAAGATCGAATTGATTGAAGAAGACAACTACCGGGTTCTTCTGGACGCTCTACTTGAGGATCAGGAGGTTCATGTTACCCTTGCTCTCACCCTGACATTTCTATTTTTCTCGCCTCTTTGTTGATTCTAATGTTGATGTGTGGTATTTGTTTGTTGACTCAGGGATCGGGAAACAAACAAACCGTTGATGTATGTGGTCTACATTTTCTGTAAATTCTTACTCTGGTGCAGGTTCATTGTTTTGTATTCATTTATCAGAATTGACGTGTGCCTGTGTGGGTAATCTTGATATAGGAGGCAACCTTTGATGAAGATATTCAGGATGAAGAACCTCCTCCGCAACCGCTAAAACGGCTACGTCCATTGCGCATAAGAGACCAAGAAGGAACGGTGTCCCCTTCATCAGGAAACCATAGCCCCCAAACCAATGGAACTTTGCTAGAGCAGTCAGAACTGGAGGATAGAGATCCAACTTCCACAAATTCCATGCAGACAAATATATCTCCTCAACATCCTGATGCAAGTACAGGCAGCCAGCCATTGTCTGCACAGAGAAGTTCATCTCAGCAACAAGTAACTGACAGAATTGCAAATAAAGGGAAAGAGCCTATGTCATCACAGGTTCCTGCTAGAGACAAGAGGCCCCTTGATTTAGGAGAGAAATCCATACGTATTGATTCTCCACGAAAGCGAAAAGTGCCTGATGCCAATGCCCTGATAGTACCTAAAGATGAGCCAGTCACCGAGGAGATGCCTCTCAACGAGCGTCCTCTTGCAGTAATAGGGCCCGGTAAATCATTCTACAATGTTGGAGTACAAACATTGTCATTGAAAATTCTTACATACTTTCCTAATGAGTTGAATTGCTTTCTTCATATTCTGCAGATTATATCGATGGTAATAATGCTGACCATGGAGACCAGACTAGCAAGCCCTCTTCTAACTTGGAAATCGCTTCATCCCCTTTAGGAGAGGTGAAGATATCCTTGAGCTGCCAACCTTTGCTTGAAAGGCCAGATTTTCACATGCCAACTCTGGACGAACTGCTGAAATCAGTGGAGGAGAAATATCTCCGACATAAATTACTTGATCCGAACTTTTCCCTCATGCAAATTATGAAAGATATGTGCCAGTGCTTTGTGGAATTGGCAACTGATTCATCTCACGAATCGCAGGAAAGGGGGGTAACCAATGAAACACATTCAGATGATATGTCGAGGAATTCTGGTGCTTCGAATGCACTTTGTCTTGTGGGTACTGATGTAAATAAAGGGGCGCCATCTGATTCATCCAATCAATCTGTTGATCCAGAGCTTCAAGCTCCCAGCTTGGTCCATTCCCTTGATAACCATGTGATCCCCAACGGCGGCGATGTAAATGGCTTTGGAACAAGATTAGGAGACTCTGAATCTTGCAGCTTACCAGTTGTTCCACGATATCAGACTGGTTGTGATGAGTTAAGGTCTCTTCATGACTTAAATGACATTACTAAGGGAGAAGAAGTCGTTGAGATTCCATGGGTTAATGAAGTCAACAATGAGTGCCCACCATCCTTCCACTACATACCGGGAAACCTTGTATTTCAAAATGCTCGTGTCAAGTTCACTCTTTCTCAGATCACGGCAGATCATTGTTGTGCTTCTTGTGTTGGGAATTGCCTTTCTTCATCATCTCCTTGTGTTTGTGTTGCTGAAACTCTGTATGGGTTTGCATACACACCAGATGGTCTTCTAAAGGAGGACTTTCTGAAAGAATGCATCTCCATGACTCGGGATCCTCAGCTACAATGCCTATCCTATTGCACGGATTGCCCATTGGAGAGATCCAGAAATGAAGAAATGTTAGAGCCATGCAAAGGTCACCTGAACAGGAAATTTATAAAAGAGTGTTGGAGAAAGTGTGGATGCCATAAGCAGTGTGGTAATAGAGTAGTACAACGAGGTATAAGACGCAAGTTGCAGGTATGCTCAGGCCTTCTAATCCCCCAGTCATTTGTTGTTATTTTTGACATGTTGCCTGAATGATTGATTCTGTACATCAGGTTTTCTTCACAACTGATGGAAAGGGGTGGGGGCTTAAGACCCTGGAGAAGCTGCCCAAAGGTGCATTCATTTGTGAATACATTGGAGAAATTCTGACCATCAAAGAAGGGCACGAGAGAACAATGCAAAACTCAACAATTACCAAGGCTGAGAATCCGCCTTCAGTTCCGTTAGATGCTTATTGGAACTTGAAAGGGGCTCTAAAGGATGATGAGTATCTTTGTTTGGATGCTTCGGACTATGGTAATGTTGCCAGGTTTATAAACCACAGGTAGTTCTTTCTATCTCGTGTATTTTTACTGCATTGTTAGGGCTCTTGATCTTTCCATGGTTTTTCTTTTTGGCCTCCTATTGTTTCTCCACAACCTACATGTTCGGATTTATTGTCGTTATCTGTATAAAGTTAACCAAGCTGGCAAATATTGTTTTTGCAAGGTGCCTTGATGCCAATCTAATTGAGATCCCCGTCAAGATAGAAACTCCGGACCATCACTATTATCACGTATGCATTCCTTTGCTCTGAGTACTCTATTCCTGTAATGACACAACTTTTTGTAGTCGCACCTGAAAGCTGAGATGTCTCTTACTGATGCTATATTCACTTTGGTGCAGCTAGCCTTCTTCACAACAAGAGAGGTGGATGCCTTGGAAGAGTTGACTTGGGTGAGCAATTTCATTTTTAGTGACATGCTACCTGGTAGTTCTGCGTATATTAATTGGTTTTCTGAGCTGAGAAGCCTGGAGCTGTACAAATTCAAAAAAGGATCCAACACGCTTTGTTCGCTTCATGTTCCTTTTATTTTTTGTGAATTGATGTTCGCTCCCTGTAGGATTATGGTATCGACTTTGATGACAATGATCAACCATTCAAGAATTTTCAGTGCAAGTGTGGCAGCAAGTTCTGCAGGAACATGCAGCGAACAAACAGTGAGTTCTCCTATTAAACTCTTAACAATCATAATTAGGCGATATGCTTGTCGAAATTGCCTTCCTGGTATTGTTTGTGAAAGTCCAAGTGGGTGCGAGGACAGTAGAACTGTTCCAACACGAAACAGAAACCGTTAACCATGTAACCGTCTTCCTCCCCACTTAGTAGGCAGGTCCAAACCCAGTCAACTAATTCTTGTATCTTCTACATTGTTATATGTATATATCTCCTTTGTTGGTGCAGGATCTAGGCATCTGGCCAGCTGAACATGGGACGAGAAACGGTCATTTTGCAAGCCTTCTTCCTCGGGGCTGAGATGGTAACCTCTAGTTTTGCGCTAACCCTTGTAAGAAAGCCATCCGTTTTCCAGACTTCTGTACGAATTTAGGACATTATATAGCCATTCAAATCTTGTTTGGTTATGCAATCTGTGCAGTCGGCATTCCTCAGGCCTGTCCATTACGTGTTTTGTTACTCTGAACAGGGTCCTCTGAAGTAGATTCTTGTTAGAATTTTAAACGACTAGTTACTTGCGATAAAAATAATTAACCAATACATAAATATGATTAAGGAGAAAAGTAACAGCTTAACATAAAATTTTAAAACTGGAAGTGACCGAAGAAAGTTCAAACTGGAAATGAAAGAAAGCTGCAGAAGTTTGCGGGTGTGTTTGGCATTGAAAGGGATCAATGTGTAGAGTTAGTCGTATTCAGGACCTATTATGTTCTTGCCGCGGTCAGTAGCTGCTACTTGGCGCTGCTTCTTCATGTGCTGTGTCCTTGCTTTGCTCCACCAAGAAGTAGGCGATTTGTTGAGTTTCTTGAGGATCAGCCTCTGCTTGCTCCCCTCGTTGTACAGCGAGCCATCCTCGTTGGTCATCCACTTCAGTTCCGGCTTGTAAAGACGAGACTTCACTTCTTCCCTCTCGACGTCATAAGCCACGATCCTCGGTTTCTCATCCACCTTCTTTGCCGCCATCTTCAACGTGAACATACTCTGCAACTGCTTGTTCACCTTGATGTGCTCAGCAAACGTTTCTTTTCCCAGAAACCCCTCTAGAAACGCAAACTGCAGCCTTTCTGTCCATGTTGTCAGCATCATGCCCTTTTCCTCCGTCGCCTCCAATCTCTTGCAAGAGCTGACTTCTTCAAAGAACTTCACCACAAATGCCAGCCTGGTAGCCCTGGTGTTCTCTTGCTCTTTGCCCACTTCATGTTCGATCGCTTTCATCAGAAGCATCCTCTCGTTCAATTTCTGGGCAATGTTGTGTATGGAAGGGTGAGATGAAGAAGAAGAAGAAGATGATGACGACGACTCTCCTTGTGCTCCATTATCTTCCACAGCAGCAGACTTGGGAACACTCATGTGAGAGTCGATCTCGACAATGAAAGCTAGCGCCTCGGCAGCTGCAAGGACTACGAATTCGTTGTCATGGCCCAGAAGACGGAAGAAGCAAGGAATTGCCTTTTGCCAGTGGGTTCGGCTGATCCCGTACTTATTGCAGAATGAAAGAAGACGACGTCGTAGTTCCCCCAGAAGCAAGTAAGGAGCTGGGTAGAGACGACAACGTTTTACTTAGCATCTTTTCAGTTTTCAATTTTTACTGTACAGCTAGGTGTCTTCCTTAGATTGGTTGGTAGTTTTGTTTTCTGTTTGTTACCGTTGTATAGCTGTATAGGGTGAATTTCTTCCCTTCGTGAAGGAGTTGTAGATGCTGAGTATATATGGAAAGGCCTTGAGCCACATAGGATCCTGCGGGTTCCTTTACAATATTCTGGGTCTGGATTTCACATGGTATCAGAGCCTGGTTACCAAAACTAGGGTTTTCAGACTCAGCAATCCCGCATTCTTCTTCTTGAGAATTTTTCTTTTTGATTCTCGTTTTCTTAATCAATGTCGACGGAGGCAGCCTCAGCTATGTCGTCATCGACGTCGACTGTTGCTTCGATTCCTATCAACACAGTCACAAACCCCTTCTATATCAACCCAAATGAAGCCTTGAGTTTTCCTATCAAACTTACAGGCACAGCCAACTACAATTTATGGAGTAGAACAGTTCGAGTTGCTCTGAAAAGCAAAAACAAGCTTGGGTTCTTCACAGGGGCGATTCCCGTTCCAGATCTGACGCACGAAAGCTACCAAGCTTGGGAGCAGAGTAACACAGCAGTCTACTTCATGATTCTTGGGTCTTTGGATCCTAGCCTGGTCAACAGTGTCTCTTCACAAGACAATGCCAAGCTTCTTTGGGATGATTTGAGGCAGAGGTATGGACAGGCAGATAACATTCGCATCAGTGATCTTCAGACTGCTGTCTACACTCTGAAGCAAGGTAACAAATCAGTGAACCAGTTCTATTCTGAATTGAAAGGACATTGGGAAGAATTAGTCCAATTTTTACCAATTCCAGAATGTGTGTGTGGTGAAGAACCTAGAAATAGGGCTGTTCCTTGTGTGACTGAGACTACAGTTAGGAAATATAGGGAGAATGAGTTTGTGACTAGATTCATTACTGGATTGAATGAATCGTATGGGGGAGTCAAAACTAATCTCCTTATGATGATTCCACTGCCGACCATGGAAACTGCTTTCCACTATGCCATTCAACATGAGAGGCAACTTGGCAAGCCAAGTCAGGACTCTCAAGTGGAATCTGTTGCTTTGTTGGCTGCAAATCAATCAAGAGGAAAAGAGAATGTTAAGGGCAGTCAGGGTACCCTATTTTGTAGATACTGCAAAAAGGATAACCATGTTATTGCAGACTGTTTCAAGCTGAAGAGAAAGAACAAGGAGTCTGGGTCTACTTCTGGTTTTGCAGGACAGGTCCAAAGCATTGATAATGCTGGGAATGATGCAGGAGGAAATCAGTCAAAACCAGAAACTAGATCTATGTCTGAGACAAGGGATGGGGGTTTTACTAATGTGAGACTTTCGAATGAAGATTTGAGTAGACTGCAGAGAATTCTGAACCAATTTGGGTCACCAAGTCCACCCACATCTCCTGGATCAACTAATCCAAACTTGACAGCATCTCAACAGCATCAGTCACCCATGGTTAATTCTGTTAGCAGACATCTATCAGTGAATCCCAATTTTGCAGGTAAATACACTCTTACTTCATATTTCCAGCAGCATCCTTTGGAACTAGTGAATGTGTGGTTCTTAGATACAGGGGCTACAGATCATGTAACTTGTTCTAAGTCTAGTTTCATTAGGTGTTTTCCCATTCAGAATGTGTTTATAACCTTACCTAATGGGACCAAAACACCTGCCACTCATTCTGGAACAGTTAGACTTACTCCAAATCTTGTCATTCACAAAGTTCTTCTTGTGCCAACTTTTTCATTCAACCTAATCTCAGTTAGTAAACTGACTCATTCCCTACCAGTTACACTCACTTTCAAATCCACCATTTGTTCTATCCAGGACCTTCTAACATTGAAGACGATTGGTTTTGCCCAAGAGAGTAGGGGTCTTTACCAGCTCATTCCCACTACCACAGAAGATCAACCTGTTCATATCAATTCTATCAAGACTCAAAATTTCACATCTCAATCTTTTGATCTTTAGCACTGGCGGCTTGGACACCCTTCTGAAGTCAGAGCTAAAGAGCTAAAGAAAACTGTTCCTAGTATAGATGTTACTTCTGTTCATCACTGTGATGTTTGTCCTCTTTCTAAACAGAAACGTCTTTCTTTTTCTTCAAGCCAATCTATGGCAAAGGATGTTTTAGAGCTTATACATACTGACATTTGGGGGCCTTTAGCTGTTTCTAGCTACAATGGATTTTCTTATTTCCTTACCATTGTAGATGACAAGTCTAGATGTGTTTGGACATATCTTATGAAATACAAAAGTGAAGCCAGAAAATTGTTGCAAGACTTCTGTGTGATGATTCAAACTCAGTTTGAGAAAACCATTAAAGTCATTAGATCTGACCAAGGGGCAGAATTCCATATGCCTGATTTCTATTCAAAATTTGGAATTGTACACCAGCTTTCTTGTGTTGAAACTCCACAGCAGAATGCTAGAGTGGAGAGAAAACACCAACACATCTTGAATGTAGCTAGATCCCTCAAATTCCAATCTGGCCTTCCTCTAAAATTCTGGTCAGATTTTATCCTACATGCTGTCTACTTGATAAACAGATTACCTACTGTTGCTGTTGGTAACAAAACACCTTATGAAGTCTTATATGGACACCCTCCTGATCTGTCCAATTTAAAGGTGTTTGGCTGTTTATGTTATGCCAGCACTTTGAGCCATAACAGAACAAAATTTCTTCCTAGAGCCAAACCTTGTGTTTTCCTAGGATTCCCTCCAGCAGTTAAAGGGTATAAATTATTTGATCTACAAGATCAGAAAGTTTTTCTTTCTAGGGATGTGATATTCCATGAGAATATTATACCTTGTTTACCTCTTCCTACCAGTGAATTACCACCATCATCACCTATACCTCAAGTCCCACTTCAGTCTTCTGAGTTACCACCAGATACTTTTCCTTCACAACCTCATCCTATGGATCTAGGAACAACACAACCACAAGTTGTTTCCAATTCCCCACCTGTTATTCCCTCTTCTCCAGTTCAAAACATGAATACTTCTTCCCCATCTTCTTCTTCCTCCACCAACATACATACCCCATCTGATCCTATAGACTCACCTATTTCTGTTTCACAATCCCCCCAAAATACTTCTTTGCCTATTGCTGTTAGGAAACCAACCAGACAAATTGTTAAACCTCTCAAGTACAATGACTATGTTCTGAATTTAGGAACCACACATGTCAAAGCTATATATCCTTTGGTTGCTTGCTTGTCATATGATAACCTGTCTCCAGGATATAAGAAATATGTGCTGGCTCTGGAATCTACACATATTCCTGCAAACTTTGAGGAAGCAGTTCAGATTGAGGCATGGAAGAAAGCTATGGATGTGGAAATCGAAGCTCAGGAAGCCAACAGAACATGGGACATTGTCCCCAGACCACTTAACAAGAGAGTCATAGGGAATAGATGGGTGTATGCCATTAAGTTTCTGTCTGATGGAGAAATTGAAAGACACAAAGCCAGGCTGGTGGCTAAAGGGTTTACACAAATCTATGGAATTGATTTCCTAGATACCTACTCACCAGTAGCCAAGTTAAACTCAGTCAAGACCCTTTTGGCTGTTGCAGCAGCTAAGAATTGGCAGATGATACAGTTAGATGTTAGCAATGCTTTTCTGAATGGGGACCTTGAGGAAGATGTATACATGGAACTGCCTCCTGGAATCAACAAACCAGGTTATGTATGCAAGTTAAGGAAGTCCCTTTATGGCCTCAAGCAAGCATCTAGGCAATGGTTTGCCAAGCTTACATCAGTGCTACTGTCCTTTGGGTATATCCAATCTGCAAATGATTACTCAATGTTTTCTCATCGTTCATCCTCTGGTATTTCAGTTCTCTTGGTCTATGTAGATGATATAATCATTGCAGGGGATGATACAGTGAGCATGCAGGCTTTGAAACAACATTTGAGCAGTCAATTTAAGTTAAGGGATCTTGGCCATCTCCATTATTTCCTTGGTTTAGAGATGGCTAGATCCAGGGAGGGTATTCACATATGCCAAAAGAAATACTGCACTGACCTTTTGAAAGACACAGGATTTGTAGATTCTAAACCTGTTGCCACACCAATAGACATGAAGACCAGATTATCAGCAGATGATGGACCTCTTATGGAGGATCCCACAGCTTACAGAAAGATAATTGGTCGATTGCATTATTTGACAATTACTCGACCTGAGATTACATTTGCAGTTCAACAGTTATGTCAGTATCAAGCTGCTCCTACAACTACACATTTACAGCTTGCATACAGAGTTCTGAAATATCTTAAAAATGCTCCTGGCCAAGGTCTTTTCTATCCATCTTCTTCTGATCTAAAGCTAAGGGGATATAGTGATTCGGATTGGGCTTCATGTCCTGACACCAGGAAGTCAACAACTGGTTGTTGCATCACATTTGGATCTTCTCTGATCATATGGAAATCGAAGAAACAAGGGACAGTTTCCAGATCATCATCCGAAGCAGAATACAGGGCTCTGGCTCAACTTACATGTGAGGTGGTCTGGGTAAAGAGATTACTGCAAGAACTAGGAATTGAACATCCACAACCAGTGAATCTCTTTTGTGACAATTGATCTGCGATTTACATTGCAGAAAATCCAGTGTTTCATGAAAGAACGAAACACATCGAGATCGATTGTCACATTGTCCGGCAATTCCTCCAATCCAAGCTGATTGGACTGAGTCATCTTGAAACCGAGCATCAAATTGCTGACTTATTTACAAAGGGGCTGAGTCGATTCAGGTTGGATTTCTTGCTATCCAAGCTGAACATACAGAATCTGTATGCTTCAGCTTGAGGGAGGGTATTGCAGAATGAAAGAAGACGACGTCGTAGTTCCCCCAGAAGCAAGTAAGGAGCTGGGTAGAGACGACAACGTTTTACTTAGCATCTTTTCAGTTTTCCATTTTTACTGTACAGCTAGGTGTCTTCCTTAGATTGGTTGGTAGTTTTGTTTTCTGTTTGTTACCGTTGTATAGCTGTATAGGGTGAATTTCTTCCCTTCGTGAAGAAGGAGTTGTAGATGCTGAGTATATATGGAAAGGCCTTGAGCCACATAGGATCCTGCGGGTTCCTTTACAATATTCTGGGTCTGGATTTCACAGTACTTGTTGCTGGACAGCATGAAGCACCAAGATGATATGGCGGCTGGGTGATTGCTCCTTCTTCCTCTTCTTCCCTGTGAACTCATGTTACATATTTAATCATGAAAATCATAATATGAACGTGAAAAGTCTCGCCATGCGGCTAGGATAGCCTCAGATCATACGCACTGTTAGTGTTGTGGTATATGATCCACGATTGAACCTCTTCCAACAACTCGAGTTATTGGGACCAACTGGTTCTTGACATGGTATCAGAGCCTTATGTGACCGAGAGGTCTTGTGTTCGATTCCCGGTGACCCCCATTTGTTAAGCACATGGTATTCTTGTCTTCACACCTATGCAAACTTCAAGCCGTTGTAAGTGGCTTTCGTTTGAGGGGGCGTGTTAGTGTTGTGGTATATGAGTCAATATTGAATCGTCTATGCACAAATAACGGATAAAGAGGATCTCACATGTTAACTCGAATGCGAGTTGATGGAATAATTAGGGTGAATAATCTCTCCAATAGGTGAATAATATTTTAATTAGGGAGGCAAATGAGTATAGTCAAGTCAATTATTGATCTAGTTTATTATTAAAATAGGTGAATAATAAACAAGTCGAGCTCAATTTCGACTGGTTTATTAAAATCCAGGTTTGCTTTTTTACTCGAACTCGACTCATTAAGAGCCCACGAGCTCTACTCGAGGTTGACTCACCAATTAGCGCGTGAGACTGGCTCGAGCTAAAGTATCATATAATTTAGTTTATAATTTTTTATTGTTCATATCATGCTATTTAATAATAATTAGTATCCGAGCAATATGTGGTACATGATTCAAATTCTTAAACATCATATGTAGTGAGATAAATAATCTAACAAACCTATAAATAATCAATAAGCCAATGATAAACTATTAATAGATTTGTTCGTAAATTACTAATAATTAAGATTGCTTGCTTAGCCATATTGTCGAGCCAACTCATAGCTCGAAATGAGCTAGCTCACTAGTGAAACTTGACAAGCCACCAAATTGGTAGTTGACTCACAAATATTGAAAGCCGAACAAAACTGAAGCTCGGCTTATTAGTAAATAAACGTAGGTTTGAATTATTTTTTCCTGATAGACCCTAATTTGAATGAAATAAGATAATCTGACGTAAAGTTAAACTATCAAAAAAGTATGTTCTAAACGAACATGTCAATTGTCAAGAGACCGATCCATAAATTGTGGAATTTCAGCCACGAGAACGTAAAACTAAATAAAAAAATTGAAGGGCAAAACAATTATACAAAAAATTACGATTTACAGGTACCTTGTTCAGCAGCATCAGCAGAGTCGCGGAAAAAATAGTCCCAAATCATGGCCATAGATTCCAACCTATGCTCCGAGAGGTATCCGCCGAAGAAAGTGACCACAGCCAAACACTCCACCACCTTAGCGGGCAGCTCGAACCTAAACCCGCTCGACAATTTCACAGCCCCAAACAGCTTCGTCACCGAATCCCGGTAGATCTCGTGAGCAGCCTCCACGTCGTCGCCGACGATCATCGCCACCAACCCAATCCTACGCGCCGCCGCCACCAGCTCCTCCGCCGACCGCCCTTTCTTGACGACGCGTATGTTGTAGAAGCTTGTAGAGAATGGTGAATTAAACAAAAGAAAAAAAAAACTAGAACCACAAATATGAAGTAGGTTCCAACTGCTCTATTTATTGAGCTGCAGATTTTTATGTAACTAAGGCCTATAAATAGGCTTGGATGTTGTAGGAAGAGATGCAGAGCCAAAAACAAAGAAAGAAGAAGCAATAAGCAATAAAAGCTTCCAAGTCCCCATTATCTCTAAAATTCCCTCTGCCAATCTCATTCTCCAAGTTTCAAATATATATATCCAAAGCCTCCCATTGCTCATAAACGAGCTCCCCACCATAAAAAGCCCACAAATAGTTTTGATTAATAAGGAAATAATTAATTTATTTCCAACAAAGTGGTATCAGAGCCCGAGTTATTCTTAAGTATGCTCTGTGGTTGCAGCGTAGTCTGAACTTCCACATCCGAAAAGAATTTCTCGTGTTTTTGTTATCACGATTGTCCCATGGCCGAAAAATCCATTTTCCCCATTCAATTTCCCCACCTTACCAAAACCAATTACAAAAATTGGTGCATTCGTATGAAAGCCTTGCTTGGATCCCAAGATGCTTGGGATATTGTCGAAAAAGGCTACGAGATTCCCGTAGAGGATTCTCGGTTATCTCCTGCTGAAAAGGAGGTATTGAGAAAAAATAGAAAGAGTGATCAAAAGGCACTCACTCTAATTCATCAATGTCTTGATGAATCGATGTTCGATCAAATAGCAGATGCTACCACGGCGAAGGAAGCATGGGATATCTTGCAAAAGGAAATGCAAGGCGTAGAACCAGTAAAGAAGGTTCGACTTCAGACACTAAGAGGAGATTTTGAAGCCATTAAAATGAAGGAAGGTGAATCTGTTTCAGATTACACCGCCCGTGTGAAGTCTATCGCCAGCAAACTGAAGCAGTATGGGGAGAAAATTGAAGAGACCAAAGTGGTGGAGAAAATTCTACGCTCATTATTACCAAAGTTTGACTATGTGGTGGTGGCCATGGAAGAAGCTAAGGACGTGTCAAAAATGACGGTTGATGAAGTCACCGGTTCATTACAAGCCAGAGAAGAAAGATTAAATAAAAGAAATGAAGAATCGTCAGAACAAGTGTTAGCTACAAAAGCTACCACTGAGGAGAAAGAAGGCACACGAGGAGGAGTTCAGTACAGAGGTCGAGGCAGAGGCAGCTACAGAGGCAGAGGAAGAGGAAGAGCCCGAGGAGCATATCAAAGCAGAATCGGAGGAAATTTCACCACGAACAATTATGAAACGTCCACCAGAGGCAGAGGTCGTGGACGTGGAAGAGGAAGTTGGAGATCAAATGAAGGTCGTGATAAATCCAACGTTCAGTGCCATAATTGCTCGAAGTACGGGCATTATGCATCAGAATGTTGGAGTCCGCCTAAAGAAGTGGAGGAAACAGCAAACAACGTGCAAGAAGAAGTCAAAGGCACATTGATGTTGTCACATCAAGGAGATGAAAAACCGAGAGACAACATGTGGTATCTGGATAATGCAGCAAGCAACCACATGTGTGGAAAAAGAAACATGTTCGTGGATATGGATGAATCAGTGAAAGGAAATGTCGTATTTGGAGATTCCTCGAAGGTTCCTATCAAAGGAAGAGGAACTATACTCATCCGGCTGAAGAATGGCTCACAACAATTTATCAGTGATGTGTACTATGTCCCAAACATGACTAGTAACATCCTGAGTTTGGGTCAATTGATGGAGAAGAATTATGAAGCCCACATGGTGAATCGTCAATTGGAGCTGCTAAATGAGAAGAGGCAGTTGTTGGCCAGAGTCCCAATGTCGAAAAACAGAATGTTCACACTGAACATTCAGACAGAAATGGCGAAGTGCTTGAAAGCGTGTGTGAAGGACAATACATGGCTATGGCATCTGAGGTATGGCCATCTAAATTTTGGAGGTCTGAAATTGCTCGGTCACAAGAAGATGGTGCATGGTCTGCCAATGATCAATCATCCAGACCAATTGTGTGAAGGATGCTTAGTTGGGAAGCAATTCAGGGCAAGTTTCCCGAAAGAGACCCTGTCACGAGCTAAAGCACCACTTGAGCTCGTCCATGCAGATCTCTGTGGACCGATCACCCCAACATCGTTCGGGAAGAACAAATACTTCCTATTGTTCATTGATGATTACAGTAGAAAGACATGGGTATACTTCTTAAAGCAGAAGTCAGACACATTTGAAGCTTTCAAGAAATTCAAGATGCTCGTGGAAAATGAAAGTGGTTGTTACATCAAAGCAATGAGATCAGATAGAGGGGGAGAATTTATGCTAAAGAAGTTCAGAAGGTTCTGTGAATATCAAGGAATTCGCAGGTTTCTCACAGTCCCAAGATCCCCACAGCAGAATGGAGTCGCTGAGAGGAAGAACAGAACTGTACTCAACATGGCGAGAAGCATGATGAAGAGCAAGAACCTGCCAAAGGAGCTATGGGCTGAAGCTGTTGATTGTGCAGTCTACTTGCTGAACAGGTCACCAACAAAGAGTGTTTGGAATCAAACACCCCAAGAAGCATGGAGCGGAAGGAAACCCACAATCTCTCACCTCCGAATCTTCGGAAGTGTCGGATATGTGCACGTACCGGATCAAGAAAGGAAGAAGTTGGATGACAAAAGCAAGAAGTACATATTCCTGGGATACTCAGAACACTCAAAAGGTTACAAAATGTTTGATCCCGTGGAAGAGAAGCTGATCATCAGCAGAGACGTGGTAGTTGATGAAGAAGCAACATGGGATTGGACTGCTGAAGCAAAGAAAAATTACACTTTTTATCCATTCACTATGGATGAAAGTGATGATGAACCAGATACAGCTACACCTGTGACAAGTCCACCCAGTCACAGAGAGCCTGCCAGCCCAGAAGGAGAATCTAGTGAAAGTCCCCGAGAAAGGCCACAGAAGTATAGAAGACTTGAAGAAATTTATGAGGAAACGACAACCATTGAAGGTGATGAATTGACACTCTACTGTCATTTCATTGATAGTGAACCAGTTGATGTCCAAGAAGCCATGAAGGATGAAAAATGGAAGAGAGCTATGGATGAAGAAATTGGAGCAATTGAGAAGAACAAGACTTGGGAGCTTGTGTCACTTCCTAAGAACCAGAAGCCAATCGGTGTGAAGTGGGTATTCAAGGCAAAAAAAAAAAAAAATGCTAAAGGAGAAGTTGTCAGGCACAAAGCAAGATTGGTGGCTAAAGGATATAGTCAGAGACCAGACATTGACTATAATGAAGTTTTTGCTCCTGTAGCGAGAATGGAGAGTATCAGGATGGTGATATCTCTCGCTGCTCAAAATGGATGGAAGATACATCAAATGGACGTGAGTCAGCTTTTCTCAATGGATATCTCGAGGAAGATATCTATGTGGAGCAACCACCTGGATACATCGTTGAAGGTCAAGAAGATTAGGTGCTAAAGCTAAAGAAAGCAATGTATGGACTTAAACAAGCACCGAGAGCTTGGAATAGCAGGATTGACAAGTATTTTCAGCAGAATGGATTCAGCAAATGCCCACATGAGCATGCACTATACTGCAAGGTGCAAGGGGGGGCAATATTGATGGTTTGCCTATATGTAGATGATCTTGTCTTTACAGGCAACGATCCTCAAATGTTTGAAGAGTTCAAGAAGACGATGGTTCTTGAGTTCGAGATGACAGACATCGGACTAATGTCATACTATCTTGGAATTGAAGTAAGTCAAAAAGAGGAAGGAATTTTCATCTCACAGGGTGGTTTCGCCAAGGAAGTCCTGAAGAAGTTTAAGATGGAGAACTGTAATCCTGTGAACACACCAGCAGAGTGTCGACTGAAATTATCCAAGGATGACAAAGGAGAGAAGGTCAACTCAACGGAGTTTAGAAGCCTGGTGGGAAGTCTGAGATATCTTACTTGTACCAGACCAGATATTCTCTACGCAGTTGGATTAGTCAGCAGATACATGGAGGCACCAACTATGTCACACTGGAATGCTGCAAAGAGGATACTGCGCTACATTAAAGGTACAATCGATCATGGTCTACTTTATACTAAGTCAGAAAATTTCAAATTGGTTGGGTACTGCGATAGTGATTGGGCAGGAGACGTCGATGATCGCAAGAGCACTACAGGATTTGTATTTTTTCTGGGAGATACAGCTTTCACTTGGAGTTCAAAGAAGCAAGCTATCGTGACACTGTCAACTTGTGAAGCTGAGTATGTTGCTGCGACATCGTGTGCGTGTCATACGATATGGCTGAGAAAGTTGCTGAAGGAGTTGAATATGACACAAGAAGAATCAACTGAGATATTTGTGGATAACAAGTCTGCCCTGGCACTAGCAAAGAATCCGGTGTTTCATGATCGCAGTAAGCATATTGATACAAGATATCATTTCTTGAGAGAGTGCGTGGAGCAGAAAGAAGTGATGCTGAAGTATGTCAAGACTGAAGACCAAATTGCTGATATTTTCACGAAACCGCTAAAACAAGACGTGTTCGTCAAATTGAGGATGCTACTCGGAGTTATGAAGAATTAAACTTTAAGGGGGAGTGTTGAAATAAATAAAGTTTAATTAAATAATAAATCTGCAAAATATCAGAACTCCCTAGAATATTGGTGTATATGTGAATTGTACGTGTATGTTGTAGAAGCTTGTAGAGAATGGTGAATTAAACAAAAGAAAAAAAAAACTAGAACCACAAATATGAAGTAGGTTCCAACTGCTCTATTTATTGAGCTGCAGATTTTTATGTAACTAAGGCCTATAAATAGGCTTGGATGTTGTAGGAAGAGATGCAGAGCCAAAAACAAAGAAAGAAGAAGCAATAAGCAATAAAAGCTTCCAAGTCCCCGTTATCTCTAAAATTCCCTCTGCCAATCTCATTCTCCAAGTTTCAAATATATATATCCAAAGCCTCCCGTTGCTCATAAACGAGCTCCCCACCATAAAAAGCCCACAAATAGTTTTGATTAATAAGGAAATAATTAATTTATTTCCAACAGCGGAGGCACTGGTCCACCAGAGTCATCCGATTCGAATCGAGGAACTCCTCCTCGGGAAATCTGGTCAGCTCTCGAACCACGCCGTCCAGCGCACCGCCCGCATCCGCGCCCTGTGCTTCTCCGAATCGGACAGCTGGTCTAGGTATCCGGCCAGCGTGTTCGGCTGCGGTGCGGGATTTGTGTTGAAATCCGCGAGGGCGCCGCACGATTGGCAGCGGATTTCGTGGGGGTTGTTGTTGTTGTTGTTGGGGGGAAGGGCGGAGACGTTGTAGCGGCGGGCCAAGGGGAGGAAGGAGTTAGGAGGATCGTCGGCGGTGGGTTTTTTCAGGGTGATGGAGTGGAGGATTAGGTAGTGGCTGCCCTGCCTCTCTTTCACGACGGTGGTGGTCATTGTCGAGAGAAGGGTTTCGTTCTCTGGCTCTCTCGTCGAATCCTAATTTTCTGTTGAAGCGCGCACAAGGAAGAAACTCGACGGGCTTTTCATATCGGAAAATTTCCCCCCTTCTTATGGCTTTTCTTCCTTTCTTTTCTTGTCCGGGCAGGAGAGGGAGGCTTCCGACTGAATGCTACAACGATGAGTATTCCGTCCCGGCCGGCGTAGTTCTTCTTTGGGTTTAACTACATTTGATAAAGTTGGTTTTCAAACGGCTAAATTACACGTTTGGTCACTCAAATTATATAAAATTTTTCACGTTTGCCATCCGAATTATTTGTCTTTCATATTCACCACCAACTTTACGATTCGTTTCACCATTAGTCACCAACCGTTAGTCTCCGTTAATTCTGTTAATTTTTTGATGACGTGGCAAATAGAACAGTTGACTGGATCGTTAAAGACTGACATGTCAATATAAAAAAATAAAAACCCCTTTTCCCTTCCATTTCCACGCTCTCACTCATCTTCAACCCTTGCCTTCTTTACAGCAGCCGCCGCCGCTCAAAGTTATCCCCTTGCTCTGTTTCTATCTAGAAACCGAATCCAATATAGTCGATATAATTCAAGGATTGAATTCAGTTAGTTCTTGTTGGGGAAATTGTTCACGTATACTATTTTCTTGCAACACAAGCAAACACATAAGATTAAGAAAAACATGCAAAGACACATGCAAGCGTCCTAGCCGATAGAATTCACTATCTCTCCTTAAAGAATCTTATTCCCCTCAAGTACCCAAGGTTATGGAATGATTCCTCCCAGGATAGAAAGGACGTACCTTTTCCGGCGTAGCGATACCTCAAACCCCGAAAACCATCGAACGCAGCGAACCGGCGAGAACCACACTTGACTCGATTTTCTCTTTGAAAAAGAATGAAGAATACTAGTTTTGGATTTTGACAGAATTTTGGTACCGGGAAAAACCGATGTAAAAAACCAAAGGGGGTTAGGTGCTATTTATAGAAAATGAAGGGGTGCGTACGAAGGGAGGCGACTCTTCATATGGGTGGTTACACGCCCCAACCAACACATTGGTTCATGTTTGAAATAATGAACCATTGCATCGGTTCGGCCCATGGTAGTTGGACCGGTTTGGTTATTCCAACCGCCACATCGGTTTGGTTCGATTTGGTTCAACTCGGTTTGGTTTGGTCCGTTTGGTACACAAACCAATTTAACCGATTAACCACATATTACATCAAATCGATCGAATTCGAGGCCGTGCCTTCCCACATCTTACCAACATGGTACTTCAAGAGACTCTCTTGAAACTTTCCCCTTTTATTTCCATTCACACCACTAAAAATCCCAACAATCCCCCACATGAATGGAGAATGTTGTACTTTAAAACTATCCAAAAAATCGTGTGATTCTCGACTAAGAATTAGTTGCATCGGGATAGGTAGGTTTCCCTTTGAACCTTCCTGAGTGAACATATATCGAGTATACTCACCAATCGGTAGATGTGATATCTGTGAACAGTCGGTTTTCTTGTATACTAAGACAACATATGTCACACAACTAACTCTTATCCGTTCACTGGTTCTCATTGTTGTGTTCGTTTTAGCCATGAACACCGCCTGGTCTCATGAGTGCTTAGAGAACTGGTCTTCTTTTATTCTCCTTGAAGCGGCTCCACTTCACACTCACATAGGTGATTTCTAAACATGTATTCCGAAAATACACTATTTGATCACATCCTGTGTCAAACTTAGATACCATTAAAAACCTTCCATCTTTAGGTTTAACCTTATAGTTGGACATTGTCTCATCATGAGAATGGAATTTGAATAATTTGACAATGTCGGACCATCATTCACAACTTTGTTTGCTCCTTGAACCTAGAGGTTGAGTCTGCCAATCCTGCTTAGGTAGAGTTACCGCCATGATGATTTGTCCTAGGCCAAGAGTCCATTCCCTTCGATGCTTTAACAAATTTCTAGGTGGGCCCCACGTTTGTTATCACTTGATCTACATGATCAACTTAGATAACTTCGCTAGAAATTGACCTTAGTGTTATGTTTCCATTATCAATGACGAGATTTTTCACATAACACTTCTAGCCCTTGCAATAACAATTTTGTGCACAAGTGCGTTTTATTAACGTCAGTCTTAGCGGGCCAAACTATAGAACTTCACCGGTCTTAGAGTGGATACATAGTTTAACTTAGACGTTTTTCCAAGATACTGCTCCCCATCAACCATAAATGCATATCCATTAATAGATTGCCTTTTGGTTAATCCGTTGAGTTCTGTCACATGTGGCAGATGACATGGCGCCAACAAGGTGACAACATGGCGGCTGCACATGTGGCGTGTATGGAAGACTAGTAGCATAGAGATGCTCCTAGGATTCTCCACCTAAATGAGAGCTTAATGGTGCACTTATGAGTCACATAATGGGTGACATTTATAGAGTGCATAATGGGGGGACTTAATGGGTGTATTGATGTAGTAGAGGGACATTATGAGGGGCATTGATGCCTTGTATGAGGAGAGGCCTATATAAGGAGCCATCTCCCTCACTTGTAACTCATCCATCATTTTTGTGAGCAATACAACTATAGAGTTTCTCCCATCTTCTTGTGTCTTGTTCTTGTGAGTTGAGTGAGTTTGAGAGCTTGTGAGAAGGCTGCCTAGTATCTCTAACGGAATTGAGAGCTAGGGCCGCACGACGCAGAGTAAGGCCGTGACAGTTGGTATCAGAGCCTGGTTCTGAAAGAAGAACCGGTGTCCTCACTCCTCAAGAAGGAAGATAAGAAAGAGCGAGAGCCTCACCAAAGATGACTGGATCAGAAGTCCATGACGATGCGGAGAAGCACCATGGACGGGATACCGTGAAGAATCCCAAGGCAAAGGGTGACAAGTCAAGCACTCGTGATCCTATGACGTCTCTAGAGAGGCGTGTCTCTAGAGTGGAGGTGAAGTTGGCAGAAGATATCACCGCCATCGAGGATTTGGGATCTAACTTCGCCCAAGTCGAAAGCGATTGTCAAGGTATGAATGCTCGTTTGTCGAGCTTGGAGATTGGTCATGATGGCATACGAGAAGAGCTTGTGGCCCTCATCAACAACACCATCAACACATCCTTGAACAACGCCATTGAAGTTGTCAAAGAGCATGTCCAGGCTGAGCTGGTCGGCGTGAAGGAGGAGATTGCAGATCTCAAGAGTGAGGTCACTCTCGTGAAGAGAGCCATGGCTAACGGACCTGCCATTGCACAACCTACCTCAACCATGGAGGTTCCTAGACCAAAGAGCTTTCAAGGGTCGAGGAATGCAAGGGAGTTAAAGAACTTCCTATGGAGCTTGGAGCAATACTTCGAAGCTTCGGGTATTCGAGATGAGAATACCAAGGTAAAAACTGCACCTCTTTACTTGAGTGATGTTGCCATGCTGTGGTGGAGAAGGACCCAAAGCGATATCAATAAAGGGGCGTGCGTGATGGAGTCATGGGATGACTTCAAGAGGGAGATCAAGAGGCAATTCTACCCAGAGAATGTTGAGTTTGAAGCCCGGTCGAGACTAAGGAGGCTTGCTCACGAAGGAGAGATTCGAGGGTATGTGAAAGAGTTTTCTGAATTGTTGCTCGAGATCCCCGACTACACCGACAAGGAGGCCATGTTCACCTTCCTTGACGGCCTCCAACCATGGGCGAAGTTGGAGCTACAACGGCGAGGCGTGCAAAGTCTTGCCGAGGCAATGGCGATTGCCGAGTCCCTAGTCGAGTACCACGAGCCGGAGGAACGTGCGGAGTTCGGAGGCAATGGAGGTGGACGCGACTATGATAGAGACACACGAAGGCGTGGTAGACCGGACCAAGGAGGTAGTCATAAGGTTGAGAAACCACTTACTTGCTTTCTTTGTGATGGTCCACACCGTGTGAGAGATTGCCCAAGAAAGCACAAGTTGTCGGCAATGAAGGCCGTACTGGCAGAGTGCTCGAGCTCGGAAGAGGAAGCAGAGGAGGCTCCAAGAGTGGAGCCCCATGTCGCGAAGATCGGTTGCATGAAGAGATTGAGCGCCATCAAGCGGGCGGAAGAGCCTCTCCAACCCGAGCAGCACGGCCAATGCTTCGTAGAGGTGAAGCTCAACCAAAGGAAAACAAAAGCTTTGGTTGATACTGGGGCAAGTTGCAACCTTCTTGACGTAGGTGAAGCGCAGAGGCTAGGCATCACGTACGAGAAGAAGCAAAGAGGGTGGATGAAAGCTACCAACTCAAGGGCCACAAGAACTCATGGAGTAGCGCGCCAGGTACCACTCAAGCTTGGAGGATGGACCGGGGTGGCAGACTTTGAGGTTGTGTCGTTGGATGATTATCAGGTCATCATCGGCATGGAATTCATGGTGCGGGAGAAAGCTTTCCCGATTCCCTACGCCAATAGATTCTGCATCAATGGCGGAGCAAGATCGGTTCCCATGACAAGAGAGCAACTCGAGTCAAACAAGAGGTGTTTGGCAAGGCAAGAGCAGCGAGAAGTGGCAACGATGGTGGAGGCAGAGACTCACTCGGAGACTCGTTGGAGAAGGACGAGAAGGAGGAGTGCACAACATCGTGGAGCCATGAGAGACGGGGATGTATCATCTTCGACTTGCCAAGAGAAGCAAGGAAAGGCCACCATGATCGAGAAGGCGGGACACTCAAAGACGCGACGGAGAAGACCGCGGAGGAGTGAGCAATATCATGGGAGCACAAGGCTCGAGAGCGAGCCAAGGCCATCCTTGGTTTAGAGGAAGGTGCAACGAGACCTTGCAAGCAATGAAGCTAAGGCAAGGGAGGCGTCTGCCAAAGAGCCACGACGAGGGCGTCGTGGATTGAGTGGAGGAGAATGTCACCAACGAGGCTCAAGAGTCGAAAGAGGCTTCTCGAGGTCGAAGGAGGCATTTCGTAGCAAGGACGCGACGAGGGCGTCGCGAGCATAGGTGGGGGAGGATGTCACATGTGGCAGATGACATGGCGCCAACAAGGTGACAACATGGCGGCTGCACATGTGGCGTGTATGGAAGACTAGTAGCATAGAGATGCTCCTAGGATTCTCCACCTAAATGAGAGCTTAATGGTGCACTTATGAGTCACATAATGGGTGACATTTATAGAGTGCATAATGGGGGGACTTAATGGGTGTATTGATGTAGTAGAGGGACATTATGAGGGGCATTGATGCCTTGTATGAGGAGAGGCCTATATAAGGAGCCATCTCCCTCACTTGTAACTCATCCATCATTTTTGTGAGCAATACAACTATAGAGTTTCTCCCATCTTCTTGTGTCTTGTTCTTGTGAGTTGAGTGAGTTTGAGAGCTTGTGAGAAGGCTGCCTAGTATCTCTAACGGAATTGAGAGCTAGGGCCGCACGACGAAGAGTAAGGCCGTGACAGTTCCCTTTGGGTACAATACACCAAAGACTCGTCTCTTTTCAATTCACTACACATCTTATGAGCTTGCCTTGATTTTATTTCCTTTCAATAATCTTAACACATGATCAAGGTGTTGAAGCCTATCTACTTCATTAACCTTAGATTACTTGACCTTCACCAGTATCTCTTCAAATGTAGTGACATTTATGACTTAGCTTAGGGTTTACGAAAAACTACTAAGTATTCACATCGCTTCACTTTCGAATCACCCAAGCGACATTCCACATCACTTCTCCCCAATTTATCCCCCACATTTCAACCATTTCGCCATAGTTGTTGAGACCAACGTTCCGGGTCGGGGAATGTTGGTCAAAATCATCTCTTTGGGAAGAGTGGATCAACATAAAAAAATATTCTAGCTCTCTGACATAACGTCAATATATGCTAGAGTTTACTCTTAAGTTATACCCTTGGACTGGGTTAACTCCACAAGGTTTAAGGACTCTCACTTTCTCATTGGACACCTTCATACTTTCAAGTATGACTTCGCTTACCTTTCCACTTTTGTCTTATGGATAGGTTTGCGTCCCATTATAGGGTCTTGAGACAGTAGCCGTAACAATGGCTAGCTCTTCTCCCCCACAATTCTACCCTTTGCCAAACATCATGGAATAATCTCATTTATTTTCCATGGTTTTACTTATTGAACTTGCCAACCACTATATGTATCTAATTGTTTACCAATGGTATGATCTCACTCGATTAGCATACCACAAACAGTTCAGATTTTATTAGAAATATCATCTAATTACTTACCAATGGTATTGATCAAGGCAACTTGAGACGTCATAAGTAATTCAGATGCATTCCAGTAATGGAAATCCCATCTAATTACTTACCAATGACATTTCATCTATGTAACATGATATACCACAAGCAATTCAAACGAATTTCTAATTCAATTGTCTAATTACTTTCCAATGGTATAAACTTCATAAATATACCATAAGTAATCCAGACTTTAAGTTCAATAAGATCATCTCAATTGAGCTCTCATGCCAAATTGTTTTTCAATGATATATATATCTATATATACCATAAACCGTTCTGGCAACTAGCTCCACGTCGATAATCATAGTCAAATTGTTTTCCAATGGTATAGTGTATTTACACCATAAACAATTATGAACTAATGCTTATCTTGATGGCGACCATCATTTGGCAAGCTTATTAAATCCCTATAAGGATCAATCATAGCTTCATTTTCCTTGCCCTCGTGGCATATGAAACATCAAGTCCTAAACCACATACATAATAAACAAATTATTATGTCATCACAAGCATCTTAGGAATTAGAATTCCTTATCACTTATGGCTTACTCGTAATGCAAACCTTTAAACGTGCATTAACCAAACTTCATCTCCAACACATTGGAGGTATACACCTATGCAAACATTCTGGCTTAGATAGACTTGGCAAACAAGTCCTTACTGGCCTCTCGTCATAGGTTTCACATACCTATGATTGTTCATAGTTTCCCACTAGATAGTTTATTACTATCCAAACCACCGTTACTTAGAGTCCATGAAGGACTATCATAAGTACTTCCATCATCTCATGCATCACCTTGAATGAAAAAATGTCCAAATTAAATTGGCACATTTATCATTCATCCATGCCACATAAATGAAATGGAGCAATGCAATAAAAGCATTAAAACTTTGTGGTTAATTTTGGAACCAAACAAACTCGTAAGGTTTTATCCAACTAATTTTCCACTTGGGAGATAAGAACATTTGTCCTTTATTCATCATGTAAATACACGATTTACATAGGTACACACATATTAATACCATATGTATATATACACACATACATATGTCTACTCCTCAAAGGAGATTACAATACATATACAAGAATCCTAAGGATTCTTGGGGTTGAAGTCAGGATCAGAGAGACATTCATCGGTCTCTATGTCGTAGTACTCCTCCTCGTTCTCTGATTCCTCAACTTCCTCTTCTTCCCCATACTCTCCATCGAGTGCATATGAGTGCCCATATCGTCCACATTTGGGACCCATTGAGTACCAATCATAGATGGGTATTTCATCTAGAGTCCAATAATTGGTTACCAATCATTATCTTTTTCTCCCATCTATTCCATGATGTCATACACCATAAACTTGAATGATGATAATAATCATACAACACACGTCAAGAAAGAAACCATGGCAATTCATTGCCACTTACAGAAATAGCACGAGGCATGCATAATCCATTAACCAATGTGACACATCATCGAAGAATCCATAAGCAGTGACATGGAATGATACATATACACATCGCTATGCTTACTCAGTACTCACAGAGAATAGATGATCCGAATACTTACGTGATCAAATCAGAAACCAAGGGTTTCTTTCTTGCAACGTCAATGACCTCTTTCCTTCTTGTTAACCGTCCCTTTTCTTCCTTTCTTTTCTTTCCGGAGTAGAAACAGAAGAAATGTATATAGACTCTCTATATATATCACACACAACATATATATACATAAACCAAGAAAAAAAAAATTCTTTTCCATTCTTCAAACGCTAATTCATGCAACGTATCATTCAAAACAACGAACTCATCACTCATGTATAAAAATTAATGGCATATACACGAACAGAGAATCATCAAATGCAAAGTTGCATGTGTAGGAACCGAGGATTCAAGGCAATTATATATAACGATATGCATTAACCGCCAGCATTCACATGTAAAAGGGGGGACATGAAACAAATTCCTTTCAGTACAAGCAACTGACACTACGGGAAAAGTGGCATTTGCCAACACGTGAAAAGTGTTGTAAAATGTGTCGAAAGTGTTGCCTATGCAATATGCAACACTTTTAGTAGTGTCACCTAAAGGTGGTGTTACCTAAAGTAATATGTAACACTTTTCTCACTTTTTGCAACAAAATAAGAAGTGTTGCATATGTATTACTCATATGCAACACTATTTTAGGCAACACCTTCGAAAACTTTCACAACACTTTCTGAAAAGTATAACTAACATATATTGTTTTATTCATGACAAGTTTTGTCGTCACATAAGATGTTCTAAATCGTGACAAAATAATGCTTGTAACGAATAGTATACGCTTGTGACTATTCTGTGTGGTCACCAATGTATATCTAATGTCACCAGTTTAAGTTGTCACATAAGGTGGTTTAGTGACGATACAAATGTTACACAATTAGGTTTTTGTGACAACAATTTTGTTCAAGCTGTAACAACATTGGTGACAATCTTTTTTAATCAGTTACATGATATCTTTCGTGAGTATAATAGTGGTCATGAAAAAACACTGGTGTGCCAAATATTTGTGTCACGTATGATATCATTTGTGACGATTATGAATGTTACAAATAGTATACATTAGTGACGATTTGCTACTTGACCCTATGTATTTTTGTGACAACTTTGTCATCACAAAATATCAACAACGGTGAGGATTTTAGCTCTCGCAATTTGTATTGTTGGTGACGACAATGTTGTCACAAATGTATCCTTTGGTGACAAATATTTTCGTCTCAAATGACAATATATGAGACAATAGTACGTTTGTAGATAAAAAAACACAATAATGATGATATGATTCGTGACCGAAAACTTGTTTTGTGACAAATAGTGTCTTCATTAAATTTAACAATTGTGACGATTTGACTCAACATAAATGTATATTGTTTACTACATATATTTGGTCACGTATACCTCTTTTGGTGACTAAAACTACACCAAAAAATCCCAATGGTGAGGAGATGGCTTGTAATGAATGAATTTTTTGTACTGGAATAATGTGGCGCAAATCTAATATTAGTGACAATCTTTAACCAAAAATAGAGAACAAATTTCTTTAACCACAATCTCAACAATGATTTAAACTAAGGCAAAATACACTTGTATAGCCATAACTTTCACGTTTGTGACAAATATAACCATAACTATTCGAAAACACGAAACAGACAGGATTGTAAATGTTGCATGCCAAATCTAGCCATTTCCGTTACAAACTTTAATGGTGTTAATAAATCCGTTAGTTAGGTTAACGTTAGAGTAACTAGGATGCCAAATCATCGGACACATAATCGACAACTCATTCATACTTGCCACATAGATGCCATGTCATATTTTAATTAAAAAATTAATTTCTCTTTCCTCTCTCCCCCACTCACCTCGTGTCCACCACCGACCTCCTATCCTTTCTTCTTCTTCTTCTAGCGACCACAAATATGGAAAATTCTTCCCTCTTTTAGAAGGTGAAACAAACAGCTCGGATGGAGAACATGTCTTCTTTATTCTTGGTTCTGCCACCGATTTCTTCTTTAGAGTTTGCGGCGTCGAGGTCACCGGAGTCAGCAACGATTGGCGGATTAGGGATTTCTCTGCATCAAGATTAGTGTTCATAGATTGGGGATTTGATTTCAAAATCCACTATCGTCGTCGAAATTGATTGTTAACTTGCAATTGAGGGATTCAAAACCCAGGAAACCAAAAAACCCAGGAAACCAGTACTCTGCGAAGAAGATTGCTGCCTTCCTAATACCCAGCAGCGCGAGCGCCAGAGAGGAAGCGCATCCCAATACCCTGGCCGCCACGAAGTACTGCTGCCACCTGTACTTGCCGACGGGGAAGACGTCGATGAGGAGGCCCAAAAGCCCTGGATGAGGTCGTAGACAACGAAGATCCCGAGGATGAATGTTGGGTTGAGGTTGGAGGACAGTAGTTGTAGCCATTGAAGGGGCTCGAGCAGGATGGATTTGGAGAGATCACTGGAAACCATCTGGTGGGGCTGCAAATGGGAAGACGTCGGCGGTAATCCGACGGAGCCAGAGTGCAGGCTCAGCACGGTGGCGTGGGTAGGCAGGGGAGAATATCTGGATGGCGGCGGGACGCGACGGAGGCAGGGGAAGAAAAGAACAGGGGGTTCAAGAGGAGGAGGGGGGCTCGGAAGCGGCGGGATCATCAGAGGCGGTAGAGGAGGGGTCGGAAGCGGTGGGATCATCGGAGTTGGGTTTTCAACCGCCAATGCTCTGATGAGTTCGGATCCGGGAACGGGAGTCGAAACCGGCGACGACAACCGCCACCGTGGGGAAGAGCGGATCTGGAATTGAGAAAAGGGATGCGTTTTTTGTGGCGGAAGATGAAAGAAGAGAAAGAGGAGAGAGAATAATAAAAAATTAATTAATTATTATTTTGTTTTCAGTTAATTCCACCCTATATCATTGTTGATAAAATATTGACAACTCAGCATTTTCCGTTAGTCCAGTCATAGCGTTAGATGACACCGTTAAAGAGATGGACGGAATTGGCTATTTTGTGTTTTCAAATAATTTGGCTATATTTGTCACAAACGTGAAAGTTATGGCTATACAAGTGTATTTTGCCTTAAACTAAATATGATAAGAAAAAAGTAATTGGTTGAAGTTTATAGGTCAAGAACACATTTCTCTCTTCTCTTCATCATGTTTTGCTTGTAGGTGTGCTATTTTCTCCTCAAATTTCTTCTTTTCTTCTTCTAACTTGGCTTCAAAATGTTGATGTACCTTTGCTTCTATCTCAGCCCTCAATGTAGCCTTATCGACCCCACCTCTTATGGCCCTCTTTCTACTTTGAGAATGTGGCTTTCCTGAGGCAAGAAGAATTGTCGCTTTATAGGACAATTTAGATCCTGTTTGAACCAGCTCTTTTATTTTTTCCTGCAAAATAAAATATTTTTAGTACTCTCTTCATTTTCGATCACTGCTTAATAATTATATACACAAGAATTTGAACTTGTATAATTTGATACAATGATGAAAAAAAAATTATATAATAGGTAACCGTACGTATATTGCTTTTGCTCTAGGGTCAGACCACAATGTCTCTCCTTCTTTGCCCTTCTTGGTATGTTGAGCATAGTAAACCTCGTCATGAGACTTCTTCTTTCCAGTCAATGGATCTCTCTAAAATTTGAAGTCAAGTGATTAAATTTATATTTTAAGAACACTATGTATAAAAATAAAATTGAATAGAAATTATAATTATCCTAATATTAGATTATTAATTACAAAGAAATTAAGTATCTATCTATCTATACATAATATTATGGCAATTCAAAATTTATTTTTTGCCACATAAGCACTTGGAGAGATCTCAAGTTGCCAAGGTGGACAATTTTTTTACCAAAAAAATAGTTATTGACCTATTTATGGAGTTGTCCCTCTCTCTTCATTTAATATTAATTCTCTTTTATCCAATAATTATTTTGCTTTTGTTTTTGCATTATATCTATAAATAATATGTGGACAGAAAGGTTATCAAACCGGTTTAGCAAGTGGAATGGTTTTACCAGTGGTACAACCGATTTGTGTCGGTTTATGTCGGTTAATAAATATGTAGAAATATCAAATGAATATAATCAAATATAAACCATATTTGAAGACAATTTACGTACAATTCCTATTGATATTTGAATAAAATATGATATTTCAAATAAAATTACATGTACTCATACTTAAATTCACTAAAACTACGTATTTTACTTAGGAATTTGTAAAACGATCATACCAGTCATACCAATGGTGTCATATCGATTTCATGACCGGTGTCGGTTGAATGGTTTAACCGGTGGCAAGCCGACCGACGTGACAATCATGATGGAGAGTGACATATATAAGATTTTGTTTTTGCATTATATCGATATACGCAACAGTGTACTAATGTTCGTAGAGTGACATATATATTACACTTTTCAAATAAAAAAAATATATGATTAAAGATTACTATGTAAATTTCTGCTCATTTTTTACTAAAACTTAATAATAATTTACATTTTAATGAATATTTTAAACAAACATACAAAAATAATAATATTTTTTGATAAGGTCTGAAAGAAACTTGACAAAGAAATAATAGTTATTTATTAAAAAAGCTTCTTATTCATTCTCATCAAGTGAAAACATATAAATCGTATATGCAGTATTTAACTATTTATAATGTATCCTAAGCTCGCCTTACTAATATTTTCTCTAGGTCATGTTGTTTGAGCAAGCTACGTTAAACATCACATTTCAAGCTAAGAATAATCTAAATTCGACGATTAAGGTAATAAATAAACATTAATGTTTTACTTCACATATATAACAAAAAAATATTTATAGTTACAATAGTGTAAACCGAGCTATTGGGTCAAAAGAAGAATATTGTAAATATGCGTTTAGTATGAAAATTGTAACAAGTCTATATAGTTGTGAGCCTGTGATTCATACCAAATTTTGGCAATGACAAAAAAAATTGACATCATATTCCACCCAAAGAGCTGAGTTAAAAGGTATTAATTAGTGTTGAAAGTAAAATAAACTCTCTGTATATATATGTTTAGATATTAACAATAGATGTGTCTACAATACATCCAATCATTCAAATACATGTGAAAAGCCACAATGTTTGTATGAACTTTTAAATTTTGCTACAAAATATTTTGTTAAAAAATTAAAAGTTAATTATTCAAGGAATACATAATTTTGAATGCACCTGAAATATATGTCTGTCGTATACACACTTTACCAATTATTAATATAAGTAATGAAAATTTTGTTTTAGAACAAACACCAAATGTAAAGAAATTTAGCGAATGGACATTCAAATAGTTGAAAAATTATACATTGAAGGAACATCTTAAGATGAGAACCTGCGATAGTGTATATGGATGCCTTGGATTCAGACTCTAAACGAACATTTAGACAAAAGGCATGGGTTGAGGGTTAGTCCAAACTTAAAATATTAGCAATTGATATATATTGTAAGATAATAATAATAATTTGTATCTTGATAGAAAAATTGTCATAAGATGCTATACAAAGACTTCATGAACATCAACAATAAAAATGAGTGAGGTTTAGAGAATTTAATCATTATAAGGGATACGATGTGTGTCAAATTTTAATTGGGATGAACATAATTTATCTAGTAATCAAGTATATTTTTCCAATAATTTGAACTCTGATTAATTGGCTGGGAGTTCGTACAAACTCGAGAATCATGAATTGATATATGTTGTATAAGATAATAAATTTGAGCGTCTTGGTGAAAAATTTGATATATACGATCCTAAATGGGACGTGATAAACCTTTACGACATGATTAATGATCAGAGAATAAAAACATCACAAGCGAGTGTGCTAACTATTAAATATTAAGAATTTTCGATATAGGCACACCACATATTCACTTATGAAGCGAGAGCAGAAAATGTATACAAGATTCAAAAAGTTCAAACATGTAGATAAGTTAACTAATATAAATAATAAAATGAACTTCACCGGCCAACTGGCCGGGTAAAAAACTAGTAGGTAAAAAACTCATTACCGTATTTTCTTCCACTTCTTCATGTGTTCTTGACCCACATGTATTTTTTCCTTGCACCTTTCCTCTATTTTGTTTATTCCTCTTACTCGTTTCCTACCACACATGTTAATAATAATCAAAGATCAATAAATAATTTTAATTTTGACATCATTGAAAGTAAAAATGTACACACTTACTTTGAAGTCAGTAGAAGCCCAATATTGAACAATTTTTGCCCAGTCATCAACATCAACACCTTCAGGAACATAGCCACTCCTTTGGTTTTCGGCAAGTGCAAGGAACTTTTCACGCTCACGATATTGCCAAGTTGAATGTGCTGAGCTCATTTTGATCCACATAAGATCTCTTAGAGCTTGTTTGTCACTACTAGTGAATTTTCTCTACATACCAACAAAAAAAAATGCATTGTGGAGAGTTTGTAAACACAAAAATGGAAATGAAAATGGTAAAAGATAAAAGATAAATTTACCTCCACCAATTCAAACAATTTATCAATCTCAGCTTCGTCTATCTTACTCAATGTCTTGATGCTCAACTTCATATTGCTTCTTACTACGAGTCCACAGTAATTTACAAATTTCCTCGCGTTCCTACCAATGGGTTTACAGTCACTTGAGATGTCCACCTCGCATTTGGTATTTAAATGATTCATTTCCAATTATAAAATTTGAATTTTACGAAATTGGAACTAATTATAGCAATTCCTAGGAATTTAGGTGGAATCTCGAAATGAATTTCACAAGTATTTTACTAATTATAATGGAATGATATGATTATGGGCGCCAATTCACAGATTATGGGCGCCTAACTCTCCTCTTTCCACCGTTATGTTAACCTAATATATATAGTTTAAGCAGGACTAAAGACAATCTATCCACAAACGACATGATTAGATTTGTATCATACACATAATGTCGACCATTTCATAAATTATTACCAATTTTATTGAATTTGAATCCAACTTAACTCAAAATCCAACCCAACTAGTATCCCCATTCATCTTAGTCTATATGGGACTCAATTTATGTCGTAGATTGAATCGAGCTACTAATCGATGTACCATGAATAAAGTCAGGTCAACCGAGTCATTTGGAGCAAATTATAGATCAAATAAGCTAAGGACGGAACAAGTTGTGAATTCTATAGGGTCTAGTCAATCTCAATCCATGTTTAACTGATTAATTATCCAAGATATAGTGATCCAGATGCAATTCTACAAGACACGTTAAAGTGAATCATTGAAGATCCATGTTTAACTAAATAATATATAAATCTTTTGTAGGGACTAAACTGCATTTTAACATGTCTACGCGAAGCCAGCTAATTAAGAAAGGGATAGAAAATTGAAAGAAAGAGAGATAAGGCAGTTCCACTCCACCCATTCCGTTCCCTGTCCTTCTAGTTTTTTCTTCCCCCATTCGACCCTTTCCCTATTACTTCGCCGAATCAGGCAAATCCAGAATCTAAAGGAACCATCGTATCTAGAAAATTATTGTTACCAAATTATCTTCGAGTTCATAATGTTGATCTTTCTTGGTGGGAGATTTGATCGGCAAGCAATAAGAGCTGTGAAATTTACCGCCACGCTTGGAATTTTGGAAGGTGAGCGGGTTTTCTCCCTCGTCAAATTTTGCCGCCATCATCTCCTGTCATATATAACAGCCCTCTTTATATATGGTTGGTTCGGTGGGCAGTAGTCTTCTTTGACATTATTCTCTACAGTCCAGTCTCAGCCACATCAGCCACAAGGTAAGCAATTGCATTTGCCTTTTGTTTTCGTTCGGTTTGGATCAGTTTGTTTTCGATGTGTTTCCCTCCTATCGGTAGTTGATGTTTCACTGGGGTTCTCTTTGGTTGTTGGGTTCTTTTGATCGATTATGAGTTATTGGGTATTGTTACCACTGTATGTATGTATTGTTGCCACTGTATGTATGTTTGGCGCACGCCTAGTTCAATTAGGAACAAAGCATAGAGGGAACAACTCACCTTTGGCATTAGCGCTGATAAAAGTGTTGATTGCACTTAATAGCTAGGAATTGCGCCTAATCACTAATCAGGTAAGAAGCGAGACTAGGTGATGGAGTGTGGCCCTAGGCGTTTGTCATCTAAATCAGCTCCCCTCCCTCACAACACAGCATTTTGTATGCTCGACATCATCACTTGGAGAAGCTCAGCGATGGAGTGGGGTTCTCTGCTGGATAGAAAATTCAGCAGCAGGGGTTAGCCTTTCTTGTTTGATGAATTTGAAGTACAACTATAACATAGAATATACTCTACATGTATGCATTAGTATCTTTGGATGTTAATCTACAGGTGTCGAGCGCTCGCCTTACGCCTAACGCTTTTTTGAACCTTGGTTAGGGGATATACTTTTGTGTTATTGTTACTGATTAATTCTTATAATTGCTTCCTAATTTTCAGAACGTATCAAGAACTATGATAGGACCTAGAATACCCCAGAATGTCAAGAGTAAGAGTAGAAACACATGTCCTCGATTAAAGAAATAATCAGAACAAGAACCTAGGCGTCTGAATAAAATGATTGGCCCAAGTCCCACGAAGCGATCCAGAATCGAAGTCGGCTCAACGCTCAAGGAGAAGCCAGCTACACAACTTTCACAATCAACACGAAATACAGTTGACATCTCTAGAAGGTATGTTGGATATTCGAAGAAGGTATCTATTCCCAGTAGGGACTTTACATCTTCACAGCCGATTTCTACCAAAGCTAATCACTTTAACGAGCGTTGAAAGTCACACAAAGGACCATCTTCGTGGAATGCGCGTGAGGAGGAAGATGAGGATTATGAAATGGAAGATGATGGTGAATACGATTCCACTGACCAAGATTGCAGTGAAGATGAAGTTGGGGATGCATCTGAGGTACCAACTGCCACTGAATTTGAAAATCAAGCAGAAAACCTAGGTATATGAGTTGGTATTCAAAAACTTATTCCTTGCTCATGTCATTCTATTGACCCTGTATATATTTATCCCCATTTTGCAGTACATAAGAGAACAAGGGGTCCAACAAAATGCAAGGCGATTCACGCCCGAGAACTTGAAGAACGTGAGACTGTCATTGTTAATGATTTTGGCCAACCAATTCAAGATGATAAGATTTGCAACCAATTCAGTAGTTTCTTGGGAACTGTGGCGCGAAGCAGCAAGTTTCTCCCTCTGCATTATGTTTCATGGCCTCATGTTCCGAAAGAGAAGAAGCTGAATGTGATGAATTATGTTAAGGTATGTATAACAGTGTCTAGTTCACTATTAAAGTCTAAGCTTTCTTTGCCATAATTATGTGAAACTCCATGTATCATGTAGTCCAAGTACATATTTCCACCCATTTGTGAGAAGTGGGTTATGAAGACAGTGTCATCAGCATGGAGAATACATAAGTGTTCCACTAAAAGGAAGATGAAAGGGTTCAAAACAAGAGCTGAAAAGTTGGCAAATTGTCCAGATACAATTCCGACACACGTAATGGAGAATCTGTTGGATCATTGGGAGAAGCCAGCTGTGAAGGTATCCTCCTATCAATAAAAAATCTTGGCCTATAATGCATGGAGTCGTAATTGGCAATATTTCATTGAATTTACAGGAACAAAGTGCAAGAAACACTAAGGCTCGAGAGGGTCAGGTGAATCAACATAAATTAGGAAGGAAGAGCTATGCACGACAATGCCACCAGCTGGTAGATTATTCAAAAGACTTTATATATCCGTGATTTCAGAACTTTATAGTAAATCTCATGTATCTATTTGTTTAATGTAGAAGAAGGAGAAGGGAAATGATGAAGAGCCAACTGAAATCGAAATGTTTCTCAAAACTCGTAAAGTGAATGAAGGTCCTGACATGGACGAAAATACAAGAGTAAGAATTGATCTCATATAACATGTTCTATAAAATTACATCATCTCATAACGTGTTACTTTTTAGGTTCAATTTGAGGAGTTACAGAATCACTTTGTGGGAGAAGGAGAAGAAGAACAAGAGGAAATAGTATGGAGGCCAAATTTACGATTCCATGGACGAGACGTGACTCCAAACATGTTAAAGAGGAAACACGAAGGTGTTGCTGCGATAAATCAAGAAAAAGGGACAACCGCAAATCCATCTATGTTGTCTGAAGATGTGCAAAAAAGGCTGGATCAACAAACATCTCAACTGTCAAATGGATTGCGGAATGCTATGGCATCGTTGAAGGAATCCAACCCATCTCTTGTCATCCCCCAGAACATGTTTGACTTCTTGCTGGTGAACAATCCTACAGAGGCTAACAGGAACAATGAGAATGAAATGTCCATCCTAGATACCGCAGAATAAGCTTTCATTTAGTGGATTTCAGTTTCTGATTGACTTATTTATCTTTAGCTCGATGTTTCAAAAGTTTGCGCAGCTCATTTCAATTCATTAAACTCCATTTGGTATACTTTTTTCTAGATTCTATTAATAAAGAACGTGGTTCTTATGCATACAAGTGATTTTCTTTGATAGCTTGGCTGGTGGGTCGCTTCTTAAGGACCTGTTAAAGCTTGCCCCCATTAATACAAGCATAATACACGTTTGGAGATCAGTTCTTGGTTTTGTTTTATTTACATGGAACCTAAATCAAAAAGACTTTGGCTGGGCTGGTTGGTGGGCTCGTAACAAGGATGAAGAAGAAGTTGCAGCAGTTAGTGAAGAGGAAGAAGTACGAAATGCGGAGGTTGAAGAAGCCTATACATAAACGTAACCATTAGGAGGGCCAAATGATGCCACTCGTTGTCTTTATTTATGTCTCAATTGTATGGCAGCAAGTGTTAAGACAAATTATTTGTGCATTGATCAAGTTAAAAAAGCTATTCCAGAGGCATCTTCCCTCGTTAAGCCAAGTGCAAGTCCAAATATCCTTATAGAGGAAAGTGAGATATAGTTTTGAAGACAAGGGTTCCAGAGGATAGTATACAACATAGTAATTAATCCCTAAAATAAGCCACTTGATCCCAAATATTTAAGGCCCGGTCAGTCTTCTGTAGTCTCTTGATCAGTCCCCGCAGGAGTTGAAAACTGTGAGACATAAACCATTAAAGCAAGGTCACTATTAACTTGCTGAAGGGAATTCTAATTACTGACATCCACTTGATCACATTCCGGAATCTAAACCTATTCAATGCACACATCACAATTTGCAGTCAAAAGAGTTGGCAATGGTAAAGTTCCTGAAAAAGCTCATGATTTTTATTCAAGAACAAGTTGCAATAACTCCACAACTCCAAGAACCATGCATAATCTTCAGCATAAAAGCTTATCCAAGATTTAAAAGAAATTCCTTAGCAAGAATGTCAACAGTTAATCTTTACTACTGTCAAACACCACCCTTTCTTTCCCAATTAAATAAGAGACACTAAGCTGCTAACCTAAATAAAATTATTCCAAAAGTGGAAAACCCCCTAGTACTGATAAAATCAAAGAAGGAAGATGAAACCCAGTAATAGTAAGAGTAGAGAAAAACAAAGAAGGAAGAAATTCTTTGGATAATACCAAGTAACCATGTGATTAGCAACTCACCAAAGGAGGAAAGAAACCACTTCACAGCTCTGTAGCTTAAACTGGGAACACCTAGACCTGAGAAAGACAAAAGAAAAAGAAATCACTTGCACTCTACAGCTACAAGTTACATGGACAAATCCAGAAAGAAGCAGACAGTTCAAGGTAACTAATTTGATATCCTGCACATCCATATACCTGCAAACTTAACAGATCAATTATTCATCCCACGTGCTCTTGCCTGCATAATTCAATTAATGAACAGAGACCAACGTTCTCCACTCATAACTATCTCACCCTTCTGATTAACATAGTCCATCTCAGTCTTTCTAAGATAATTAAAATAGCAGCAACATAAGTACTAGCATATATATGTCAAGTTCAAATTGCAAGTAAGGAAAAGTACTAGCAAAACAAAAACAGAAAAAGCAGCAGTGGGTAGTTTACCTCAGGAGCTTGATTAAGTCCTTGCACTCTCTGAATCCTCGAACACATCTGTAGGACAAAAAAGCATCAACGCATTTAATAGGGTGTCATTTCGACTTCTACAATTAAGCATCAAAACCAGATACCATGATCAAAGTTTGAGTGTGTAATGATTAACCAACCAGTTAGAGTATTCATCTACATCATCTGCAGGTTCTTCTTCACTAGAGAAACCGTCTTCATCATCATCTGACATTTCAGCTTCTCTTGAGTGTTTATGTACGTGCTCCATCATTTCAGCTTCACCTGAGTGTTCATTCTCCATCACTTCAGCCTCAGTTGGAGCACGATCATCCTGCATAGCAGTATCTTCAGGGTTGTCAACAAGTATTTCATCGACGTCCTCCCGTGACCATTGAATGTCACTGTTATCAACTGGTACAACATTCTGCAAAGCATCAACTCTAAACTCCTGTGAAGAAGAAGCAGCCTCATCCAATGAACTTTCAGCTCCCATGTCAAATAGGTCTTGAGGGATTGCCTCCCTGAAATAGTGCCAATCTTGTTCCACGGGGTCTTGTACATAAAATGATTGGCTTACCTGATTTTCCATGACAAACGGGTCATTTTGGTATAATAATTTCTTCATATTGACCCAAATAAGCCCGTAGTCATCCCTTTCCGAGTGAAACCACTTGCACTTGAGCAAGACAATTTTGAAGTGTCCATAATAATCCAACTGGAGAATCTCTTCAATAGCCCCATAATAAGCAACTGGTGAAAGAGAGCTTTGAAAATTTCTTGCAGCCTGGGTACAATTCTTGATCAGCATCCTGTATGAGAGTAAAAAATTCCTTCACTTTGTCATTCGGTTCTTCACCAGTCTCTGTAGCATAGGCATCGTTCAATAGACCATGCATATCATCATCACCAATCACTTCAGAATCTTCTATATTATCAACAACATTCTCCCCATGATCATTCCATTGAGTGTATTTAGGAGTAAATCCACGTACAATCAAATGAGTATGCACAGTTTCTCTTCTTTTCCACAGCAGGTTTATGCAGTCCACACAAGGGCACACAATCTGATCTCCCTCGGCTGAATTAGCAAATGCAAAGTCCAAAAAGTTCTTTACTCCGTTGCGATATACAATACTTTCTCGTGGTTTTGAAAGCCAGCTCTTATCCATCATTTTAATCAGCAACCTTAAAAAAATTTCAGTCTTTGAGAAAGCCTGTCAAAACAAACCACGAAACAAGTTCACTTATAATAGAAACCAAGAAAAATAAGCATCCATTTAAGCATACAGTACATGAAAAAGTGGTATCAGGTATAAGTTGCATGACTCATGAAGGCCTGTAGAGCACCAATAACATAGCACAGATTTCCAAATAACCTGTACCTTGCTGGTTGCTGCATAGAAACCAGCCTTTGCACTAGTGGGAAAATTAAGGTATCAAGAATACTTGTTCTCGTCAATCAATAAATTCGTGGAAATAGTTAACCTTACAAACGAATGTCAGCAGCATTAATAAAGTAGTGAGACTCTTCACTATCACCGCCACTAGCACCAACATCAACTCGGGTTTTGAAACCTTCATAATGGCCACATCTAAAAGTTTCAAATGACTAAGGAGGCAAAGCAAGGTTACAGACATTGGTCTTCACATGAACTGAATTGTAATATATCAGACAGCTTGAGCATCTTTTGTGGCTACATTTGTTAAATGCATCTTAAGCAAAGTAATTCTAAGTACGTACTATCAGCTGGTGCTGCAATGTTTTGCAGTTCAGATCCCCAATAAAAGACTGATCATTAACAAGGGTTAGAAGCAATAGCCACATTGATCCCAAACATTAGCGGCACAAGTAGAACCCAGAGAAATTATCAAAAGCCCTGAACTAATTACCACCCCCATCAGCAATTCATGATTCAATGGGAAATTCTGCAGGCTGCTGCGTTCTGTTAATACAGCTCTCGTTTATAAGAAAACCCCTTAGCTAGTACAATCCTCGACACTTAATTAGTACTAACCAAATGTGTACGCACGATATCTCTTCTTTTCCACAACAGATTTATACAATCCACACAAGGACACACAATCTGATCTCCCTCCGCTGAATTAGTAAATGCAAAGTTCAAAAAGTTCTCTACTCCATTGCGATATGCTATACTTTCTCGTGGTTTTGAAACCCAGCTCTTGTCTATCATTTTAATCAACCTGGAATTTTTTTAGCTCTAGTCAAAGTCTGCCAAAACAAACCCCAATTCACTAATAAAAGAAACCAGGAAACATAAACACTACCCTCATGCTGAACACTATTCACAGAAATGCATAGTAATATAAGATAGAACTCCATCACCAGTAGATACAAAAATAATCGAGACAGGGGAGACCTTCAAAGTAGCAATGACATATATCCTAACAACACAACTGAATCCACGTTTTAAAAGTGCATGAACTATGAATGAAATTACCAAGTATACTTTGCTGCACCATATCTGTTGAGGCTATAAACATCAAAGATATATCAACAAGCCGTAAATTCAAAATACATTATCTTATAGATCAGAGCCACAAACCCACCGACACACATAAGTAAATGAAAACTATAAGTGAGAATACTTGTAAAACCATCTCAAGTTCAATTGTAATTTCATTTCATAATCATGGTTCTCAGCGTGAAGTTAAAGCTACCATTCCACCATTAACTATGAGAACACACAGAAATTGAATCACAAGAATACCAAAACGAATGGAGCTTATATTAGCTTATTATGGAAGCTTAGTAGAACAATTATTCTCAGAAAAAAAAAATCAACAGCACAAACTGGAGTTTATTCTAGGCAAGTCTATCAACTGCAAGGAAACTATGCTTTCTTCTACTATCAGCAGGTGCTACAATTTTTTCAGTTCAGACCCCCAACAAAGGTCCGACCATTAGAAGAGAATTGCAAAAATGATCCCACATAGTATCTGCGTAATAGAACCCAGAGAACACGAATACACAATCAAAATCTTTAAACTACCAAACCCTTGCAGTTCATGATCTAATGGGAAAGTTTGTAGGCTGTTTTGTCTACTAATACAGTTCAGACTTGTATATAAAAAATTCCTAAGCTCGTACAATTTCCTCGTCATTTAATTAGTAATGCATAGAAGTTGAGAACTCTGTAGAACAGCACACACCCTTGTTGCAAGTTGCTACGTCCCCAAATCCAATCCATCCTCAAATGGGTTCAAGGGTTGGGCGAAAACCAAAAGGCAAGAAGAAAATACCTTAAGTCAACAATAATTACAAAAGATAACAAGCATAACATAGTGCCACAAGACACCACAGTAGGTGCACATCAATGAAGCAGAAGTTCAATAAGCATTTTGTTGTTCTTTACATGTAATTGCTAGGCAGTTTGAGAAGCTGATTTGATGAGAGGGGAATAACTTACCAGATTCGCGACCAAATCGTTTGCGGGACTAAACGATCCAATTGGGAACCTTCCTTTGAGATGGATTTTGTGCGAGAGATTCTTCAAGCCGAAACTGGAAGAGAAGCCTAGGAGAGAGACTGATTCGATGAGGAAGAAATTGCTCTGTGGAATTAAGCAGTTGATTCTGGGGGCAATGAAGGCCGAATTAGGTGATGGACAGAGCAATTGATTCGCGCGCGATATATTGGGGTTCGGCCTTATTCACGCGCCATATCTATTCCCATGAGTTCCACCGTTTCGTTTTTGGAGTTGGACAGGAAGAGTTTTCTTCCTTTATTATTGGTAAATTAAAATTGAGAATAAGTTTGATGGAGTAGCCCATATACGTAGGGTCTTCATTATGCTTACATTAAACTTTTTTTTTGTAAATGCACATCAAGAAATTAAAACTTCAAAGTATGCAACGTGTATATGCAATTAGATTGTTTTGCATTAATTAATTGGTAGATTACATTTAATTGTCATGTATTTAACTTTTCCCAACATTATTAGTTTAAATGTAGCTTAAAATGGAGGAATAAGCAACATAAAGTTATTTGGGTTATAAGTGTTGCGTATAATATAGCAAATGCGACATAATTCAAGTGATGAATGATTTATGTTGTGTAAAGTATATTTTAAGTAACACTTAAAAGAAGTGTTGCCACTGTTAATTATAAGCAACACTTTTGATAAGTGTTGCAAACATAGTGTTGGCAAAGGCCATTTTTCTCGTAGTGTGAGTATATATATAAAGAATATATATCATCTATACTCACACTTAAAAGGAAAAACCAGAAAAAGTACGTTTGCCAAATTGCCAATCTTACTAATCAGTAATCACAAACACAGGAAATGAAATTTCCTTTCAATGACTGTCGAGGTTTTGTGAATTAGAACATAGACCAAATTTCTTTCTCAAGGCAGTCGAAGGGTTGAAAGGCAAACACACCAATAAAGATGTCTACCAACCTAGTATAATCTTGATCACCATTTCACAAAACCAAACAGACACAGTACTAGTACACGTAAACAACGAAATATAATAAGATTCTTTAAGATTGTGTGGGAAATTGTTCACGTATACTATTTTCTTGCAACACAAGCAAACACATAAGATTAAGAAAAACACGCAAAGACACATGCAAGCGTCCTAGCCGATAGAATTCACTATCTCTCCTTAAAGAATCTTATTCCCCTCAAGTACCCAATGTTATGAAATGATTCCTCCCAGGATAGAAAGGACGTACCTTTTCCGGCGTAGCGGTACCTCAAACCCCGGAAACCATCGAACGCAGCGAACCGGCGAGAACCACACTTGACTTGATTTTCTCTTTGAAAAAGAATGAAGAATACTAGTTTTGGATTTTGACAGAATTTTGGTACCGGAAAAAACCGATGTAAAAAACCAATGAGGGTTAGGTGCTATTTATAGAAAATGAAGGGGTGCGTACGAAGGGAGGCGACTCTTCATATGGGTGGTTACACCCCAACCAACACATTGGTTCATGTTTGAAATAATGAACCATTGCATCGGTTCGGCCCATGGTAGTTGGACCGGTTTGGTTATTCGAAACCGCCACATCGGTTCGGTTCGGTTTGGTTCAACTCGGTTTGGTTTGGTCCGTTTGGTACACAAACCAATTTAACAGATTAACCACATATTACATCAAATCGATCGAATTCGAGGTCGTGCCTTCCCACATCTTACCAACATGGTACTTCAAGAGACTCTCTTGAAACTTCCCCTTTTATTTCCATTCACACCACTAAAAATCCCAACAATCCCCCACATGAATGGAGAATGTTGTACTTTAAAACTATGCAAAAAATCGTGTGATTCTCGACCAAGAATTAGTTGCATCGGGATAGGTAGGTTTCCCTTTGAACCTTCCTTAGTGAACATATATCGAGTATACTCACCATACGTTTGCAAAGTGCGTCATCTTGATTCTGTTGCTGCTGTTGAGCTGCTTTGAAAGCCAAGCTTACCGAGAACTGGCCATTGGCCGACCAGCTCCACAGGAATTGATCTCCATCTATGGCAAGCAGATCGACCAAGGCAGCTCTGATCTTCTCTATCGTCTGAGCGGGTAACAGGCAGGGGCGGACCCACGGCTGTTTAGGGGTGTCCCCGGACACCCCTAAATTTTGGGAAAACGATTATCCAACCCCCGGTAGTAATTTACGTATTGACAAAAAAAATTATAATTGATAGTCGGGGACACCCCTAAATTTAAAAAAGTGATTATCCTACTCTCATCTTTTAGTTTGAGTATGAGAATATAAGTCATAGTTTGGGTAATTCAAACCTAGGACACTTTTATTATTAATAAACAAAATTTTCATTAGGCTACAAATCATATGTTATTTGATTTTAAACACTGTGTAATAGTATAATGTCATTCTCTATCTCTAATTATTTTCAAAATCTAACAATTAAACAAATTTCAAGCTACCCTTAATTTGTATTGATTTATGGTTGTACAACAAGTATTGAAAGAGTCTTTTCAACTTTGGATTACATCACAAACAAGTTTAGAAATTGAATATGTGATCAGTTCGTGAATGATTGTCTAATATGATATACAGAGACAATTTTTTTTTTGAATAGTGTAGACCCCAAGTGTGTTCTACAATCATTTTTTAATATGAAAACATATTGTGAATTTTTTCAAACTGTATGAGTAAAGTATTTCTTATTTAAATATTATTTATTATTTATTAATTATTTTAGAATTATTTGTATTTAATTTATTTTTTAAAAGAGGACACCCCTATATAAAATTTCTGGGTCCGCCACTGGTAACAGGTGTTGAAATTCTTCTAATTTCCACCTTCGATCAACATCCCACATCTCAGCAACGAGCTTCGACTTCTGGTCGTCCGAGAGTTCAGCATTGACTTGCTCGATTAGAGGTACCTGCAAAATCCATGGATCCAACCAAAATTTAGTTCGCCTACCATCCTTCACACTCATGGCAAAACCTTTCTTAAGAACATCACTCGTGGAAACAAAACTTCTCCAGGCGAAAAAACTTCCCTTTTTCCTTTTGAGCACATCAAGCCCCTCCCTGCCGCGGCCATACTTTTCCCTGAGGAGTCATATGAAGAAGGCCATTACATGAATAAATTACGAATAATAATGCATGTTATGGTAAGTGGTAACTCTATGTTCTATCGTTAGATTAGACAAACTAAGAACCATTGAAATTTTAAGTTTGATGATTTGAATATATCTTAAGGCTAATGTTTGTAACATCCACTTGTTTTTGTGTGATGCACTTATTTTTTGTTCCTATCGCCAATCGCTTCGTGTTGCAATGTTAAATCGTTCTGGATCCTGATAATTTTTGTATTGGATATGTGAATGGAGAAATTTTACAATGCTATATAGTATTGGTGCTATAGGGTTTTGTCTTTATGGTACAACTTAAAATTGTACATTTACGTTATGGTACAACTTCAGATTGTATCTATACTTTTTGTACAAATTCTTTTATGGTACAACTTGAACTTGTACTTTTATGTGATAGTACAACTTCAAGTTGTAAAGTTGTACCATAACATAATGGTACAAGTCGAGTTTTACTTTGTTCAAACTAACGAGTCGAGTTTGAGCTAGACTCATTTATTAACGAGCTGCGTCGAGCCGAGTTCGAGCCGACTCATTTATTATAACATTGGCTCATCATTAAGATTAGGACTTCGGCTCAAGCTCAATTCTAGGGCAATTTATAAATTAAATATCATAATATTTATATGTCATATATGATACATGTGATTAACTGACCTCATATCATATATGAGATATATTTGCTCATATACTCAAAGTCTTAAAGATCATATGAAGTGAGATATACAATTTAATTAACCTATGAATCGTCAACAAGGCAACTCATAAGATATAGACCGATTTTCTCATAAGTCAACAATCGAGTTGGCTTGCTAGTCACAATGTTTAGACATCTCATGAGCTCAAAACGAGACAATTCACGAGTTTAGCTCAACAAGCTACCTAATTGAGCTACTTTACGAGTTGAACAAAGCTTAACTCAAGCTTTTTCTGAATCGAACAAGATTTTCTTGAGTCGAACATCAAGCCACTTATAAACAGTTTGGCTCATTAGCGGCCCTAACTTCAACATAGGAAGACAACATCAACAACCAACACTTTAGATAGACGTCAAAAGAAAAATAGAGTGGGCCGACACAATTCCGGGGATAGACTCGCCAGTTGTACGCGAATGTGTTCCAAATTAGCTAAGAACTACAACTCCCTACCAAGTTTATATCCCTCATAAGTCGTAACAAATGAGACAAGTGTTGTCCGTGATCAACATTTTCGTCACCAGCACAATATATAGAGGCAATAGTTAGGAGGGGCTATAGTCCCCCTCAACTCTAAAAATTATGTAAATTTACGTGTTAATTTGTAACAAATTTATAAAATAGAGCATATGATAAGACTTTATCCCTCCAAAATCTGCTATCAAAAGGAAGCTGAGCTGGTGGATACTCGAGAATCTTAAACAGACGGGTGGGAAAACGACGACATCGTTGATAGCTCCCCTCTTTCAAACGGCGGCGTTTTCTCTTAAGCGTGAATCAGCAAAAACCCTAAAGTTGCTCCAAAAATATATAAACACCGGAATTGATTTTTCCAATAGCAGAGAGAAACACAAAGGCGGAAGGGCAAGGAGTAGAAGGCGGCCGGAGAAGATGTCGAAGCGAGGTAAAAACAAGATGGAAATCAGAGCTCTTCCGTTTCGTTCGTTACTTAATCTCTCCACTTCGCCATTGTTAGTTAAACTTCTTTTGTAATGTATTCAGGGAGGGGTGGAAGTGCCGGAAACAAGTTCAGAATGTCCCTCGGTCTGCCGGTGGCGGCGACGGTGAACTGTGCCGACAACACTGGGGCGAAGAATCTCTACATAATCTCCGTGAAGGGAATCAAGGGCCGACTCAACCGATTACCGTCGGCTTGCGTTGGGGATATGGTGATGGCCACGGTGAAGAAGGGGAAGCCGGAGCTGAGGAAGAAGGTGATGCCTGCCGTCATTGTCAGGCAGCGAAAGCCCTGGCGCAGAAAGGACGGTGTCTTCATGTACTTCGAAGGTTGGTTCCTTCCATTTTTGCTCGATTTCGAACGTTTTCACTAAAGATGTCGGCAGCACTTCTCTTGTTGCTTCCTGATAATAGTTCAGTGGCCATGTCTGAGAATTAGTTACTGATAATATGAAGCACAAGATGATCAGAAAATTGCCAGTTTTGAACAGTATGATGTGTTGGCATAGCAGCATTGTGTTACCTGTCTGCTGGCACATTCCTTTTGTTGTTTCTTGGATTGCTATCCCTCATTTCTGTACATTGGGGAGGCGTTCTTATGCCACTGTTAGTTAGAACGTAGAAGTCTGTTTGAAAACTGGTTCATGGGGTTTCGTCGGTGGTTGCTTAATTTTCCTATAATGCTGGAGATTGGATGTGCCTAGATTTGTAGTGGAGGAGTAATGAACTCAGTTAGTATGTTTTAGATGGGTCTATTTGGCCTCAGTTATGCTGGTAGGATGAACTCAGTTATGTTTTCTCTGCCCATGCTGCATGTTCAATGGTTTCGCTTTCCGCTTCTATAGTTCTATCTCCATATATTACAATGACCCCTAAAACTGTACCTTTGCACACTTGCAGATAATGCTGGAGTGATTGTGAATCCCAAAGGAGAAATGAAGGGTAAGATTGATAGTCTTGATACTTCTTCGTGTTACTATGATATACTAGCATTGTCATACAGAATGCGTCCAAGTGAATTTAAGCAGCTCATGAATCGTCCATTTTGCATTTTGGGCAAGAAGATTTCTTTTTAGTTCCTATTAGATGAATGTGGATAAATCTACTGGCACTTTTGAACAGCTGCATTTGATGATGAGTGTTGGTTTTACTCTTCACTAGATTCTGAATGAGATACATTTATAGCCTCTACTTATATTTTCCATTTTGATGATCTGCAGGGTCTGCTATTACTGGTCCTATTGGAAAGGAATGTGCTGATCTATGGCCAAGAATTGCTAGTGCAGCCAACGCCATTGTCTGAGTTGTATCGATATTCGGCCTTGAAAGATTGCTTATTTTTGTGTGTTTTACCGGTAAACAGGGAGAAGGAAGTAGAAAAACAGTACAATTCCATAATGTTATCTTATAAATCACTCGTAGTTTAGTTGTGTTGACTGTTGGAATCAATTTTGCCCTTTTGTTATATTTTTACAGTTGCATTGTATCGTAGCAGATTGTTGCAATCAATTTTACCTTGTATCTTTCTAGACGCACAACATTAGTCACTGCCATTGAATGCAAGAAACTGATCTTCATAATTTCTAGAATGATGGCCAGCAGCATTTTAAGATATTTAAATGCACAACATGCAGTGGCGGAACAAGAGCCCAGAGGGGTTCGGTCTGTCACGGCTCACGGGACACAGGTAGGTCTTGGTAAAACGATAATAAGTTTCTACGTAAATGCATTTTGCTATCGTACTAAAGCTCACGTATTGTTATTTGATTGTCATAAATTAATTTATTACACTGTAAGTGAAATTCCCAATCGAAATAATTTATTATATAATTAAAAGCCCGACTAAACCAAGGGCTAAATCACTGTTCCATACGATAAATTCTCCCTAACCTTTTTTTTCCGGAAAGAGCCATCCTTTATTAATTGTGGTTGATTTCAATCTCACAAAATCTCCCTTTATTGTTTATTCTTGCGGAAACACAGGGCAGTTTTTTAGCTTGGTGTACTGTTCACTAAGGGGATTTATCTCATGTACCCAAATTCGCCATAAGCTCTTTGTTATTTCTATGATAAGTTTCAAACTCAAATGAAATTGTGTGATAAGTTTAATTATTCATTTACTATTAACTGAAAAATCCAATATTGTTAACTAAAATATTTAATAGGTCTAATCTAACAATACTTCCCAATTTTATCATAATCCCCTTTTCTCTCATTTAGTAATACTATTCATATGAATTTTATCCCCTACAACCAATTCTACGATATGTATAAACTCATGAAATTCTACAATAAGTTTAATTACTCCTTTGCTATTAACCGAATTCCATTATTGTTAACTAAAATATTTAACAGGTCTAATCATATGTTACTTTCTAAAATTTGATTTTATCATTGGACCACACATTATAAGAGATTTATGTAACAATATAATTCAAAGCCCAAACACTTTTCACAATTCCTTAAGAAAAAATAAGTTATATTTTCTCCATGGGTACTGTTCACATTGAGTTTTATCTCATATACACAATTTTACCATTTTTTCATTTTTTTTTCTTTTCAATAATATTATTCATATGAGTTTTATCCCCTACAACCAATTTTATGATAAGTCTAAAACTCATATGAAATTCTACGATAAGTTTAATAATTCATGTATTATTAACCGAAATACCATTATTGTTAACTAAAATATTCAACAGGTCTAATCATACGTTACTTCCAAATTTTACCATAATATCTTTTTCTCTGTTCCACCAATACTATTCATATGAACTTTGTCCCCTTCAACCAATTCTACGATAACTATAAACTCATGTGATTATACAATAAGTGTAATTATTTCTTTACCATTAACCGAAATTCCATTATTGTTAACTAAAATATTTAACAGGTCTAATCATACGTTACTTTCTAAAATTTGATTTTATCATTAAAGCACACATTATAAAAGATTTATGTAATAATGTTCTATAATAGTTTTATTTTATCTGCTACGTCTAATTTTACCATAAGCTCTTGATTAATTAACTTTGATACAACAATTTAATTATATGTTACTAACGTGTTATTTTCAAAATTTTATTTTATTATTAGACCACACAATATGCAATATTTATGTAACAACATTCTATAACAGTTACATAAATTAAAAATTTATCAATGTTACTTACTATAATTTGATTTTATTATTAAACCATACATTATGAAAAATTTATGTAATAACTATCTATAACTGTTACATGAGTTTTCATCAATGATTAAGACACTACGTAAAGTTTAAGAATTTTCCTAGGATCCATGGATAGAAAATCCTATATGTTGCTAGAGATTTGGGAGTTCCTATATCATAATGCACGGAATAATCATTTTATATGTATCCATTAAAACAATAATACGTAAGTTTTCATGAATGAATAAACACTATATAAACCTTATGTATAAATAGTTATTTACTATGTTCACTTAATAAGCAAACGAATTATGTATGTTATTCGTAATGATTAAGACATCATTATGTGAATAATTTTGTGAATAATTTGACTTAAACTAAATCATTATTAGTTTCTTACCGCGGCGGAGCGCGGGCCAAAAAACTAGTATTCTTTAACACACATAATTAATTTCATCTTCTTGCTCTGCCATTGACAATGTGATTACTATTACTAATGTCTATGATTGTGTATGCATTATGGAATGGCAAAATGCAATTTAACGACTAGAGTAGAGCGACGAAGTTGAAGCAGATGCTGCACTCTGCTTCTGCAGGAAATTTCTGAACCAAAAGGCAGAGCGTTTAGGATATCTCTTCAAATTGTCCTGAAAGTCGATGAACGTAATTCCGAAACGTACAGTGTAGCCAAGCTCCCACTCGAAATTATCAAGTAATGACCACAAATTGTACCCTCTTATGTCAACTCCAGCCCTGCAGAATAAAGCACCCTCATTCATACATAAATCCTATTTACTGGTCAAACTGAATAGAAAACGAAAGACGAATGAAATCGCTCACCTGACAGATTCTAATAGGTATTGGAGATGAAGGTAGTGGAATTTGATCCTCAACTTGTCATTTAGTGCATCATTGAGAAGCAACGAGTTGTTACTTAGATCAGCCACCCCTAAGCAGTAAACAGCAGAAATCAAAACTATAGAACAATGGGAGATTCCACCAAACCAAGAAGTGGAGCTTCGAGATGGACTTTTTCTTTACCATTTTCAGTCAGGAAGACTGGGACATTGTACTCTTCCTTCACGTATACCAAAATTTCAAGTATTCCTTCCGGATAAATATAGAGCCAGTCACAAGCAGTCTGTCAAAACAAACCCCTCAGTTGCAAACATCTTATGCAAGGACCCCAAAGAGCCCCCCCATTTTGGTTCTTCGGAAAGTCCTCGAGCAACAAGACTCGAGTTTTTGTGCACATTTCTAATGTTTGTGTTTAACAGAGAACAAGATGATCACATACCGGCTGACCAATGGGAACTCCATTTTTGTGCACTGCAAAACAGATTTATAAAGTTATATAATGTACAAATGTAACCATAACATGTGTACTCTTGCTAATCTGGTGAAGGTCAAGATTCCTAAGCTCACTCGTTATATTGACTCGACTATCTGTCGTGTAACTTGGATTGATGCTCGAGGATGAGACATCTTCTGCATAATATGCTGAGTAGTAATTCACTCCAAGGAAGTCAATAGACCCTTCAAGCATCTGCTTTTGCTCTTCTGTGAATTTGGGCAGCCTATCTCCAACCAGAGCTGTCATTGATTCGGGATACTCACCATATACCACCGGACGAGCTATCCTACAAAATTTATTCCATCTTTGTAAAAGCACGAACAGAGGCTTTAAGTCTCGAATGATCTAACATGATAGTCTGATACTCATCATAGATGCCTCACCATGCAAAACCGAAGTCCAGAGCTCTGGAGGCAGCTTCTTTGCATGCCTTCGTTGGGTATTTGGGGACATACCATCTGGTCGAAATTGTTATACCAACCATTCCATTTTGAGAAGCCTAGGTCAACATCAATGTCAGTTCACTATATATATCTAGTGCTTAGGAATCCGAATGAACCGCTAACTTGCTTCAACGTAATCTGAAGCTATCCTTCAAGACTCAAAATTCTATTTCTTCTATCAATTTACTGACCTTATACTTGTTTCTGTACACATTTGCAGCAGCTGCATGACAAAGAAGGATGTTGTGCATGGCAATGTACGGCTCCGTAGCAGAGTTCCCATCTGTGCAATTACCCATATAGCTAGAACATCGACCTGGCGAATTAATGCCTTGGTCATATCCCTTAATAGTAATTGAATTCGGTTCATTCACAGTGATCCAGTTCTTCACTCTATCACCAAATTCTTTGAAGCAAAAATCCGCATAGTCCCGAAAATTATCCCTGGTTAACAAAACGATCAGCTGATTGCAAGATCCTTCGACTTCATGGCACAGTAAAGTTGATTGCATGAATGGTTTGATTGACATAAAATATAGGCCTCATAACTCACACGATCTTCGAGCTGAGGAATCCACCATACTCATCTTCAAGAGAATGTGGAAGATCCCAATGCATCAAGGTTGCTTGGGGCTCTATACCTGCCAAGAAGTACAGGTCATAGCAATTGAAGATATGAAGAAGGCTCGTATCAAGTCTAAAAAATGTCAGCAAGTGAAATGAAGTAAGACATAGTACTCAACCATTCAGCAGAAGCTCATCAATGAGGCTGTTGTAGAAATCAACACCTTTTTGGTTGATCCCCAAACCGATTCTCCCCTCTGGAAAACAACAGAACAAATGATTCAAAACCACAATTTTGACCCAGAAGAACTATCCAAACAAGCTCTCGAAAGGATGATCGTACGAGGCAATACACGCGACCATGCAATAGAGAATCGAAAGGCATCCAGACCAATTTCCTTCATCAGCCTGACGTCCTCCTGAGAAAAATTATCTCCGTGGGTATCAAAACAGCAAATCGAAGAAGACAAGAAGATCACCTCCATCAAGTCATATATTCTTACCCTAAAACGGTAGTAAAATTCTTCAGCTATATCCCCCGTAGTATGATCCACAATCTTTTCTGTCCTCAACACCACAGCCAAAACCCTCCATATCGGTCAACTCGACAAATGAAGCATTTACCAGAAACAATCAGAAAGTAGCCAACTTAAACTTTCTCTCAACAAGATCATAATGGACCCAATTGAACTTCTGAAGGATCTAATATATGATTCAGAGATGAAATTGAAATGGGTAGCTCTTACCTGGTTGCTGTTTGACGAAAACATCCCAGTTGCTTAGTCCTCTGCCATCCGTAAATGTTGCCCCTTCATACTGAAAGAAAGAAAGAGATCAGAGGTGGTGCACAAAAGAAATCAGCAAGTAGCTAACTCAGAAGAAGAAGATTAATGACGGGGAAAATCGGAAGAGGGTTTTTACTTGGTAAGCACTAGAAGAAGCACCGAATATAAAACCAGGAGGAAAGCTACTCCGATTGAGTAGGGAGGCAGGATACTCGTCGTCACCATCAAAGACCGGATATTGGAGGCACTCAATGCAAAGACGAGGCAGCAAAAGGTTGAGAAGGAGGAGGAGAGGGAGAAAAGGACTGCCCAGAAAGATAGAATGTATCTTCTTCATCATATACCAATGAGTTGGTTTGGGAATCACCAGATCAAATGGACTGCTGAAGTGCTGCTGGTTTATTCAGGCCAAAGTTTTGCCTGTTCCTCATCAAGGGAATGGAAACAAACAATCTTAATACAGATAGTAAACACTAAACAAAGTGATAATGTCAGACCAGTCGCTTGTGGATATAAATTTTTGTCACGTACTATTCGTCGATGGAGACAGGCACTCAATGAAAAAAGATTGGAGTTCCACTTCTACACGCCACTTCCTCTGCTTCCATTTTTCAGGTTCTCTATCGTATCCTTGTTGCTTTCCTGGATGGTCGAGACGCCATAGCCAGATCATAGTGCGTTGGTTCTCAAGGATACGAGGACAGTGGTAGGATATTGGAGGGAGAATCAGCTTTATGGTGTCTGTCAGAGTTCAAGACCTGGAAAGTAGTGATGACCCAAGTAGACTGTTGGTGTCACAGTTGTTGTTATTGTTAGGACTTTTGGAACGATGGTGTAGGTACGATAGTTTGAGATTGGGTGATCAAAATTGTTTAAGAGTCTTTCTGTAAAGAATATTCACAAAGTCTTGAGTTACATGAGTGCTTTTGTTCTATTAGCTTTTTTGTTCACAAAGAAAGCTTGGTCAATGTGGGTGAAATCAGTTTTGATGAGTGTAGCTATGGTATCCAAGCTTAGTAGGGCAGTTGTACTAGTAAGTTTTCTATGATCTGTATCATTAGAATTTCTACTATATTCATCCATGTTTTTGCTTTGTTTCACGGCAATCTACCAGCTTACTAGCAAAGGATGGATGTGAGTCTCGAAATTCTTTTGTCAAAGTAGTTGGTATTTTTTGTCTGCAGTTCATTAGGTGTTTTCAAGTGCAGGTTTGGAAGTTTTGGTGCACATCTTGATTTGCTTCCCATGCATATTTTGGTATACAAACGTTAGAGAAAGTGAGAAAGGGCACGGAAATGCTTAGAGACGAAGCAAATTTGCGTTGTTATCAAGATGTAGCCAAGCCGGTCAGTTGCATCACTTCCGATTAGAGTTGGTGCCGACTCCCAGAAAGCCATTTTTCTTAAAAATCGGTCAAAACCACAAAAATCTAGTCATTTGACTGGTTCAGGCTCTTAAACATAATGCAAATATGCACAATTTTTGGAGTCAGTAAATTATGTATGATACCTATTAAATTACATTTAGATTGTTGAAATATTAAATTATTATCCTATACACATAAATATTTTTATATTATATATAAAATAGTTTAAATAGGTTCGACCAATAAACTTAAAATATTTACTTTACCGACTCAACAAGTTAAACCGGATTGATAACCTTCCTAATTTCAGCCTAGTTATTTTGCTAACTGCATAAGTTGTTAGTATATACTAACTAATATTCAAAATGTATGAATTAGTATCCAAGTCTGCGGATTTTACTAAAGTATCTATATAGCACAGACTAGTATTCAAAACATCAGAAACTAGTATCCAGATAGCAGATACCAACTAATATCCACAATCAACCAACTAGTATTCAATATGGATACTCTTATAGGTTATATGGATACTCTTATGTGTTATCTGGATACTAATTATGTGATGTTTGGATACTATTTTGTGTTGTCTAGATATTAGTTTGTGAATTTGGGATAATAGTTGATTTATGGTGGATATCAGTTAGCAAACTTTGAATACTAGTCTGTGCTCTCTAGATACTTTAGTACTTGGATATTAGTTCATGTAATTTGAATATCAGTTAGTATCTGCTAACGAATTTTCAAGTTAGCGGATTAACTTTCCCCTCCTAATTTGGCTAAAAAGATGGCTGGGACCTTTCTAGGGATCTAATCGCCAGCCAGCCAGAACAAAGCTTCCAATACCCGCATTTCCCCCAAACACATAATTTCAACTATAACGTCTCTTCCACTCAAAACCAACACCAGACAGACAGACACCATACTCTGCAATCGACTTCCCACCTCACAGTTTGGTAAAATCGCTTCAACACCATCTCCTTCACTCTTCCTTCTTCCTCACCGCCATTAACAAATGCTGTTCCTTTTTTTAAAACCCCATTTCCCCATGCCTCTTCTCGCCATCTCTCTTTCCCTTTCTCCCACCCTCCATGGCTGGCATTGCCGTGGTTCCTCGTTCGTTCCACTCTCGTGGTGGTGATGATGATGACCGTGACAACTTACATGTACGTACCTTCCTAATTTTGTTTTCTCTTGGTTTGTATTTGTATATGCACACGTACTGTTTGATGAAATTCCTGTGTTGATCGTTCAGCAGCGCCCTCCCACCCGCCACTCGGCAGCTGCTCCCAAGCCGTGCAGAGTCTGCGGGGATGAGATTGGGGTGAAGGAAGATGGAGCTCACTTTGTGGCCTGTCACGTTTGCGGGTTTCCCGTTTGCAGGCCTTGTTATGAGTACGAGAGAAGTGATGGCAACCAGTGTTGCCCTCAGTGCAACACTCGCTATAAGCGTCACAGAGGTACAGCTTCTAATGCGATTACGTTTCCGTCATCTCCCGTAAATCGTTTTTGAGGGTATATTTCGGATCATTTGTTTTTTTGGATGACGAGCTGAAGCTACAGAACTTGCTCAAGTTTTTGCGTTTAGAGATTGGCTGACAGTTACTGTTATAATGCGTGCCTCTTGTGTGCAGGTTCTCCTAGGATCCCTGGAGATGACGAGGATGATGATATTCATGGTGCAGATGATTTTGATGATGAGTTTCCGGTTAAGCTTCATCATCAAGATGAATCAGGTCACCAAGATGTGTCCGCTCATTCTGTAAGTCACTGGTTTGTCTATGCTATTTCTGACTTGGCCGGTCTCTTTTGTGTCTCAAGTATGGGTGGAGTGGGTTGGGTTTTCGGATCTGAGGCTGAGTTTCTGGTGTGCAGGAAAATAGGGACTACGTTCAACCACAGCTGCACACAGGAGGCCCTGCTTTCTCTTCCACCGGAAGTGGTAATCTTCTTAGCTATAGTCATCTCGATTAGATTGTATTCTCTTACTCTCTAGCTTTCCCCTTTGGCATGGAAGAGATGCAATTCTTCTCTGAAGTATTGTCTTTTTACTGTTCTTCATATATAGTTGCTGGTAAGGATCTTGAAGCAGAAAGAGAAGCTTACAGCAACGCAGAATGGACAGAGAGAGTGGAGAAGTGGAAGATGAGACAGGAAAAGAGAGGTCTTGCCAACAAGGACGATGGAGGAGGAAATGATCAAGGAGAAGAAGATGAATACTTGTCAGTGAAGTTTCCTCTCCTTTTTCTAATCTTTCTTAGCTTCGGTTTAGCTTCTCTTGACTTGTGATCAATTCACATTGATCATTTATACAATTTTCTTTCTGTAGAATGGCTGAAGCAAGGCAACCACTGTGGCGAAAGGTGCCAATGCCCTCAAGCCGAGTGAACCCATACCGAATTGTCATTATCCTCAGGCTTATCATTCTTTGCTTCTTTTTCCGTTTCCGCATCCTAACTCCAGCATACGATGCTATGCCACTCTGGGGCATCTCTGTGGTCTGCGAGATATGGTTTGCCTTGTCTTGGATCCTCGATCAGTTCCCAAAATGGTTCCCGATCAATCGGGAAACTTACCTTGATCGTCTTTCGCTGAGGTTTGAAAGAGAGGGAGAACCGAACAAGCTAGCCCCGGTTGATTTCTTTGTCAGCACAGTTGACCCTCTCAAGGAACCACCAATAATAACTGCAAACACAGTTCTTTCCATCCTGGCGGTCGATTATCCGGTTGATAAAGTCAGCTGTTATGTCTCCGATGATGGTGCTTCAATGCTTCTCTTTGACACACTGGCAGAAACTGCTGAATTTGCTAGGAGGTGGGTCCCTTTTTGCAAGAAGCACAATGTTGAGCCAAGAGCTCCAGAGTTCTATTTCTCTCAGAAGATTGATTACTTGAAAGATAAGGTTCACCCAAACTTCGTTAAGGAGCGGAGGGCAATGAAAGTAAGCAGCCTGTTGTCAACATTTCTTTCTTTCTTTTCGCCAGTATGAATGAATGGTAACAAGGAGATTAACCTAACTGTTTGGGGTTGCAGAGAGAGTATGAAGAGTTCAAGGTGACAATCAATGCACTGGTCTCCAAAGCTCAGAAGAAGCCTGAAGAAGGATGGGTGATGCAGGATGGCACCCCCTGGCCTGGAAACAACACACGTGATCACCCTGGAATGATTCAGGTTTATCTTGGAAGTGAAGGCGCACTTGACGTCGAAGGCAAGGAGCTTCCCCGGCTTGTGTATGTTTCACGTGAGAAGAGACCAGGCTATTCGCACCACAAGAAAGCTGGTGCCATGAATGCTCTGGTATGTAGCTATCTCTGTCATGGACAATCCCTGTTTGATGCATCCAGGAAATTGGAACTTCGATTGTAGTATTGCTGATTAAATTCTGAACGACCTTGTTTGCTCCTCTTTTTCTAGATCCGAGTCTCTGCAGTCCTCACCAATGCACCTTTCATGTTGAATTTGGATTGTGATCATTATCTTAACAACTGCAAAGCTGCAAGGGAGGCAATGTGTTTCTTGATGGATCCCCAGTTTGGAAAGAAGCTTTGCTATGTTCAGTTCCCTCAGAGGTTCGATGGCATTGATCCCCACGATAGATACGCTAACAGAAATGTGGTATTCTTTGATGTAAGTAAAAAAAGAAAAAAGAAATAATAGAATCAATAATGGACGTAACTCCTTTCTTTCTCTTTTAGTTCATCCTAACAAACGTGAGGCTCATAAGTCATGTTCTCTTCTGCTGATTGTAGATTAACATGAAAGGCTTGGATGGGATCCAAGGGCCGGTTTATGTAGGGACTGGATGTGTCTTCAACAGGCAAGCTTTGTACGGCTATGATCCACCAGTGTCTGAAAAGCGTCCCAAAATGACATGCGATTGCTGGCCTTCATGGTGCTGCTGTTGCTTTGGTGGTTCGAGGAAAACTAAATCTAAGAAGAAGGGACAGAGAAGCCTGCTCGGAGGACTTCTTCCAAAGAAGAAGAAAATGGCGGGGAAGCACTACAGCAGGAAAGGTTCTATGCAAGCTTTTGAACTTGAAGAGATCGAGGAAGGACTTGAAGGCTATGAAGAGCTGGAGAAATCCTCTCTAATGTCTCAAAAGAATTTCGAGAAACGGTTTGGTCAATCTCCGGTTTTCATCGCCTCCACCTTGATGGAAGAAGGTGGTCTGCCCGAGGGAACACCTTCTTCATCTCTCATCAAGGAGGCCATCCATGTCATAAGTTGTGGGTATGAAGAGAAAACTGAATGGGGCAAAGAGGTCAGTGTCAACACAGCCAGTGCTTTCTTGTGCATTTTTTTTATTGGAGAAACTTTCTTGTGCTTTCCTCTTACACTGTTTTCACTTGTGATTGTCCTTGACATTTACTTCTTTCCATTTTCAAAGGTTGGGTGGATCTATGGTTCTGTTACGGAGGATATCCTGACAGGGTTCAAGATGCACTGCAGAGGATGGAAGTCAGTTTACTGCTGTCCTGAGCGCGCAGCTTTTAGGGGATCAGCTCCCATTAACTTGTCGGATCGGCTGCACCAAGTTCTGAGATGGGCTCTGGGATCTATCGAAATTTTCATGAGTCACCACTGCCCTCTCTGGTATGGTTGGGGAGGCAAGCTGAAATTCCTTCAGAGGCTTGCTTACATCAACACCGTCGTTTACCCTTTCACTTCCATTCCTTTACTTGCCTACTGCACCATTCCGGCAGTCTGTCTCCTGACTGGAAAATTCATCATCCCAACGGTAAGCAGAAAATAACCATTCATCAATCGACGGGTCGCCCTCTTCTCCTTACCCAGACTTGGTTCCAGGAAATATTAAACCTGAAACCCTTTTTCATTCAATCCTGCAGATCAGCAATCTTGCCAGCATATGGTTCTTGGCGCTTTTCCTCTCCATCATAGCAACCAGTGTCCTGGAACTGCGATGGAGCGGGGTGTCCATCGAAGACCTGTGGCGCAACGAGCAGTTCTGGGTCATCGGTGGAGTATCAGCCCATCTCTTTGCTGTCTTCCAAGGCCTTCTCAAGGTCCTAGGGGGAGTCGACACGAACTTCACCGTCACATCAAAAGCAGCTGATGACACGGAGTTCGGGGACCTGTACCTATTCAAGTGGACTACCCTTCTCATCCCACCAACTACACTCATCATCCTCAACCTGGTAGGGGTTGTTGCAGGAGTGTCCGATGCAATTAACAATGGGTACGGATCATGGGGACCTTTATTCGGGAAGCTCTTCTTCGCTTTCTGGGTCATTGTCCATCTCTATCCTTTCCTGAAAGGTCTCATGGGAAGGCAAAACAGGACTCCAACCATCGTTGTCCTGTGGTCCATTCTCCTGGCTTCAATTTTCTCATTGGTTTGGGTCAGGATCGATCCCTTCTTGCCCAAGCAAACTGGTCCAATTCTTAAGCAATGTGGGGTTGAGTGCTAGTCACGGTTTTCCCAAAGCCGTCTCCAAATATTTGGTTTGGTTTCTACTCCAGCCATTAGACATCTTCCAATAAGTTTGTGAGAAAAACCTTTTTTGTTTTGTTTTGTTGGGTGTGATTTGTGAAACGTTCAGACCATGAGGTAGAGTTGCAGCTCGAAGATTGTAAGATAAAGACCGAGATACGCATGTCAGGGACGTTGCCTTATGTGCTATGAGTTCTGATCTCAGAAAATTTCATCCCTGGGAGAGTTGAAGCTGTCTTGACGAGTGTTTGGGCAACAGAAAAATGGCGAGAAAATGAAGGAAAGGCAGAGAAAATAGAGAGAGATAGAGGCAGAGGAAAAGAGAGAGAGAGAGAGAGAGGAAAAGGGGTGCTCAAGATCTAGTGTTGTTGATGCTAAGTTTAGAGCAGTATATGATTAAGGTCCGGAGAGCTGATTTCCCAAATTCTGTAACCACTTCCAGTTTCGTGCGAATACTTAGAAAAAAAGGTCCCACCGGGGAAGTTCTGGTTGGAACCTCCTTCGACGCTCAAATTAGTAATCTGAATGAAAAGAAATAAATGCGATAACGTTAGACCTGGTTCGATTTCATAGTCGCAATTGAGTGTCGTTGGCTATTTAATGCCGCCCGGTGGAGACTATCCACGATTCCATGGCTTAGTCCGCCAAATTGAGGGTGTGTTGAGTGTTTAGAGATTTAACACGTTTTGGGAGATCGGGAGGAGAGAGAAAATATTTTTTAGAGATCGAAAGTAGAGAGTTGGTATTGTGTGTGAGTTGTGTTGTGTGAAGTAGTCGTAAGTGACTTGTGTGCGAGTTGTGTTGCGTGGAGGGACTTATGGTGTGTTGAGAAAGGGGGAGGGGTGCTCCCTATTTATAGGGAAAAGTCGTAGTTAAATTCCTCGACTTATTTCAACATTCACCAACATTCTCCGTTATCCCAATACTCGCCAATATTCTCCGTTATACCTTAACATTCTCCGTCATACACCAATATTTATCAATAATCATGGTATATGAGAATATCCAAGTGTGTATGCGAAAGTATGAGAAAGTGTAAGTATATAAGGGAAAATAAAGGAGTATGGGTAATGTAAACGAGAAACATTTACGTATATGCATGCAGTGGCGGATCCATAAATTTTTTGTAGGGGTGTCCTCTTCCAAAAATTAAATTAAATAATTCATAAATAAAAAAAATATCTAATTAGTACAAATTTTAACAAAAATCCATTATGTGTTTTCATATTTCGAAAAAATATATAATAGATTCGATGTCTACACTGCTCAACAAATTTGTATATTCTACTAGACAATAATTCACAAACTGATCGCATCTTCAATTTCTAACCTTGTTTATGATAAGGCCTAGGATTAGGTCTTTAGGCTCAGAATCACGCAGCAAACGAATTGAGCTTGACTCAATTCCAACTCAGCAAACTATGGATGATTAGAATGATGAAGACGGTCAATTTCTTGTAATTCTTCACGCGGAGAAAGGCTCAAAACGGATAGGTCGATGCTTGGCCACGATCAAGGTGTTGAATTGATCGATACAAGCTTCCACGCTGCTCGGAATCCACCAAGCAACTCAACAATCCACAAGCAAAAGCTAATGAACCAAAACTCACGTTTTATTCAACTTAATCGATTCTACCTATTACAATGCAATGGAACGTCCTTAAATAGAGTTAGGCTAGCTAACAACTCAATATGAAAGTCCTAAACAAAATCAAACTATGAAATCAAACGCAAACATGAAAAGGTAGAAGAATCCTAATCCGCAAAGGACTCGGACTGCTGAATTTGCAAGACAGCTTCATTTGGTCTTCGAACGACCTTGCAGGCTTTCATTCGAAGGCTTCCAATCTTCATTTCAATCATCCAATGCCTCTAGGTTGTAGTAGGAATCTTCTAGTTTCATGTAGTATTGACCGCTTGGGCCAGTTTAAATTTACCCTTCTCGAACTAGTGTCCAAAGTCGGGTACTCAAGCTGTCTTCCAGACTTGGAGAATTCTGGGCAGTTTTCTAGTGTCAGCATAGCGTTTTGAGTAGCTCGAAAATCGATCTTCCTGGCTTCCTTTTGAGCATCCAAACGTGTCCCGCTGTAGAGGGTTATCTCATCTTCCAAACAAGCCTCCAATTACCCATTTCCATCGAGCCATTTGTAAGGAACGAGCTTGCAAAGTGACCTACCTGAAACTGTAGTAACACTTGGCAAAAATTCAGAGTTAGTTAAAGGGAATGAGTTGGATTCTTTGGCCATCAATTAGAGACTAGGAATTGATCTAGGTGAGATCATATCAGGCCCTCCCTCTTGAAAAAGTGTTGCCCTCAACACTTTGGCCTCCTTTCGCTCGAATCGTTCAAAAAATTGAATCCAAACTGGGTCTGAATATGGATGCTCAATCTCGAAACTGGGAAATATTAGGGTAGTGTTCTTCGTTGGATGATTTGGGCGTTTCGAATTGACACATTCCTAGAATAATTCACCGCCTTCACGAGCTTTGAATGACTTCAAATAGCATTTCTGATCCGATCTTTCCTCTCGACTCTTCGCCGTAATCGCTGAATCGACGTCTTCCGATTTCCCGCCAACGTCGGATTTTGAAATGGTCGTGCCTAGGATTCCCAAATCCGAATTGGGCGTTTTTGATCCCAGTATCCTCAATCGAATTGGATTGTTCACAGAGCTTCCTGGGACTGAATTTGATGATTCCGCGTCATTAGTTGGCGTCGAATCCTCCATGATTGCTCCAACCCATTCGCTCAATTTTTCAGCGTAGTCGAGCCTTTCCAGAGCAACTTCGGCTTGAATCGGATTGCTAGCTGTGGCGATAGTTGGCTTGGTATCATCCCGGGAGGAGTATTCTGGTATCATGGGGAACGTGTAGGCACTAATGGCGGGGCTTGATTCACCTCCCATTGTTCCCCCCAATTGCACCTCTGTCCTGCCCTGTTTTCTTCCCGCCGGCGAACAGAGTTGCTTCGTAGTAGCTGGCCGGCGTGGATGAAACCGCTTCAGTACGGTTAGCAGGTAGCGATGAGTGATGAAACTCGAATCCTTCTTTCCCTCACTCGTTTCCCCATTTTCCTTGTCCCGATTCACTGCCAATTGATGCTGATCAGCTCGAACCTCAGCAGGTGTCATTGGCTTGAGTATGAACTGTCGGCCTTGGTGCTTCAGCTTATAGCAATTAGTTCCCCCGTAGTGCCATACCTGTTGATCGAATTGCCAGGGTCATCCAAGTAGGATGTGGGCAGCCCGCATTGGAGCAACATCAAAATCTAGTTCATCCTTGTAATCTCCAATTGCAAAAGGAACCCGAGATTGCTTAGTCACTTTGATCGGCCCGTAATCATTGAGCCAGTGTAAATTGCAGGGATCTGGATGCTTTGTCGTACGTAGACCAAGCTTCTTAACAACGTTGGAACTAACGACGTTCGTACAACTTCCTCCATCGATAATTAGGGAGAGAATCTTGTCGTTAACAACACACCGCGAGTGGAAGAGGTTGTCTCTCTGTTCTGCAGAATCGTCAGCTTCTATGATCAACGCCCTTTGGGTTACTGTCAACAATTTGCCAGGCATGGGAGTTGCCATGATGATCTCCTCATCGACTTCCTCTTCAGTCGATGTGTTACTGTCCTTCCCTTGCTCTTCTCCATCACTGACGTATTCCCCTTCACACAGAATTAGTGTTTTTAAATTCGGGCACTGGTTCGCTTTATGCCCTCGACTGTGGCACTTAAAGCACTGAATTGAACTTGTTGAGGTCTCAGCCTTGCCTTGATATGCTGGAGGTATCAGCTTGGGAACGCTCTTGGGAATTTCAATCCGAATTGGTGTTGGGTTTGACTCCAAAGAGTTCTCTGGTACACTCCGGTTGGAAAACCTCCTGGCCTTGGCTTGCTTCTCGATTTTGATCGCCAAATGCACAGCTTCCTCTAGCTCAACGAATTGCCTGAGCTCTAACTCCTGTCTGATGTCTCTATTCAGCCCATGTAGGAATCTAGCAATGGTGGATTCTCGGTCTTCTCGTACATCAGCTCGTAATAGAAGCACATCGAGTTCCTTGAAGTATTCATCAACAGTTTTGGTTCCTTGTCGAAGTGACTGAAGGGAATCGAAAAGCTCCCTTTGATAGTACCCAGGAATGAATCGATCACACATTAATGTCCTCAGTTCGTCCCATGTGGTAACTAGAGGCTGAAGGTTGCACCGCCTTCTCATCTGAACCTGTTCCAACCACGTCGCTGCATAGTCGGAGAATTCGTAAACTGCAAGCAGAACCTTCTGTTGTTAATTCCTCGCAGTTCTGTGACCGGACCGTCGAGCTCTGCTCTATTGTTTCTCCGGCCAAAGTCCCGATTGCCTCGATTGCGAGGGCTCGGATCGCCTTCAGTGGCGAATAATTGCCGCTCCAGATTACGTAGCCTCTCATCTAAAGCGTGATTGATGTTATTTGGGTCGTTTTGAACCGTCTGGGTCGCGGCTGTTTCTGCCTCTGCTTCTTTGTTCGGTGGCTTCATCTCGTCAAGTCGTCGAGTTATATGATCCAGTTGCAGCTGAAAAGAGGCATTCATCTGGGCAAGGGTAGCCTGAATTAATGCTATGGGATCCTCCCTGTTGGGATCCCCCATTGGAGCTCCTGCGTTGGTCTTCTCCTTCTTCTTCTTCTGTTCCGAAAGTAGAATTGCTGGGTCTGCCGAAACAGGGCCTTTTGATCTTGTCCAACGAGTAGTTTCGACAACGTCTTCCGTCTTGTCCACTGTGTACAAACCGGGATCTGATTACCACTTGATAAGGCCCAGGACTAGGTCTTTAGGCTCAGAATCACGTAGCAAACGAATTGAGCTTGACTCAATTCCAACTCAGCAAACTATGGATGATTAGAATGATGAAGACGATTAATTTCGTGCAATTCTTCACGCGGAGAAAGGCTCAAAACAGATAGGTCGATGCTTGGCCACGATCAAGGTGTTGAATTGATCGATACAAGCTTCCAAGCTGCTCGGAATCCACCAAGCAACTCAACAATCCACAAGCAACAGCTAATGAACCAAAACTCACGTTTTATTCAACTTAATCGATTCTACCTATTACAATGCAATGGAACGTCCTTAAATAGACTTAGGCTAGCTAACAACTCAATATGAAAGTCCTAAACATAATCAAACTACGAAATCAAACGCAAACAGGAAAAGGTAAAAGAATCCTAATCCGCAAAGGACTCGGACTGCTTAATTTGCAAGACAGCTTCAGTTGGTCTTCGAACGATCTTGCAGGCTTTCATTCGAAGGCTTCCAATCTTCATTTCAATCATCCAATGCCTCTAGGTTGTAGTAGGAATCTTCTAGTTTCATGTAGCATCGCCCGCTTGGGCTAGTTTCCATTTACCCTTCTGGAATTAGTGTCCAAAGTCGGGTACTCAAGTTGTCTTCTAGACTTGGAGAATTCCGGGCAGTTTTCCAGTGTCAGCATAGCGTTTTGAGAAGCTCGAAAATCGATCTTCCAGGCTTCCTTTTGAGCATCCAAACGTGTCCCGTTGGAGAGGGTTATCCCATCTTCCAAACAAGCCTCCAATTCCCCATTTCCATTGAGCCATTTGTAAGGAACGAGCTCGCAAAGTGACCTACCTGAAACTGTAGTAACACTTGGCAAAAATTCAGAGTTAGTTAAAGGGAATGAGTTGGATTCTTTGGCCATCAATTGGAGACTAGTAATTGATATAGGTGAGATCATATAAGTTTATGATGTAACTCAAAGTTGAATAGATTCTTTCAACACTCCGTGTAACCATAAAGTCAATTCAAATTAGGGGTACCCCTGGTGATAAAGAATCGTGTTCTTACTATTACATAGTGTTTAAAATAGAACAACGCATGAGTTACAACCTAATGGAGAATATGTTTAATAATAGTAGTGTCCTAGGTTTGAATAACATAAACTACCACTTATATTTTTTAAATCATACACAAACTACTATTGAGGGTAAGATAATCGTTTTTTCAATTTGTAAGGGTGTCCCGGATTACTAATTATATTTTGTTTATTGACACGCTACGACACAACACCTAACAATGGCCAAGTGTAACCAATGAAAGGGATTGCAGTATAGTGGCAAAAGTAATAAATATCGAATCCACGGGTCTCTAGAGTTACTATTACTCAGCTTCAGTTCATTATCTAGCAAACTAGATTAAGGATTGATTTACTAAACTACTCTACTAACTACTCTACTAATTACAAGTTGGGAACTCACTTAGGTATGATTCCCCTAGCCCCTCAATTAGGTCCAATTTGCAATTACCTTTGGTTGATCTACTGTTGATTAAACTGCGAAAGATCCTAAATTAGCTTGGAATCTCTTAAGCTGACCAAGCCCTCTTAGACAGAAAACCCGGCAGGCGACTAGCCTTCACCGGAATAGACTACTAAGGCGATTCACACAGATCTCCACTACTGGAATGAATTCCAGTACAAAGCAGTGAATTGATTGACTCTCGCGCAACCAATTCACCACTATCAATCAAGGAAGCTCTCTTAATCTAATCAGATTCTATCTATCATAGGTTAAAGCAGAAATCAAGAGAAGATGATCAGGCTTCAATTGACTCAATAAATAATGCCTCAATCGATTATAATCAAACAATATAGCATCCAAAACTTCATACAAGAAAGATCCTAACACATGGAACTAGGGTTCCTCACAACCTAAGTGAAGGGAAGTTACTCCATAGAGAAGAGAGAGACTGCAGAAATCTGATCTAGATCTTCAATCTCCATCTCCAAGCTTGATTCTCGAGCTCCAATGGCGAAGAAATCCTCCAAAATAGCTCCAAGAATGTTCCCAAGTCGCTCTCTCTCTAGGGTTCGTCCCTTGGGTGTTTGGGAACCAAAACCCAGCTCTCCTTCTCCTTTGGCTCGAAATTGGCTTAAAACCAGAAATTCCCGACTCACACGGCCAGGCCACACGGCCGTGTGACTTTCCCAGCTGCCCGTGTGAGTGTCCAAACGCGGAGTTTCGATTAGTGGGCAACCAGGCAAGCTGCACGAGCAGAGGCCACACGGCCCTGTGGCTCCCCAGGCTGCCCGTGTGGCTTTTACCGAGCCTTCACACGGCCACAAGGGGCCCCTACACGGCTGTGTGAGGTGCAATGGTGCCCGTGTGGCTTCCCAGCTTCTCGCCAAACGTCCAAATTTCGTCCAATCGACCCCGAACTCGTTCCCAAACCTTCATTCACGTACTAGGACCTGAAATATCACAAAGAAGCACAACCTAGCGTGAAATCGGCCTAAAACACGAGAATCAACATCTCAAACGGCTCAAGAATAGGGGTAAAAACATGTGTAATTATTGCTGTATCATTTATCCATACGAAACTACTACCGGAGGTTGGATAATCGTTATCCCAAATTTTAGGGGTGTCCGGATTACTGACTATATTTTGTTTATCCATACGAAACTACTACCAGAGGTTGGATAATTGTTATTCCAAATTTTAAGGGTGTCCCGCACCATGTATCCGCCACTGTATGCATGAATATGTACGTAAGTAAATGAATATGTGAGTAAATGAATATGTAAGTAAATTCAGAGTTCATCCGGACATTTTCTGATGGTAAGTCGGTGTTAGACCTCGTCTCAAGTGTCACGCCTATAAGTACTAAAGCGTAGGGGAACGTAATTCATTCCTACTTCACAGCTTCACAATTTTTTGCTCCTTACTTCTTCTTTACAACTTCCCTTTTGCAATGCAAAGTCTACCCACAGTAAACCTTTACTCTACTATTCCCATATAAAAATTTAGGGTTAATATTTTTGTATGACCTGAACTTTGACCAAAATAAACATCCTGGCCAATCTTTTCGATCTATAATATACTGGCCCGAACTATACATCAAAATAAACAATTTGGCCAGATCCGACTTTTGACCGTTAACTTGGACGGTCAAACGCGTTGACCGTTAGTCAACGCGCCATGTCACTTCCAAGTCAGCATAAAATATTTAAAATAATTCACAATTTCCACACACCCTAATTTTAAATTATTATAAATTAAAACAAAAACATCTAATACCTTAGTTAAACCAAAAATAAAAAACGAAAAAAATTAAATATTTATCAGATCTTCTGACTTGACAGTGACGTGGCGCGTTGACCGTTAGTCAACGCGTTTGACCGTCCAAGTTAACGGTCAAACATCGGGTTTGGCCAAATTGTTTATTTTGGTGTATAGTTCGGGCCAGGATGTTATAGATCGAAAAGATTGGCTAGGATGTTTATTTTGGTCAAAGTTTAGGCCATACAAAAATATCAACCCAAAAATTTACATAAAGTAAATTTTTATTTTACCTTTTTGTAAAATGTCGAGTTTACCTTCCTCATCCTGCAATAATCATCGTTCTACAGTGATACCGCCTTCCCATCTCACATGGGAAAAGGAAAGTATGGAAAGAGATAAAGAAAGAGACAAAAGGTTTAGTTTATGGGGAAATGTAAGAAAAGAAAGAGGACGAAATTAATGGTTTAGGAGAGATTCCGATTTATACAACGGTACAATATAAAATTTTGGGTGTTTCAAGTATCATAATAATTAAAAATTTATCGAGTGTATTAACAAAAGGAGACGTGTTTAATGTTTATAAAATTTTATTGGTTAAAAACTGGGTCCATCAATTGCCCCCCTTACCAATAGAAAAATTCAGAGTTCATCCTGACTTTTTCTGACGGTAAGTCAGTGTTAGACCCCGTCTCAAGTGTCACGCCTATAAATACTGAAGCGGAGGGGAACTTAGTTCATTCCCACTTCACAGCTTCACAATTTCCTGCTCCTTACTTCTTCTTTACAACTTCCCTTTGGCAATACAAAGTCTACCCACAGTAAACCTTTACTCTACCATTCCCATATAAAAATTTACATAAAGTAAATTTTTATTTTACCTTTTTGTAAAATGTCGAGTTTACTTTCCTCATCCCGCAATAATCATCGTTCTACGGTGATACCGCCTTCCTCCACCGTTGTGCGAGCAAGTGGTTCAGATGGCGGTGGGTGCCAAAATATAGTATCTAATCCCCTGGGTTTTAATATTTGCCCTTGGGAGGTGATGTACCCTTTGGGTCGAGTGTCTCCAGAGTACCTAGTGAGAGGCCTGGAATTTGGATTTACGCAAAGCGAAAGGTGGCTACGGGAGCTACTGGTGTCGTATCACATGCCTCATCATCGGAGGTATGCCCTTCCCAATAGATTTGTTTTAGCTGCAAGTCACCCATCATCATGGCGATCACTTTTCCGCTCTTCTTTGGAATATGGTTTTCGACTACCGTTGCCTCCTTGGTTGTGCATGGTAATGCGACATAGTAAGCTTTTTATTGACTCAGTTAGTCCTTGTTTTTGGACTTTCATCGCTTGCTTTACCCTGTCATGCCGTCGAGCTAGGATTCCTCCCTCCCCGGAGTTGTTTTACGCCTGCTTTTTCTTCCGTCATAACCGAGTTGGTTGGGAATTGCACAAGCGTACGTCAGCCAATAATCTCTCTACTTCGCTTAGCCACTTGAAAAGATCCTAGGAGACTGAATTCTTTTATTTTCTTGCCCTGCCTGGTGAGTTTACTTTGGGAGGTAATCCAGTTCCGGCTGAATAGAATGAAGGTGTTACAAGAGGGTTTCCGGATCCTGTGATTGAGGGAGAGATTGTTGTACGACCGAATCCTTTGTGAGAAACCCATTAGTATAAGCAGTCTTGGGGATCGAGCATGCTTGTTTCTTGCTGTCTATGATAAAGGTATCTCTTTTACAATGCTTCCCTTTTTTTACTAGATTTTCTAATTGTAATCCTCCTGCAGACTATTCTCAATTTAAGGTTATGAAGAATAGGGAGGTGCCAGCAGTGCCTCGCTCGTAGGTTGGGGTGTCAATTTGTGAGATACCAGATAATCCCCTTCGCGGATGATTGGGAGTTCGTCGTGATCAGCCGAAGAGAAATCATTCCTCGGTGCGAGAATCAGGGGATTCCCCTGTCGGAAAGTGTCGTTCTGAGGGGAGAGCCAGAAAAGGAAAAATCCCAGTGTGCGATATGGGAACAATAACGGAGAGGGGGGAGTCTTCAAGTCTCAATAAAGATGAAATCTTGGCTGGAGCTGTAATAACTTATGACACCCTTTGTGAGGTGGGGAAACACTTTCCCGCTTTAGATGATGTAGCTACATGATCCACTTTTGCTTCGTCCATTTCAGAGGAATGTGCGACTACTTCAGAACCCGAGGAGGTGACATGCCAAATTATGAATGTCGTGGAGGAATGCGCTGGTGCTCCTGAGCCTGGGGAGGCGACAAGCCATATTTCGCATGTGGGGATTGAATTTCATCGCGTCTCGCCACTTTTAGATGCAATTTCTAAAGCACCTCCAATGGTTGGCACTCTAGTACATTCAGATTTTAATATTTCCATGGCAATGTTGTTGGCTGCAACCGAGTTACTTGGCCTAGAGATTTTTGAGAACTAAAGCTTATGAAATTCCAACTTGAAATAATATTGTAAAATATCATGTAAGATACTCTGTCATGTGAATATGTTAGCTTATAAACATCTGTAGTAAGTATTGTACAATGGGCTTCCAAACTTTGATAATAACCGTAATAAACATGCTGCTTTTATTGCTAGCTATCTTTCACCCAACCATGGCATTTATTTAGGGAACAAATCCACTGGGGTGTTTATTTAAAAGATAGCAAGGGTGTATCACATTTATGGAGTAAAGTATCACCTTAGATCATGGACCAGGAAACCGGATCGTACCGGCCGGTAAAACCGGAAATCGGACTAGAAACGAAACGATAGCCATTTTGTGGCTGAATTATTGTATCTCCCGGTTTTTTCGGTTTAACCGGTCCAAAATGAAATATCGGCCGATTTTGTTCTGACCGGCGACAGGCTATTTGAAATAAAACGTCGTTGTTCTATGCAACAAAAATTATTAAAAAAACAAAACGTCAAACTCTAAAATCCAAACTCTAATCCCTAATCGATTGCTCAAGAACACCGCCACGCCGAGTCTCCCTCCCCTGCTCAACTGCCCTTCGTCTTCTCCAGCTCAGTCCTACCTCTGGAAACCGGCAACGGCGAGAAGGACGAGCTCGAGAAACGCCGTCGAGTCTCCCTCTTCTCTTCGAGGGCGGACCGCCCTTCTTCGTCTCCAACTCATCCCTGCCTCTGGCGACCGGCGAAAAGGACGAGCTCAAGAATGCTGTCGAGTCTCCAACTCCCTCATTGGTGACGGCGGTCGCCATCTCAAATCAATTGCAGTCCGTTCGCCGATGCCCGCCATTATTCCCTCCGATCTCCTTAACATCGCCAAGATCTCTGCCCTCCCTCTCTACTTCCTAGTTCTTTGTTCGTAAATCCTAATGGAAGTTTTGTTTGAAGAGAGAAGCAAATTGGAATTTGTAAAATGGAGAGAGAGAGAGAGAGAGTGGAGAGACAGTACTACTGGAAATTGGAATGTGAATAGACTATAGAGTAGACGAAGGGTTTTCCTTTTCTAGTTGGAAAATTATTGCATGATACCTGAAATTATATTATATGTTTAGTCCCTGCAATATGAAGTTATTCCATTATATACCTATAATTTTTACGTTGATACTTTATTATTTTATATCCGGTATATTCGATATTATTTCGGTTTTACTCCGGAATGGTACCATGTTTTGGACGGTATGGTTTTTTGAAAAAAAAAGTTTTTTATTATTACAAAAACGGTAATTACCGGTACAAAACGGTTGAACCACGGTCGTACCACAAAATACCCTACCAGAAATGAATCCGGTATAACATCCGGTACGGTTTCCTGAACCATGCCTTAGATGCATTGTGTTCCAAGTCCTTGACATGTCTTGACCATCAGGAAGTGACAGTTTTACAGTATTTGGTCCCACCACTTTACGCACTTTGTAAGGACTCTCCCATTGGGGGGGGGGGGGGGGGGGGGGGGGGGGGGCGGGGGTTAACTTTCCTTGATTTGGAATGTGTTTGAAGTTCCTCCTCAGAACCCATTCTCCTTCCTGAATGGTCGATTTCTCACCTTGGCATTGTAGTAACGCGCGATCCTCTCTTTGGAAGCGGCGAGTCGCAGAAGTGCTTCTTCTCGACGCTACTCTATGAGATGTAGATCATGAGTGAGCTCGATTTGATTTTCATCGGGGTGGAATGCTTGGATTCTGTAAGAGGAGAGCTCAATTTCAATTGGTAGTACGACATCAGTGCCATAAGTCAATGCGTATGGCATTTTTCCAGTGGAAGTCTTGTAAGTTGTTCGATGGGCCCAAAGCACATGAGGAAGCTCCTTGACCCATCGACCCTTGGCTTGGCCTAATATGGTTTTTAGGCTCCATAGGATGCTTTTGTTAGTAGCCTGAGCCTGATCGTTAGCTTGCGAATATGCCACCGAGGCATATCGAAGTAGGATTCCATATTGGGAACAGTAGGCCTGTAAACCTTCGCTCTTGAATTGTGTCATGATTAGGGTGTGAGGGAGAATGAACCTGCATAAGATGTTTAGTCATAAAAACTTTTCAACTCGCTGAGTGGATAGGCTAGCGATAGCCTCGGGCTCGATCCACTTGGTGAAATAGTCAATGGTTACGATCAGCTATTTCTTTCGTTCGGGAGCCGTGGGAAAGGGTCCCAAAAATTCCACCCCCCATTGAGTGAACGACCATGGCCCGATGCTAACCTACATTTTTGCTGGTGGTGCATGAGTGGTTTGTGCAGCAACTTGGCATTTGGGGCATGCCTGAGCATATTTCCAAGTGTCCCGCCGCATCGTGGGCCAGTAATAACCTTGCCGTAGAAGGGTTTTATCCAAGCTATGAGGACCTGCGTGCATCCCACATGACCCTTCATGCACCTCCTGTACGGCAAACTGTGCTTCGCCAATGCTAAGGCACCACATGTAGGCTCCAGTGAAGCCTTTCTTGTATACATCTCCCTCGATTAGGAGGTAACGAGGGACACATCTCTTAAGGCGGATGGCTTCCTTCTGGTCAGTGAGCAGGAGCCCATGTTTTAGATACTCAATGAGAGGTGTTTGCCAATCGGATTGTATCTAGTTTCAGCATCTAACAGAGTCTTACAAGTGTAGTAAATAAGATGCTTTGTATTGTCTGTATCTCGGCGAACGAGTACATCACTCACGGCCTTGGAGGAGACGACAAAGTACAAGTACAATGTCTCATTGTTGACGGGAGATGAGAGTATTGGGGGATTCGCCAAGTACTCCTTAAGTTCCGTGGAAGCTTTCTCACATTCAAGAGTCCGTTGAAAGGTTTTTTAGCTCCTTTTAGGGTGTTGAAGAAAGGGGCACACCGATCCCCAGCTCGTGAAATGAATCGATTGAGTGCCGCAATCCTTCCTGTTAGAACCTATACTTCCTTATGCTTTGTAGGTGATGTCATCTGGAGAATGGCTTCAATTTTTTTAACCTCGATTCCATGTCTTGTCACCATGAATCCTAGAAACTTCCCTGCGGTGGCCCCGAAGACGCATTTCTTTGGATTAAGGCGCAAGTTGTATCCTCGTAGGGTATCAAAAGTCTCGCGTAGATCTTCTAAATGTGCATGTGTATCCGCAATTTTGTTTAGGATGTCATCCACATAGGCTTCAACATTTCGACCTAGTTGTCGCACAAAGACTCAATCCACCATACGTTGCTAGGTAGATCAGACATTTTTGAGGTCGAACGACATCACCTTGTAGCAATAATTTCCTACCGGAGTCATGAAGGCAATATATTTTTGGTCGTCCTTCTTTAGTGGGATCTGGTGGTACCCTGAGAGCATATCAAGAAAAGAGAGATGGTGATGACCGGTGGTCGCATCGATAAGCAGATCAATCTTGGCCAGGGGATACGGGTCCTTCGGGCAAGCCTTGTTGAGATCAGTGAAGCCAACACACATTCTCCACTGGCCGTTGGCCTTCTTAACCATGACCACATTAGCCAACCATGTTGGGTAGAGAACCTCGCTAATGAAGCCTGCTTGCCCTAGCTTTATTACTTCCTCTGCTATGGCCTGGCGACGTTCCCATGCAAAGTTCCTTCTTTTTTGCTAGATGGGCTTGCTACCTGGGACAATCCTTAGTGTATGCTCAGCAACTTTTGAATCGAGACCAGCCATATCCTCAGGTCCTTGAGCAAAGAGCTCTTTGTACTTGATCATCAAACTGAGAAGTTGCGGGAGATAATATTTAGGCCATGTCATGGATACATGAATGGTTCGCCCTTCTTCTAATGTATGTTCGTCATCAGGGTCTACGGGAATGGGACGAGCGACCTCGTCTCTGGCTTCCATTGTGGCCACAAAGCCATATTTAAGGGAGAACTCACAATACTGTCATGCAAGAGCTTGATCTCCCTTCACAAACCTGACTCCGACAATAGTTGGGAACTTCAATTTTAAGTGCAGAGTTGAGGGTATAGCCCGAACTTGATGTAGAAAAGGGTGTCAGAGAATGCATGTGTACGCAGAAGGGCAGTCAATAACATGGAAGTTGATTGTGGTATCTACGGTTTGTTGGTCATTGCCAATAAGAACTTGAAGTGGGAGAATCCCCAGAATTGGGACTTGATTTCCGGAGAAGCCCACTAGGTAAATGCTAGGAGGATGACATTTGTTTAGTTGAAGACCCATGGACTTGAAAGCTGGGCTGAATAAAAGATCTGCAGAGCTGCCTCCATCGAGGAGGACTTGTTGAACGGAATAGTTGGCAATTACTGCCTTGATGACTAAGGCATCATCATGAGGATACTCGATATCTTAAAAATCCCTATCGTCGAACCATATGGGAATTTGTGCGGTATAAGCGGAACCGACCAACCTTGGGGCCCCGGTTGAGCGAGAACCAACTTGTTCGAATTATCTGACCCCGCCATGAATGACAGGAACATTTCCCAACACCAACCCTCTTCCCTGTGGTGCTTTCCCTTTATCTATTATTGGAGGTGAATGGATAATAGGGGGGACAAACATTCTTTACAAAGCTTCGAAGATAGCCTCGTTGGATAAGTCCTTTAATAGAGTGCTTAAGGGTGTAACAACTTTCCGTATCATGTCTCGTACAATGGTGGAATTCGCAGTAGAATTGTTGCCCTTTCCTGAAACCCTCATAGCTGGAGGGGGTTGAGTAGTGGGAATTTTTCCTCTCTCGAATGACCTGAATAATGGCTTGTTTATAGCAATTGAGAGGTGTATAGCTTTGTTGTAACTGGGTAGCTTCCCTTCTGGAATTTTGGGAAGAGTTTCGGCCCTCGGGTGCAGGAGCTTGACATTGTCGGCGAGAATCCTGGGATGAAGTCTCTTGTTTTCTTTTCGATCCTGCCTGACTAACCTCCTGAAGTGCCTCTTCTAGATCAATATATTTTGAAACTCGCTCTTGAAGCTCCATAGTGTTGTGGGGAGCCCGTTTTGCAAGAGAAGCATATAGATCAGTAGTGAAAGTCCCTTGCATCAGGTCATTGGTGGCGATCTCAGTGGAAATGGATGTTAGTCAGATGGCAATGTTGCTATATCGAGTATAGTATGCCTTGAGTGTCTCATCATCACACTGCCTGATGCTGAGGAGTTTATGGATGCTGATAGGTTGTTTTTTTCTGTGCGTATAATTTGCATCTAAAGAGAGTGGCAAATTCGAAGAAGCTGGAGATATCTTGTAACTTTGAGTACCATCGTCGGGCATCTCTATGTAGTGTTGCTGGGAAGATTTTGCATATTGTTGCATCAGATGCTTCGATGAATGGCATTAGGATTTGAAATGAGCAAATGTGGTCTTTTGGATCTGTGGTGCCATAATACTATGGGAAGCTTGGTAAATGGAGATTTGATGCATAGGGCTCATTCTACACGATTCTAGATAGAGGTCCTCTTACTCCGGTTGAAGTGACAGCTCCGTGTCCTAGGGAAGGTCCGAGCAGATTGGCTGAGAGACTCGGAGCGATTAATCCAACGGGCGCTGACGTCCCATTGAGTGGTTCGTTGACCGAGCCATGGGCTGCAACTCTCTCTTGATTATTTGTTACGGGTCCTCAGGAAGATCTAAGAGCATTAATCTTGGAGGCTTCTCTGGCCCTGAGTTGAGCTCTGAGTCGCTCAATCTCAGCCTGCATCTCACGTACTTGTGCCAGAGTAGGGGTTGGAATTGCTTTTGGTGTTGGTATGGAGGTATTCTGTGCAAGTGGCACCACTCGAGGCTCTGTATTTTGACTCGGTGCATCGCTGAATCGTGAACGGGGGGTTGGGTTTCCCCCAGTCTCAATTACTCATAAAGAGCAATGCACTGCTTCGATGGTAGGAATACTGGGAGAGCCTTGGGTATTCATCACAGCTTGGTGGTGATATGTTCAAACTTTGGAAATATTCTTCTCACCGGGCCCCACGGTGGGCGACAATTGTTGATGTCAAGCTTAGAGCAGTCTGCTTCAATATGTTTAAGGTCCAGAGAGCACTGATTTCCCAAAGACTTTAACCACCTCCAGCTCCGTGCGAATACCTGGAATAAAAGATCCCATCGGGGGAGTCCTGGTTGGAACCTCTTCCGACGCTCAAATTAGTAATCTGAATGAAAAGAAAAAAATGCGATGATGCTAGACCTGGTTCGGTCTCACAGTCGTAATTGAGCACCGTTAGCTATTTAATGTCGTCCGGTGGAGACTATCCACGATTCCATGGCTTAATCCGCCAAATTGAGGGTTTGTTGAGTGTTTAGAGATTTAACACGTTTTGGGAGATTGGGAGGAGAGAGAAAACGTTTTTTAGAGAGAGAAAGTAGAGAGAGTTGGTATTGTGTGTGAGTTGTGTTGTGTGAGGTAGTCGTAAGCGACTTGTGTGTGAGTTGTGTTGTGTGGAGGGACTTATGGTATGTTGAGAAAGGGGGAGGGGTGCTCCCTATTTATAGAAAAAAGTCGTAGTTAAATTCCTCGACTTACGTCAAAATTCACCAACATTCTCCGTTATTCCCCAATATTCGCCAATATTCTCCGTTAAACCTTAACATTCTCCGTCATACACTAACATTTCTCAATAATCATGGTATATGAGAATATCCAAGTGTGTATGCGAAAGTATGAGAAAGTGTATGTATATAAGGGAAAATAAAGGAGTATGGTTAATGTAAACGAGAAACATTTACGTGTATGTATGTATATGCATGAATATGTACGTAAGTAAATGAATATGTAAGAAAATGAAAGAAAGAGGAGGAATGAAGGAGAAAATGAAGGAAAGTGAATGAAAGTGTAACAAAGTGTAGGAAAGTTAGTGAACGGGGAAGGGTGTGTCGTCCATGCATGCATGTGGAAAAGTGAGAGGGAGTGAAAAGAAATGAATAAAGAAAAATAGAAAGAAATGGAAAGGAAGGGAAGTGAAGTGAAGAGAGGTTTCTATCATCTCACGTGGGAAAAAGGAAGTAGGGAAAGAGATAAAGAAAGAGACAAAAGGAGTTTATGGGAAAACCGAAAATGTAAGAAAAGAAAGAGGACGAAATTAATGGTTTAGGAGAGATTTCGATTTATACAACGATACAGTATAAATTTTTGGGTGTTTCAGGTACCGTAATAATTAAAAATTTATCGAGTGTATTAACAAAAGGAGAGGTGTTTAATATTTATAAAATTTTATTGGTTAATAATTGGTTCCATCAAGTGCATAACCATTGGTTATGCACTCATGAGTAAATAAATATGGACTATTCCTTTAGAAAATCTAAATCTAAAGGTGGAGAATTAAAAGCATTTTTATTTTCTCTTGTTTTCTTAATCGTCTCATATCTTCTTCGTTTTGACTCGGATTTAAATTTTTGTTTTGCATAGATGGTACGAGTTCGTTGTGCTCTACAAAATGAGATCCTTTTTCAATATTTTTTGAGAAAAAAATTGTATTGCCTCTCGTTACCAACTACATACCATATGGTATCTTCTTTGTTTTGAAGTCGTTTTTTAAACTTTTTGCATAGAAGGAAAGAGGTTATCATGATCTATTGGATCTACAAATTTCTGGGTGAACAAAATTCAGAACCAAAAAATACCACACAATACCATACAATACCACCCTAGTACGATGTGGTATCTTGTGGTACACAATGTTGAAAGTCCTAAATGACGTTTAATATACTCATACTATCATGTATTCAGCCATCCTACAATCTTGGTATGCTCATACCATCATAGTAAGCTTTTCATACCATATGATATGCTCTTATTTCAATACCAGTCAATACCATATGGTATAGACTGGTAAAAAAATGCTACAATTTTTTTGTACAAAAAATATATCAAAGTGGATATCAATTTGAAGAGCACAATTAATCTGATTTAACTGTGCAAAAAAATTTAAATTCTGATTTAAAATGAGTGAGAAATCAACCGTTAAAGATTAATGGGAAAAATTAAAGGCTTTTCAGGAGAGAGAAAGGGTGCTGATATGACGAATTCTGATTGGGTTATGCATAGTTATAGACCACAAAGTTATGCACCTAATCCGCGCGGGAGCAGATCCGGTGAGTAACCTTGTGGTGAGTAACCCCATGCATAACCTAATAAGAATCTGCCACATCAGCGCCTCCTTCTCTCTCATAGAAAAATCATTAATTTCCTTTCCCTTAGGGGTCGTTTGCTTCATGGATTTGGATCATGGATTTGGTACCCAAATCCAATCCATCATGGATTTAACAAAAATCCATTGTTTGGTTGCACTTTTTTTGGAGACCAAATCCATGGGGCCCATGGATTTTAAGGGTCCAAATCCGTGGACCCCACGGACTTAGAAATCCCACATGTTGATGTGGGATTTGGAACATGACATAAATCCTTGATGGGATTTTATTTATATACCCTCATGCACTTTTAATATTCCAAGGTTGTCCTCAAATTTAACTATTACACATTATAATTAATCAAGTAATTAACAATAAATGTGCAAACATGAGTTAGATTTTTTATATCATTTCTTGTGTTCTAGTTTTCTTTGACATTTTCATGGAACGTGTAATTCTTTGTTCTCCCGATTCTAATATACGTTGTTATATGTTACTTTTGAAAAGGAGGACAAGGAATTGGTAATTGATTATGTTACGTTAAAAGTTAAACGGAATTTTCTCGTTTATTATTATTGTCCATGTAGCAACATTATGCTCATTAGTATGTATTGTCCTTGTTTTGTGTACATATCATAAACATGTCAAACATATAGAAAAGGGTAGTAAGGTAATTTTGAAGTTTTGTCCTTGTTTTGTGTACATATCATAAACATGTCAAACATATAGACAAGGATAGTAATGTAATTTTGGACTTCAAGTAGTAAATCCCTCACCTTTAAATCCATGATAAAAACATCTCAACAAACAAAGAATTGTTACAAATCCATGATGCCTCAAATCCTTGATAAATCCTTGGGTTTTTAAATTACAAAACCCTCATTTTTAAATCCATGAAGCAAACGACCTCTTAATCTTTAATGAACGATTTCTCACTCGTTTTAACTCGGAATTTAATTTTTTTTTGCACAGTTAATCAGATTAATTGTGCTCTTCAAAATGATATCCTCTTTGATATTTTTTGGAACACAAAACATTGGCCAGTTATTACCAGTCAATACCATATGGTATTTTTTTATCCAAGATAAGCCCCCAAGGCATGGCCGAACAACAAACATATAAGACAGATAATAATAAAGAACGGTAGTCCGTATGAAATCGGACTCCCGATAAAAGAGCCTGTTATGCCACGAGATGGGCAACTCTAAGAAATCTCCAAAGAGTAAAATGACACGAAACTGACTCAGATAGAGAGAAGAAGGAGAATACTTCCCCATGAATACCCCGTATGGGTGATAAGGCATCTTGATTACGTCTAAATACGAAAGCTAAGGAAACATCCCCTGCAAAACAAAACAAACTAGCATATACATGGAAATAAAATATATCCCACTAAATAAAAGATGACTCTATCAGAATTACCAAGTACAACAACAACAACAAAAAAGTTGTAGCAAAGCAGATAAGATCAAACTATCACTTGATAGACCGATAAAACTAATTTAATTATCTTCAATTACTTCCATACCATATGAGCACGGTGGCTGGAATAATGAAAGAAATTAATTGCATATATTAGTAAGCAATTAAATTAATTACAAAAAGAGGCGACTTAAAGAATTCTCATTTCCGGAAACGTAGTCAAAACCCATCAGTTCTGAAATTTGCAAGTAGGAAAGGAAAGATTAAGAATTAGTTACGGACTATAAAGGGGAAAGATTAGAAATTCACACCCACGACCCCATAAAAGATGATTATTAGTATTTAAACCTCTATGAAATAAAGAGGTCAAAACAAGCAAAAAGACAGAGCACTAGGCTCCGAAATTTTAGGAGGCGACTCAAAGGCGATCACTTTCAGCCCTAGGGTTTGCTGCATGTCGGCGGACAGTGTGCCGCCGGCAGGGGGAGGAGGTCCGAGCCCTCTCCACCAACCTGATGCGTCCGCCGGCAATCACCGGCCTCCAACGGAGTCTTCATCACCTAACCCTAAAGGAGACCGGGAAGCACAGCATACAAAAAAGAGAGCCAAGCAAATGGCACCAGTCACCACCATGCATGCGGAAACGGACGAAGTCATGATCACAGAGGAGGAACGTCGAACCCAACCTCAGAGTCCCCCTCCGAATGCCTGGAGCCAAGGAAAAGGAGCTGCGAGGAGACTGTTTGGTGCAGGGACGTGACTCAATGAATGGTACACCGCAGAATCGGATTCTGAGGATACGGCTGCTGCTATCCGAGAGGATGGGCAAGATATGGGATTTGATGAAGTTGAGGACCCTAAGTGCCCGCCAATATATTTCTCTCCAGCCGAAGAACGTCTTTATTGCAGAAACCTCCGATCAGCTTTGGTGGTTAAAGCGCTAGGCCGAGCTGTCTCATATACAGCGGTCTCCTTAAGACTGAATGCGATATGGGAAAAGGCGGGTATCCAGGTCACGTCTATGAAAAATGGCTACTTCCTCGTCCGATTCACGAATGGAATGGACTATGACAGAGAGGTCATGAACGGACCTTGGATGATAGGACCAAACTATCTGACAGTGCATATGTGGGACAAGGACTTTGACCCATACAACCATGAAGTGGCGTCCACGGTGGCCTGGGCTCGATTGCTCGAGATTCCTATTCAATACTTTCACCAGGATGCAGTTATGAAGATCGGGCGCCGCATTGGCATACCAATTCGGATAGATGAAGCTACTCGAACTGTAGCGCGTAGCGACTATGCTCGTGTATGTGTCCAGGTTGACCTAACCAAACCACTGCTGTCCAAGTTCTCTATTAATGGCAAAAAGTACTTTGTTCAGTACGAGGGGCTTGAAAAGATTTGCCTCAATTGTGGTACGTACTCCGAGAGGGGGGCGTGTACATGCACTAAGCTACATGAGCCAATGGAAGCGGAGGAAGTGAACAAGACGATGGAGCCTCAGGAAAAGCAAACAGAAAAAACCTACGGGGAATGGATGATTGCAAAAAGGAAACCACGGGCAGGAAAGAAAGACCAGGGAGGAGGGATGCGTCATGACAAGGCCGCCTCCAGCCCAAGTGAGACGAGGATCCCAGGAGGTTCCCGGTTTGAGGCACTTCTCGTGGAAGAGACCATCGAAACTCAACAGACACAGCCGACAGAAATGAGGGAGGATCATGTTTCTGGCAAGACCCATCATGCCAAGGGATCAGGAAGGGCAAATAACGAACATACTCAAGAGACCCAACGAACAAGCAATGGGGAATCGGATCCTGTACTAGCAGGAAAGGATAAGTTGCAAGACAAGCCCAGCATCGCAAAAAAAGGACCCATCCAACCGGCGGAGAACAAAGAATTAAGGGTACGAGGACAGAGAAGGAGATGGATACGAACCCCGAGCATACCATAATCCCGAGACGCCTTAAGACGGGGCAAACCACGTTGGGAGAACAGGTGGTTGACCACAACCTAAGTGGAAAACCGCCTGAAATTTCAGCCCATCAAACGAGGTTGACAATCGTCGAGAATCCAAGCGACGCGAGTGCGAGCCAGACGGCAATGGGTGTTGATGGGATCAGCCCATCCACGAGATAATCAACAGCGAGTACCTTCCTCTTTTCCAGTTTTTATGGATTGTAAAATTCTTGCTTGGAATTGCAGGGGAGTGGGTAGTAGGAATTTCCTACGTGTCTTCAGAGAATATCGCAGAAAATTCAAACCTCGTATTGTGATTATTGTTGAACCAAGGATAAGTGGGGACCGAGCGCTTGATGTTATTTGGGACATGGGATATGATAGCTCTCATGTGGTCGATGCCCAGGGGTTTTCGGGGGGCATTTGGGTGCTCTGGAATGCTTGTGACTTTGTAATAACTAGGATGTACTCTCACCCTCAATGCCTCCATGTGCAGGTGCATGACCCGAATTCTAATGGCCAGAACTGGTGCCTGTCGGCGATATATGGGAGCCCTGCGGAAGTTCAGCGAAGAGCTTTGTGGGAGGAAATTCGGAGGATGAACGAGGACATGGCGCTCCCATGGATGCTCGTAGGAGATTTTAACGCCATCATCAGCCCAAGTGAGAAGCTCGGTGGTGCACCGTTTGACTCATCGAGAATTCGGGATTTTCAGGATGTGGTTCAGGACACTGGATTGAACGATTTGGGTTTCAATGGCCCGACCTATACCTGGTTCAGAACAGGCCTCAGAGAAAGACTCGATAGAGGGATGGCAAACAATGCTTGGCTGGAAGAATTCCCTGAAACAACAGTCAGACATGTGCCCAGAATGAAAAAATCCGATCATCGGCCGCTATTCGTTTCAATGCGAAATGAGGCCTTGCCAGGGGGGGCAAAGCCGTTCCGCTTCTTGGCGGCGTGGCTGACGCACGATGGGTTCCAGGCAATGGCAGATGCTGCTTGGGCTAAGGGAAGCTCGTTTACCGATTCAGCAGCGGCCTTTGCACGGGACGCCACTAACTGGAACAGGAGAGTGTTCGGCCATATTCTGAGGAAGAAGGAAGATCTGCTCAGGAGGATTGAAAGACTTGAGAATGCCGGGGGAGGTGATGGAGCGAATGAGCAACTTTCCCAGGTCCAAGAGGAGCTCGAAATCATTCTTTTCCAGGAAGAGCTCCTTTGGTATCAGAAATCTAGACTAGACTGGCTTGCTTCGGGAGACAAGAACACAACTTATTTCCACGCAAGGACGGTGAGACGTCGGAAAAGAAATCGTATTCTCCTGCTGAAAAATGGGGAGGGAGAATGGATAGACGACCCCTTTGCTCTTATGGAGCTAGCGCGCACATACTTTAGCAACCTGTACACAGAGGAAGGAGGCGAGCTGGATGTACTACAGGCTGAGTTTCCCACCCTTGATAGCTCGCTCTGGGCAGGGGTAGCGAGGGACCCGGATGCGGAGGAAGTCAAGAAAGCGATCCGTGCGATGGGGGCATTCAAAGCACCCGGGAAAGATGGTCTGAATCCCATCTTCTTCCAGAAGTGCTGGGAAACTGTGGGACCTTCCCTTGTCCAGTTTATTCTTGACTGTTGGGCCAATTCAGGGAAGATCAGGGAAGCTAATTCGACAATCTTGGTGCTAATTCCGAAGGTCTTGCAGCCGATATCCATTGAGCAGTTTCGGCCCATCAGCCTGTGTAATGTGGCATATAAAGCATTGACAAAGTGCTTGGCGGAACGGTTGAAGAGTCTCATGCCATCTCTTGTCCATGAGACCCAAACCAGTTTTGTGCCAGGACGCCATATCACAGATTTCATTTGCATCCTGCAGGAGGTGGTGCACTCAATGCGCGCGCGCAAGGGGAAGCGGGGGTGGATGGTCTTGAAGATAGACCTCGCTAAAGCGTATGATCGGATTAGATGGGGTTTTGTTCGCGATACCCTCGAAGCAACTGGTGCCCCAGCAAAATTTGTGGACATAACAATGGCGTGCATCTCCTCGGCCTCTATGCAAATTCAGTGGAATGGGGGCCTCACTGAGAGCTTCCAGCCGTCGCGCGGGTTACGCCAGGGATGCCCGCTGTCGCCCTATCTCTTCACCCTGTGCATGGAGAGATTAGGGCATATCATTGACGATTCGGTCCGATCTGGCAGGTGGCAGCCTATACGCCTTTCTAGCACAGGGCCGGCGCTATCCCACAGTTTCTTCGCCGATGATCTGATCATCTTCGGGGAAGTGTCAGTTTCCCAAGCTCAGGAGATCAATGCTTGCTTCGAGAGATTTGGGGCTTCATCAGGACAACAGATTAGCAAACCTAAATCACGAATATACTTCTCAGCTAGTGTGACGGATACGCATAAGCAAAGCCTCAGTCAGGAACTTGGAATTCCGGTAACGACAAACCTGGGGCGCTACTTGGGGGTTCCCGTGATTCATGATAGAGTGTCAAAAGCTACCTTTACGGACCTGATTGACAGGATTGATAGACGCCTAGCGGGGTGGAAGGCTGCGTCTCTGTCGCTTGCAGGGCGAATCACGCTAGCGCAATCCGTGATCTCATCGCTACCGGCTTACACTATGCAGACGACCTTGCTCCCAGCAAGTGTGTGTGGCTACATTGATAAAAAGATTAGGGCGTTCATCTGGGGAAGTACCGAACAAGGGAGAAAAGTGCACCTGATCAACTGGGACACTATCTGTCGGCCCAAAGAGGAGGGAGGCTTAGGGCTGCGAGATTCTACAAGAACCAATGAAGCTTACATGCTGAAGATCGCCTGGAGAATGCTTACTAAGCCAGACGATCTCTCGGCGAGGGTTATTCGAGGGAAATATGGGAAACAGACGGAAGAGGGATGGATGTTTCGCAGTACGGGAAGGCTGTCTAATCTCTGGCGAGGGGTGATGCGCGTCGCACATCTGATCGAGGGGGCAACTGCATGGAATGTTCGAAATGGCAAAGTGGCTAGATTTTGGAGCGATAGATGGCTGGATGATGATGTCGTCCTCAGAGACCATGCGCCCGACCTGGCGCCGGAAGTGTGCAACATGCCAGTGATCGACTTCGTACTCAACGGTGAGTGGAACCTGGATTATTTGCGGCAGTACTTACCCCCTGTTCTTGTTTCGCAGGTAGGATCGCACCCTGTCCCGGCGGAAGAGGTTGACGATGTTCGGGTGTGGAGATTCTCGGAACGGGGGGAGTTCACCCTCCGGACGGCGTACGAGTTGACCGAACGGGCGGCGAGCACAACCAACAGTCAGCCGGTGTGGCGAACCATCTAGAACGCACCAACCATGTAGAGGGTGCACTCATTTCTTTGGCTGATGAACCACGACCGCCTCTTCACCAACGCGGAGCGAGAACGCCGCCACCTGACGACGGAGAAAGGATGCAAAATCTGTGGAGCTGACCTGGAGACTACAACCCATGTCGTACGTGACTGCCCCTTCGCACGAGCCACCCGGGCGGAGATGCTTGAAGGCGAACCGGACATCCTCTTCTTCGAACCCGACATCAAGCGTTGGTCGCATTATTATCTCTCAGGGAAGAGTCAAATTATTGACAGCACTCTTTTTGCAGGTGTCTGCTGGTTGCTGTGGAAGAATCGGAATGGCCTTGTCTTTCGGAGCGAGCTGAAAACTCATACACAGATCCAGTTCCAAGCAAAACAACTCAGAGATCAGATTCTCAAAGCTTTCGAGAAGGAGAAGAACATTGTCGGAGATGGGGGACTCCGAGTTAGGCGCGAAATTGGTTGGCAACCACCGGCGCCGGGCTGGGTCTGTGTTAATACAGATGGCTCAGTTAACTCCTTTCCAGAAAGCACAGCCTGTGGCGGCATCGTTCGGGGAGACGATGGTCGCTTCATTAGAGCATTCACAGCGAACCTTGGATGGGGTTCCATAACCCGGGCTGAGTTGACTGGAATTGTGTATGGGTTGAAGCTTGCTTGGGAGGAAGGGGCCAGGAAGGTTGTTCTGCAGACTGACTCAGCGACAGCCAAGTCCCTGATAGAGACGGTTTCACCGAACCACCCACATTATACGAGGGTGGCTGAAATTCGAAGATGGCTTGACCGAACATGGACTGTCAGGATCGAACATGTCTATCGAGAAACAAACTATGTCGCGGATCATTTAGCCTCCGTGGGACACTCGGCTACGGCTGGGTACCATATTATTAATAGCCCGAGTAGTAATCTGGCTTACTGGTTGTATTATGACACCTTGGGGATTCAGACTCCCCGCTTGATTCGTACGTAATAAAGGTTAGGGCGCCCTTAGCGCCCTGTTCTTACAAAAAAAAAAGGCAATTAATTACTGAAAACGTAATCAGCAGAAAATTAAATCACCAATTTGAGTCTCGGAAAATTTGTACCTGACAAAAATTAGAGGAAACGGAAAATTAAACAAAATTACCTTACCGTCTCCGTCTTAATTAATACCTACCGGAAAGATCCTCTTCACTGGAATTTTCATCGGCGAATTGAAAAGGTACGACGAAACCATGATTTTGGGCAAGAAAGCTTCAATCCGATTCCATATTTGATGCTCCCTGAAACCATGAAATTGGGCAAGAAAGGAACCGCATTGCAGCTTCCTTGTCGTCCCAAGGAGTCTCAATGAAGGAGCACTAAATAGACGACATGCGCCTGATATGGTATTGACTGGTATTAAATAACAACATACCATATGGTATGAAAAATACCACTTCATACCAGGGTGGTATAGTATGGTATGGAGTTGGTAACGATTCAAAATGATATTCACTTTGATATTTTTTGGAACAAAAAATTTTTGCCAGTTATTACCAGTCAATACCATATAATAACAGCATACCATATGGTATGAAAAAAACCACCTTATACCAGAGTGGTATAGTATGGTATGGAGTTGGTAATGATAGGTATGAAATTTTTCCCCCCGGAAAATTTTGAAATCCAATAGATCATGATTAAATCGTTTCTTTTGTGCAAAAATTTCCGAAAATGACTAAACAACGAAGGAGATACCATATGGTATGGAGTTGGTAACGAGAGGGATGAAATTTTTTTCTCAAAAAATATTGAAAATGGATATCATTTTGTAGAGCACAACGAACTCATTCCATCTGTGCAAAAAAAATTGAAATCCGAGTTAGAATGAAGAAGATATGATCCAATTAAGAAAACTAGGGAAAATAAATTCCTTTAATTCTCCACCTTAGATTTTCCGCCACTTAAAAAAAGGATCAAGATTTGGTTACTCATTGTTACTCACCCTAAAGGTTACACAACATATCTTAAGTCAATCCGCGCCTACAGGGATTGTTATTAGTCTTAAGATGCCGTTACAACAGTTTGGGCGGGTCTTTTTATATGGACTGGCAAATAACCAATCGACCCCCACTACTTCTACCTATTATATCACCATACTTCTGATTATGTACACTTAAGGACATTCGTTACAAAATTTCCCTTTGTTTTCAATTGACTACCACTAGGCACGAGCTTGCTGCCTTTCTTAGTCTGAAGCTAAAGGGCATAAGATTCTTGGGGCTCAAGATCAGAAGCCAGAGGGGCTTCGATTGGCACATAATCAAGTTGTTGTGGGCTGCTTGGACCACATAAAAGAATATGTAAGGCTAGATGTGGCAAATGGATTGAATTCAAGAATTGGAGGAGACATGAATTAAATAGATTGGTGAATTTATGGATTGGTGGACTGATTCATGAATCCAAATGATATCCGAGCATTGGACCATTATGTGAATTTTGAAAAGTTTAGGTACTAAAATATAGAATGAAAAATTTGAGGTACCAAAACATAATTTTCGAATGACATTTTTCCTATAAAAATAAATTTTAGATACCAAAACATAATTTTCGCTTTAAGTGTTTTTAGTCACTAGCGCCAGTCGGTTGCCTTTTGAGACATTTTGAGATAGTGCAGCAGTTATGCTCTTGAGACTTTTAAGATGAGCAGCAGTTATGCTCTTGAGAATCATGGTGAAGAGCCACCACGATAAGTTTAATATGTTAGGGGGATGAATCGTTACGACTCCCTAACTAAGTTTAAGTTTAAGGAAAGCCTGGATGACTTCTCATACGTATGAGTTGGCAACCAGACTAGCTAGTGAGGGATCCCCGTGTCGGTCAAGTATTTAAGTCGAGATTTGAGCTTTAAGAATGGAGAGTAACAGTAACTCCCATACAGTTTTAAGAGTTAAGATTTTTATAACAGTGGAAGTACAAAACAACTTCCACCAAGTTAAGTAGAGTGATCAAGTATTAATAAGATTTTAAACGTAAGGGTGTAGACTGACCCCCAACTCACTTACCAGGCCTTAGTAAGGGAATGAGCGAGAACCAGATCAGTAGCAGCTAGCTAGAGGAGCAGTTAGAGAGCAACAAGTTCGAGAGGAAAAGTTCGAGGGCAGCCAGCTAGAGGAGGGCAGTGCAAGAATCGCGGAGGATGCCTAGTTAAGATTTTCAGTAGCAACAACGACAGAGACTACCTAGTTATTTGCATTTTATGATGATGAGTATAGACTGGAGATCAGATTGAGATTTTAAAGTTTGAGCTTATTTTACCCACATGTTAGGGCTTTGCTTTGAACAACAAGTGTGTGTTTTCAGTATTTTATTTATGAAAATTTTTCCTGCTGTAATTTAAGATTTGAGTATTTTATTTATCAAGGGCATTTTAGTAAAAGTAGTACCCGGCCGAGTTAGGGTGTTTCATCTACGCAAGTTCTCTTCTCCTCTACCTAGTGGCCATTGCTGGTGCAGTGATGGTTAGCAGCAACGACAAGCACGACTGCGCTGCAATTCTCGATCTCTAAATTTACAATTGTTGATGATGAGATCGCGAACATGAGAGCGATGCGTTCGTGATTAAATCACCAGGATTATAATCGTCGGACCTGATCAATTTTGATGATATCTGACTCAAAATGCATAATATAACTAGCTATATGGCCCGTGCTTCACCCCGGGAACCACTTAAATGTTAAGAAATCATATTACCATTCATTTCAAGGAACACAATCATGAAAACAAAGAGAACTATAGAAATACGTGGAAAGGAAGCTACATGTTTGTTTGATTGCGAAGTATCTAGTAGGATTCTCATACAATACATAGTGAAGTAATTGATGGGGAAAGTGCTTTCTCTGCTGGTTTTTATTGTTGAAAACAAACTTCAACGCACAATTATATTGTTGAAAACAAACTTCAACTCTATAAACACAGCTCCTGAGAAATGCATCCAAAGACTTGCACCGAGATTTCAAGGCATTTAAAGCCTAGAAACCCAAGCTACCATCAGAGCCGCAAGTCGCAGAACTTTATAAAATTAGTTGGTATAAGAAAAATATGCATACTGTAACTTCAATATGGAAGCATCAGTGCATCATATAACTTGGATGCAATACTCAAAAGGTTATCCTAAATACAGTAATTAACTGGCAAAAGGGAAATTAGTTGGCATGAGAAACAATGTGAATATTACCTTCAATCTCCTGGAATTATCATTGTCATCATATAACTTTGATGTAATACTGAAAAGCATATCCTATATAAAACACTTAACTGATAAAAGAAGTAATGTAGCATAGTGATCTTACTTCATAGCATCAGAACTAACTACTTTGGTGGCTGGATCAAGTCATCATTAGTCCATTCAACCTTTTATGTTCAAAAGATAAACTATTGAATCACATATATTCAAGATATGCAAAATGGATACACATGCATGGAAAAAAATACAATAAATTGTTACTAACATAATTGATTGGTATAAAATTATCTAATAGTTAAGAAACCAACCAAAGCATGACCACAATCAAACGACTTCAAAATCGTCATGACCAAACCATCGATACTTGCTGTACATATACCTGCAGCTTTGCTGCCAATGAGATCATAAACTCATTCCACAATTTCAGTCTCTTTACAATTATTCTCATAGGGCCACGTTTGGTAACAAAGTGCCGGAGCTAAGCGATGCCTTTCAAATCGTTGTCGATAATATTGCAGATGCTTTTGTAGTTTTCAGAATATCTTATCTTTATCCTTCCTTCAAATTACTGCCTACTCTGACCGGGTACAGAGCAAAACTGTATAAGCTGCAGAAAGCAACAGATTCGGTGTTAGAGCAGATTATTGGTGAACACAAATCAAGAAGAAGGGTGGGAGGAAAAGATGAGGATCTTATCGATGTCCTTCTGAATCTTAAAAAAAATAGGACCTTGGAATACCCATATCAATGGAAGTCATAAAAGCAGTGACCTTGGTAAATCA